CAAACCCGCTGCTGCTGGTAGCTCTGAAGGAGACCCGCCGCTCGCCATGTCCATCCCAATACGCACCTCTCATCATCACATGCACCAGCCAAGACCTCCACATTCACCTTCACCGCAACATCCCACAGCCTCTCCCTGTGCCAGTGGCAGGAATGGGCCATGAGGTCGGGGCACGTGCAACGCGAGCACGGCGTACATATAGCTGCCCTCGCTAACGAGCTGCTGCTGCATGCGTGTGGTCGTTTGTGGGTATGCATCTCGTGCAACCAATCGACTCGACCTCGGGTGAAGATTTGTACGTAGTAGCTGGCGGTTGCCAAAGGTCTACTGCACCCCGGGCCCGGCGCGGTTGCATAATAAAACAAGCTGTCCTGTCCAAGCAGTCGACAGCTCCATGAGTAGTAGCGGAATCGGTGCTGACTTTTACATCAATTTCCACTCGCCTGTTCTGCCTATATTCTGTATTCCCTGCAAAGCTGAAGATTGATGATGACCGGTCCATGGCCTGGCCTGGGCAGCGGTAGCAACCTACGCACAGCGGCAGCAAACGCAAAACGTCAGAATTCCCGTTCCCTGTCGAACATATCGCTCACAAGCTCAGCAAGAGGTCCGAAGAGGGGTAACAGAGCCAGTGGTGAAGAAAATCGCGCAGCGCGATTCTGACGCCGACGCTCGATCCAGGCGGCCAAGGCGCACTTGTGCGACCAGCCGTTTCTTGTTTGCACAACTGCCGAACGATATCAGAGTGATCTGCGTACCCGCGTTTGATGCGTGGAGCTCGGAAGTGCTACATAATTGCTACATGCACTCATTGCATTGCAGAAAAAACGGACTACAATGCGACTGCGCTATCTCGCGAGGAGGGTCTGCAACCGTTTAGATACGAATGACGATGTGTCCGCTTTCAATGGTGTGCTGAGCAACGTCTCGATCATTTGTGAGACTTTTGCAGAGCCTCCAGGGAACGCTCCACGGTGATGATGTCCTTCCGGTGTGGTCAAGATTAGGTTGACGACCACCCTTGCACAGCCAAGGACCATTCATATGGGTCACATCGTGTCCTTGCAGATCAAGCGAGCTTCCGCGATACCTGATGCTGGGAAGAGTCGAGATTTGTATGTCCATCTACACTCGCTGCTGCACAAATGAAAACAAGCTGGGCTTCTGGCCGCCATCCACAAAGGTCATATCTGCCGACCACGAGGTCACTGCGCCAACGCCTCGCTCACATCAACAGTCTTGGGGTATTATACATGTCGTTCAAAAGAGGCACCTGGCCTCCATCGCCTTCACATCACATAGTCGCACAGGGGGAACCAGTGCACGAGCATTCGTACAGAGATTCCGCAACGCCTTAGGCCTGTGTTACACAGACCTTTTACGAGGTCTGTTCGGCAGCATTGGCGTCCTCGGTGTTCTTTGGCCTCTGAAGGAGTTCGAAGTTGCCTGGTCGCAGACATGAGTGGACGTTCCGTGGTCATTATTGGTGGACTTACGTTGCAAAAGGTTCAGTGATGTGCGCTTGCCGGCCTCGGTGTCGTAAGTGTTCATGCGAGCCTCTGCCTCAACGTAGATGTGGCTTCTGAGGAATGTGTTAGCAAAGTGTTTGAGTTGAGATCATGGACACCTCGAAAATCCGCGATTGTGCGTCCGCTCAATGTTCCGCTCGTGGAATGTCATGTCTTCCTAGCCGAATTGAACGGCCAACAGAACGAGCGAGCTCGACATCGTCCAGCGCATTGTCCTGCTGCTCATGCTCCAATGTGCTTCCATCTCTTCGCACGAACGGGGAGTTGCGCATTCGCCAGTGAACGCTCACAATGGCGGGTTCTCTTACCCTTTAGGCAGGCTGAGCAACAGGTCTCTCTGAGGACCATCTTGAAAGCTCGCAACCTTGAACCAGCTAACTCCGCGTTGTCCATTCTCATCTCTTGGGCCCTCGCTGACGCCGATTGCATATTTTACAATTTCGCGACCAGTCGAAGTAGGAACGAGTTCTGGAACATCAGCCAAACGGCCAATGAGCTGCATCTTCGCAAGAGGTCGGGCGGGTGTCGTCGAGAATGCGCGCGCAGCGCGAGGAATCTGGAATCGCAGGGACTGCATTTTGGTTCGTCTTGATATTCGGTAATGGGAAGGGGTGGTTGTGTGGTGTTTGTCGATGAGGGGTTTGCAGATGCAGAGTAGGTCGGATCGCGGTGGCCTTGAACGAGACGAAACACAGGGGACAACGCGTTTCGCGACAGAAACTCTATTCGTGGGCACGTGCACGCTAGTCTGGACCCTTTCCAACTTGCTTCTGACTTCTGCCTTCCAAGCTTCACTTACAGCCTGTAAACACGACACTCGTCCACCGAGGCGATAAGCTACCAAGAACTGCACGATGCGATTATGATTACAGAGCTGGCCTTCATGCGATCCAGTATCAGGAGCGCCATTCGAACACAAGCTAAAACTACACTTCCCTGCTAACAGGACGGATCAGCAACTCTTCGACGAGGAACCCTTCAACAAGACATTGTGCAGCTCTATTCTCGCCGCATGATCAATTGCAATGAAGGCTTCCCAGTTGTCACAGCAGCGCTGCACCTTGTCTTCCTCCGCCCTAAGTGCCAAACACCCATTCGGCCATGTCTTGAGTCTCGAATCAATCGCTGAGGATGCGAACACCGCTCGAGCAAATGCGTGCCACTAGCACCTTCCCTGCTGTCGCTGTTACACATCTCCTATCTCGAGCCATTTCTCCACCGATTGCCCAAGCACGATCCTTCTTCCACCCCGTCCATGGTGACCTTTTCCCATCTCCTCGAAAATGCTTTGTGTCGAGCTGCGCAAGACTCGCCGGTCCACCCTATTCTTTCCGTCCTTCCAGCCGAGACGCAGCTCCTGAATGTTCTGGTCGCGCAGTAAGCGTTCAATGACGTCTGCCACCGACATGTCCGGGAGTCGAAGAAAGCTAGTAACCCCACGAGATTTGTCGACGAGTTTGACGCGTTGGGATGTCTTTGTAAAGATGTAAAGCTCATCTGCAGCAATCAAAGGGCTTGCCGAAATTCTTGGATCGCACCAGACTGCAACACTGATTCTTCTCGGACTTCCATCTTGAGATCCAGCCGCATGGGAGCTCCTGCGCTCATGCCTGTTTTGCCTGTCACTGCCATACTCGCTAGCCCAAGTTCTGCGAAAATGTCCCCAAGTATCAGCGATGGGAATCATGTCTGAAGGAGGGCTTGAAAGCCGTATTTGTTGATCTGCATAGCGACCCAAGAAAAGCTTGCAAGTCGGACAGAAGTGAGCGTTGTGAATAACGCAATGCCCATTGCAATACCAGGGTGTCGATTCGAATGGTAACTTGCCGCGCAGACTGGTGTGATCACGACACCAGTCAGTGAAAGAGATGATCTCAAGAGTGTAGAGTTCAGCCGTGCGTGAAGATATCAGATCTTCTATCCGACTGCTTACTGTCCGAGGCATGGCTTGACTGCGTTGTTTTTTGTTTGTATGATGGTGCTCTCTTCTCGTTTTAGTTTGTTTTGGTCTCCTATCCACGGTGGCAACTGAGGTTGGATCTTCTTATACATATCTTGTACCTTATGTTTGCTATTCTGCCTATTTCAGCATATGAGTGAGAGACGTTCTTTGATACTGTGATCATGATGTCTCTAGCGAGATTCCGTTGAGCAGGCTGGAACTGTCTCGACAGAGCGTGCACAATACATGTCTTGCTCAGCGTGACACCGCTGCCTGTACGGAGGCTGTCGTATCGTGGGCACAAAGCATCTGGTCAGCGAGACATTACTGCTCCATGGAACCTTGGCACTGAAGCTCACGTGTCGGTGCGTTCTCGAGTGCAATATGGATACCTCCCTCAAGTGCATGAAGCAAATTTTTCTCAACTCGGTGTGGCGCCTGTGTGCCGAGCTATAGGTTCACGACTGGTAATTGAGTGGAATTAGTCAATATGTGTTCGAGAGACAGTGCGTTTCATCATGGTATTCTACTAAGACCACTGACACTCTTCACCAAAGTGACCACATTGCTTAAGATCTCGCCTATATCTCTTGCCTGTTTGCTCTTTGCCGGAATACCTTACACCTACAGTATCACGACAAACACTTTATCATCCATGACTGATACTGCATCGATACGCTTTGCCCGCGCAGCTGATAGTCGACCAGTTGCTTCAAGCAGTTCCACGCCGACATGGACCTGCGCAGTATGCGCCTCTGAACTGCTATGTCGACCTCAGTATATTGACGGCAGCCAAGTCTGTGCACCCTGTCTCCGGCACTTCTTCGAACTCGCGCTCTCAAACAACACCTCTTGGCCACCGCGATGGGGTCGACAGACGCTGAACCATTGGGACTTCCGGCATGTACTTGACAATAACACTCTACGTCGACTCGATGAACGATATCGCGAGCAGAGATGTCCAGTACCGGAGAGAGTCTACTGTAGCCACTTCAGAGGCGAAGATGCATGCGGCGCTTTCCTCGGTAGGCGTTCGAGCACAGAACCGGTGTGTAAGCTGTGTTCACAATGCGGGCTCTATACTTGCTTGCGATGTTCGGCATGCTTTCCTCCAATTCATGAAGATCGATCAGAGCTTCGTATTCCCCACCACTGCCAACCTTCCGCAGAAAACCACGCTGCTGCGCAGCAAGACCTTGATGCGGCGTTTGAGGGTCTCACTCGAGGTAAGGAGTATCAGAGCTGCCCAGACTGCGGACAGAGGGTTCAACTGGCCGATGGCTGTAACCACATCACCTGCATCTGTGGGGAGCAGTTCTGTTACCTGTGTGGTGAGCGGGCCAGAGAGTTGAGCAACCATTGGGATCGACGACGAGATGGCTGCCCCAGATATGGTCAGGTCGGCGACCGAGAAGCCTTGTATTCTGATGAAGTCATGCTTGCAGACGATGAGACCGCAAGCGACTCTGATGTGGAGCACGAAGATTTTGCAAGATGGGCTGTCCCTCGGGCGCTCGATCGACAGGAAAGACGGGAGTTCGAGCGACGACGACGGCAGGACGAGCTTCGAGAACACGGTCGACATTATGCGAGAGATCTTGCTGGACATATACGGGAGCAAGCTGCCTGGCGAACACATCGAGATGAACAGCGCTTCCGTGCGGACAGCCCACATCGACGCGGCGCCATCGATCATGGCCGACCTGAATCTCACCACCATGAGTACGAAGCGTCGAGGACAAGACCGGCTCTTCGACAACGCTACGCGAATAGAAGGGAATCGGAAAATGATATTCGCATGGGTGTCCGACTGCTGAATGCAAATGATCGTGGCTGGCGTAATGATCGTACAGAGCGGACGCGACGACTGCAGGTGGAGATGGACTGGCATCGTCGATCGCCAACACCCTTTGTCCGCAGTAGCAGAGCATATTCGCCACCAGCACGACCGAGATCTCACGGAATTGACGAATATGTGACTTTCGTTCAGCGCAGAGATCGAGCTCGACCACTTCATCATCACCGCAGCTGGCAGGTTCGGGAAAGGACTGACTCCAGCTCAAGCAGCGATTCATACCGGACAAATATAGTCACTCCGAGCAGGAGATACTCTTTGCAGCAAGCGCAAGGCCGAACGCACATGTCCAGGCAACGCAGGGAATCTTTGCATCGGAGGCGGCGACAACGTGATATCGCAATCGACATCCCCAGCCGTGGCGAAATTGTTGACGTAGATGATGAGCCGTTGATAAGTGAGCGGAGTCGCAGACCAGCAGAGTCCATCATTGAGTCGCCAAGGCGAGTAAGATCGCTGAGCGTTGCGTCTAGACCGCGAAGCGTGAGGAGTTCGGCGAGGAATTCCGAACGACCACGGCCGCAGGACGCCCGGCGAGCTCCAACGAGGGCGCCATCGCAAAGCAGCGATTCGGATGAGGAGTATCGTGAAGCTGAACAAGACGCCTTTGTCCGGCAATATGGTACTGGAAGGCGTCTTCGGGATACTCCAAGCTCCCGGCCACGATCCAGATCACGGCCTAGCATTGGTCATCGTGTTTGGCAGCTGTGTCACGCCCTAGGCGATGCCATTCTTGGAGACTAGGCACCAGCTGAGCAGACACTGGCCAGATACTTGATCATCTCTTGATCCCGACCACGACCAGATTTCTCGGACTGAACTTATAGTCAAAGACTGGCTCCACCCAAGCTTCCTTCACTTCATCCTGCTCTTTCAACCATAGCCACCTGTCGACCACAATCGCAGCTTCAATCACACCCGCAGAAAATGCCATCAGACTCCACATGATACTGAGCTTCTTCTTGCCTTCCTTCCACTCCGTTGCGTATCTGTCGATTTCTTCATCTGTGATGTCTCCCATCTTCTCCCGGAATAGAGCGCCATGGACCTCGTCCTGTGTCAACTTTGCCAAGGCGCCGCGAACATACGTTGTGAAGTTCTCGTAGCAGCCTTTGCGAAGGCTGCCAATGACAATGGGAGTGCCTCCGCTGCTGTGCCCTGCAGGTGACACTCCTCCAACACAGTTCGGAGTGGGCGGGCCAACAATACCGCGATCTAGGAAGATGCGTTGCAATAGCGCCCTGTAGAAGTGGCGAGTAAAGAAATTCTCGCTATCGGAAGGTCCCCAATTGGAAGGTGCCTGAACAGCCATCATGCGAGATGTGATGTTCAGCCGCACTCCTTTGTCTTCGTTGCTCGGGTTCGTGCTATCGTAATAGTCACAATATCTCTTAGACATCGGAAAGCCGTGAGGATCATTGGCTTCACCAGTCTTTTCCAGCCGAGGGTGATCGAATGTTGTAGGACGGAGTTGTGGTAGCTTGTATGTAGCAGGTCCGAGCCTTTCTGTAACAAGATTGTAGCAACATCCTACCATTGCCACGCATCGAACTTCGTTGTTGATCAGCAAAGATCGCAGCCCATGATGTACAAGGTTGCCGCAGGAGTGCAGAGACATCACCATAACATTCTTGTCAGCAGTAGCCTCAGGTATGCGATCAATGACATCTTTGAGGTTACCATCAGCGATTCGATGCTCGACATATTGGATCTTGCCCTTTCCAGCTGCTGCCATTTCGACTTCCGGTGCCCGTGGAATAAGTCCAGAGTTGTGCTCAGGAGGCGGTGTTGGAAGATCAGCATTGGCAACTAGAGTGTTCGTAGCCGATACTGGATCGAAGCCATTTATCCTAAAAGCCTTCTTATCCCGCATGATCTTTTGCTTAATTGCCAGTTTGGCCAAGACATCGAATTCTTTCGCGCGTTCAGCATTTTCTTGCCTGCTCTCGATGGCAACAATGTTTCTGTTGTATGGCTCACTAGCCAGAGCACGGCCTAGGTAGTTTTGGCCAGATCCGAAGTCCACGAGGTGAGTGATGGGTTTGTTAGTAGCGTCGCTGATAGACGTGGTAAGAGTGTCAAGATATGAAGCGAATAAGCCAACCTCGTGGACCTTTTTCACGTTCATGCCCACTGATGCATTCCGTGAAAGCTTCTGCACCTGCTTGACCTGTCTATTGCGCGAGCATTGAGACCCACCTAAATCCCGAAGCAGGAGATGATTTCTGACTCTTTTGATGAATTTCAGCAAGCTGGCTGGGGGCGCTGGTTCGGCACACGTAGTATTCTCAACACTGGAGTCTTCGTCAAATAGTGACAAATCATCTCGGAGGAGCAAATCGACAATTCGCAATGCATCGTGATGAACGAAGAAATCTCGCCACTCCTGAGGCAGAATCTTGTCGTAGAGTGAAGGCTCGCTGGTGAAGAAGTCCAGGATGTGTACACCGCCGCATAGAGTCCGCAGCAGCTCGTCAGAGCCGACAAAATCCAGCAAAGATTCGACGTATTCTTCAGTGCTCGCAGAGTCGTTGCAATGTGGCAGCGGCTTTTCTGGCCCGATGGCTTCGTCCATCTTTGCTGATCTTTGCTGATCTTTCTATCGAGTTCGGTCCCGTGTATAGCTTGTCACATAAAGTCTCCCATGAATTGAACAATGAACGAAGTTGTCGTGTACACTCGCCCTTCACATGAAGTCCGTGACTGGAAGTCGCAATTCACCTTCAACTCGCAAAGTCCCAAAATCTTTCGCCAAGACTTCTGTCACTTCTGAAAACTTCCCTCTCTCACTTCACGTCCGCACTTGAGAAGCTTTGTCCCCTTGCTGACCCACCAACCAAATCAACAACCACCAATCACCACAAAAGAACACCCAGAAAACCAACAGCAAGTCATCGACCATGCCTATCACCAAGAAAGACCGCGTGCACCGCGAACAGAAGAAAGCCGAAGCCGCAGGAACTCGCGTGCCAGTTCACAAGAACGGCACGCCGGTCAAAGCCGCCAAGCCTAAGTCAATTTGCGCGTACTGCCGCAAGGAACTCGTGAGGCTCTCTATCCTTCCTTTGCACGCGGTTGCGCGTTGGGAGTAGCGAGCAAATACCTGACTGCATCGTATTAGGACAACACGAACTTGAAGATCCTCGAGCAGCATGCCAGCACGCATAGCGATGCTTGGACGAAGGAGAAGTGCTGGCCGAATGAGTTCAAATGAGCAGCGTGCGATGAGCTCGGGGGCGGCAGACATAGGCGAGGGGAACAGACCGGCAGTTGAATGGAGTCAGCACTGAGTGATGCATGTATTGTGGCGTTAGGAGAGAGTGGTGCTTTTTAGAAGTTCAGATACAGAGATACCCAAGCATGAACTAAACTTTTGACATGCAAGCATACAACAGGCTCGAACTGATCACACCGGAAGAAACATGGCAGAAGACAGCACCCGGAAACCCGCATCACTCCACCGGAACGTAGAACTTCTCCGCCTTCGGCATCTCGCCATCAACAAACTCGCCCAACGCAAGAGCCTCTCGCTCCCTCCAAACAAGAACCTCCGTAGCCAACATGAAATCGTCATCGAAACCTGCAACTTCTCCAATGTCCACAGTATCAACCAGTAGCTTCATTCCTTCTTCGGACGATCCAGTATCCTGTTGCTGCTTGATATTGTCCGACCAAAGCATGTAGAACATCAAAGCAAATCTCATTGCACTTTCCTTTCTCGAAATTTTCAAACAACTTTCCATGACATCTGGCGCGACTGTTTCTCCAGTGGTGAAAGTGTCAAAGAGAGCGTCTATAATAGCATTCTGCAGGCGAGGCACATGCCACTGCTCTGCGAAAGTCCAACTCGAGACCAACAATACTTGGAACTCTCCTCTCTCGTGCTCTGTCAAAGGCTTGCTCCAGTCGCCATTGAAGTCTCCTGGCTCTGGTACACGTTCATGGTACAGCCAATAGATGAAGATGGCGTAGACAAACACGTTCGTGTCGAGTACGAGTGTGTCGTGGTATCTGAGCTTGGTGACGAAAAGTGGTGAGGCGTGTTCGAGAAGAGATCTGGAAATCAGGAGAGGTCGCTCGCTGACATCTCTAGTGCATTGCACTCGGATGAGCTCAGCATCAGGGGCGCGCAGTCGGCGAAGGAGTTCGAGAGAAGTTTCAGTCGTCTGAGGAGATGTGACGAGCTGCGTTGTATCACAGCTGACACCATCTTCGCCCTCATGAACCGTCGGCGTCAGAAGGGAGTGCAGAGTGTCTGAGGATAGCGATCGTGTGCGGAAGAGGCGCTCGAGCGTCTTTGGGCTTATTGTTTCCATGTTTTTCTGGTGTTTTTGATGTCGCCAGAGGTGTGTTGATGCAAATGAAATTGTCTCAGCAGTCGAGTTGGCTTAAGATAAACAAGGAAAGTGTTTGCTGCTTTTGTGTTAGATGTGGTGAATAGTGTCGCCGCAAAGTCTGGTCCAGGTCACATGCTCTCAAGCACGCGTTGACGCCAGTGGGTCGAACACGAGGAACGACTTCGCGACAGGGCGCTTCTTGCGCTGGTGGGCATCGAGGACGCGGCGTACAGTTCTCGCATCTTCGAGATCCGCTTCGATCTCCTTGACACCTTCAACATCGATGTACGGTTGCAGTCGCGCGTGATGTTGAAGTTCACAGTCGTCCCGCTCACTGTGGTCTTCGCACCATAGAAAGTACTGCAACAGTGCCCATCGCATCTTGGTGCCAGCTTCGGACGCTAGTAGACATATCTGAAGAGTCTCTGCTGTAATGTCCTTGGCCGGATTGTCGAAGGCGTCGAACAACTTGGTCATCAGCGCATTTTGGAGGCCTGGAAGCTCGACGGAATCTGCGAAAACCCAGGTTCGCACAAGCAGTGTCTGGTAGTCATCCTCGTCGTCCTGACTAGGAATGCTAGGATATTGGCCCACCTCATGCAAACCTGGGACTCGAGCATGGAAGACCCAAAAGAGGAACATTGCGAGCACATCCTGTTGCGTGTAGAGGACCAATCTGGAAGTCGATTTGAGATCCATCTGTGCTATGGTAAACTTGAACCACAACGAGCCACGGAAGACGAGCCGAAGCAGACCTTCCTGCACAAAGATCGGCTCAGCATCGTCTTCAGAGGCATAGACCCTGATAGTGTCGCCTTCAACGTGGTGCAGGCGCTGGAAGAGTTGTAAAACATTTTCGGGTGGTGGCCGAGGTGGGTCTCTTGTTTGATACTCTCTCTCACTCATCTTCAAGCCCTTGTTGGATGGAGCTAAACGAGTCGTGAAGAAGTTCATCTTTTGTTAACTGCCAATGCTTCGACAATTGAATGGAGAAGAAGGTTTGGGGGGCTAGATCACCACCATATAATCCTGTCCCTCTGTTCATGTGAACGATTCACGACGTACAAGTCATCTCGAAGAATATCCGCATGAGACAAATCATTTCTTCAAGGGTATCACGCGTTTTCGAGTACAGTTGACCCTCGACGGTGGGTTTTCAACGTGATCGAGTCCTCTGGTGACAATAGACCACGCGTGCGAGCGAATTCAGCCAAGCTCGCTCCTACCAAAAGCACGATCCATCGCGTCTCCCAGGTCGTCGACTTGCTTGTCTTGCTTCGCATACTGGGTAGGTTCATCCATGAGGTTGACATTAGCTGCCGCAGGCGACCGTGCTGTCGACTTCTCAGGCTGCAGGATATATTGCTCAGTGTCCAGATAGCCGGGAGCCTTCTTCCTCTTCTCAGCTAGTTCTCGATCTTTGATCTTCTGTTCCCATGCCCGGACTTCTTGCTCTGCATCTGTGCGCTGCTTCTCGATCTGCTCCAGCAATGACCTGTTCTGTGCAATGATCGTCTTCGGGTGTGCTGCGAAACCTGTTGATGATGTCACGTATGCCGGTAATTCTGGATTCGAAGCGACTGCCGGTGAATTGAGCATGGAAGGCGGAAGCGTACTCGGCAGCGAAGCATAGTTGTGTGGGAGGGTTGGTGCTTTCGGCAAGTGGATGAACGGGTTCACGCTGAGCGCCGTCTGCTGCAGCAGAGGATGTGCGTCTATATCGTCAGCTATCAGTCCAGGAGAAGAGTCTTCATGCGATACTTACTGTCTCCCTGCATTTTGTTCTGTGGTCCTTGCTGGTGAGATACTTGGGGAGCTCTCTGAAGTCGAGGTGGGCCAGTCGCATGCGCCACACTCCTGCCTGAGGTTGCAAGTTACATGCGATATGTGGGCAAGCATGGCCATGTCGTGGTCCTTCGTTCGTGTTCTGCTTTCTCAAACAACGATGACCAGTATAAGTAGGATGATGAGGACCACGATGAGCATCGATATGCAGCAACCAGACCAGCGATCTACCACCTTGTCAGCTTTGTACACTCGTGTACTGGTCCAACACTTGAGCACGACTTACCCTCGTTCTTCTCAATGACATATCGTATTTTCTTCATGCCAGTCCCCAGCTTGCCTGCCACTCGGTCTGTGATGTTCTCAGTATCCTCAAGCAGTTCGGCCTGCTCCTCCAGTTCGCGTCCCATCGTATCAGCCTGCATTCTAAGATTGCCGACAGTCTGAAAGACGCCATCCAGTGCCTCGTCTTGCTCATGCATTATCTCCATCTGTCGCTGCTCTTCCCAAGCTCCGTAGTCATCGTCGTCGTCCCCGTCTGCATTGCCAAAGGAGTCTGGATGCGCCAAATTGTCCGCAGCACTGACAGTCTGATTCAACTGCTTGCGCATATCCTCTACCTCGCGTCCCACATCTTCTACCAGCTTCCGTCGTCGCTGGACTTCGGGCACATCGAGGCCATACTTGTATGGATCGCCCTCTACTGCTCTCACGGAGTCGACCAAGTCCTGTAGATCGGTGGAAAGGTCTGTGAGCGTGCCCTCGAGCTCATCTCTAGCCTCGACTAGTTCTGGAGCAGATGGAGAAGATGCTGTGGATCGAATGCGCAAATAGGATTGCAGCAGTGGCCTCGTTTGTTGGAGCAAGGCGAGGATGTCTGCCTGAGCTTCTTGAAAGGGATCGTCTGACATTGTTGCTGTGGGAAAGCTTGACCGGTCGCGCGCAAATGATTATCGGCTATATCATGAGATGCAATTCCGGCCGCGAGATATTGTCGGACGCGTCCAATGGTTCCAGAGAGGAGCGTGAAAGTAGGAGTGATGATCTCGAGCAGCCACACTGCAAGTGTGGCTGATGCTCAACCCGCTGGTCGCTCCTGAGATGAGATGACAACACCGAGACAACAACACTCAAGCAACAGTCGACACTCCTACGATTGTGACAATAGCAGTCACGAGGTACACCCAAGCTCAAAATCTCCTCCTGCCTACTGTACTTTTGTACATGCCCGCCAGGCTGCTCCTGAGCTTCACCTTGGTCGCCTCGCTACACAGCTTAGGAGGTAGTATCTCTCACTCTCGCCAATTGCTCAACACAACACTTGAGGCCTTAAACGCGACTACCCGACACTGTTGCGAGTCTGAGACAAGATTAACGCGAAGCATTCATCGCGTCTAATCATATCAATACAAAAAAGCCTGGAGGATTCTTGAGCCGAGAACGTTGTCCCCCAGTTCCTGGCGGGCTCTTTCCGCAGTATGCGAATTGGCAATCGTCGGATCGTTACGCACCGAGACTGCGGGCTCGATGATGATGTATGGTGATTCAAGAGCATGTCCGCGAGCTGAGAAAGAAAGCATGAAACTTTTACTCGAGCACGACCGATTTGATGAGATCGTTCCCAATTTGCTGGACCTGATCGTGACGCTGAATGTCCAAAGGGCTGCGAGCTTTGGAAGCAACCCATATGTACTTTTCTACCTCCGCAGCATTTTGGTTGACATACAGCTGCAACATGGCCTCACTACTACCCGGCGCCGACCCCTCGGTGACACCATCTGTGCCCCACTACTGTAGGAACACCTCATCTGCCCCATATTACAAAGCATGGGTTTGTATATCAGCTCGCGTGCCTCCATAGCTTAACCTACACCAAGCAGGGAGCAACATCGTGCGATAATCACAATGGCATCAACAGGAAAATCTGTCTTCATCGTGGGACCTGGCTTCATTGTGAGCACAATTCCACGTCCATTGATACATCTCGTGAGGCTGACACTTTGCAGGGCTGGAATGTCCTTGACCTTCTCATCAACGAAGGATACCAAGTGACTGGCCTCGTCCGCCGCAAAGAACATGGCGACCAAATTGCAAAGTCTGGTGCCAAAGTCGTGCAAGGTGATCTGAACGACAAGGACAAGATCGCCGAAGAAAGTGCCAAACACGACATCACAATTCATACCGCAACCGCAGATCATCTCCCAAGTGTCGAAGCTGTGCTCGATGGTATCAAGCAGCGTACTGCCAAAGGACTGCCAGCCATCTTCATCCACACCTCTGGCACCAGCGTTCTCGACGATGGAGCACTCAATGCATACAAGAGCGATGAAATCTACCACGACGACGTCAGAAGTGAAATCGACTCCGTGCCCGACACAGCACCACACCGAGAAATCGACCTCGCCATCGTAAAAGCTCAGAAAGAACTAGGCGACAAAGCAAAAATCGCAATCATGATCCCGCCTCTCATCTACGGCTGTAAGGCACCCACCTCACTCAGAACAGCCTCACCACTCAAATAATACCTTCTAACAACCCTCCCAGTCAACCCCGCCCACGGCCGCCTAACAATCCAAATTCCCATCCTGACCCGCTTCGCTCTCAAACACGGTTACGCAGCACATGTCGGCAAAGGTCTTGGGGTAGAATCCAACATCCATGTCCTCGATCTAGCCCGCGCTTACATCGTTCTCCTGCACCATCTCGAAAAAGTTTCCGCAGCTCAAACCCTCGAGAATCCTTACTATTTCTGCGAAACCACAGGAGATAATGAACCTTCGTGGTACGAAGTCGCCAAAGCCATCGGAGAAGGTCTCCACAAAGCTGGTAAACTCAAGGATCCAGAGCCGAAGGAATTGACGAAGGATAAGTGGGATGATGCATTTGCGGGTTTTACTGGTGCGGTGATTGGATTGAATAGTCGTAGTCGAGCGAATAGATTGAGAGCGCTGGGATGGGAGCCAAAGGAGAAAGACTGGAAAGCTTCGTATTTGGAGGATGAGTTGCCCGAAATCTTGAAGGAGGACGTGGGAGGCTTTGCTGGCTACAAAGGAATAGTCGCATCTTGAGAAGTGGCACAAAATTCCAGTGAGAAGTTCATAATTCTGACAGTTATCAATACTTCAAGACATCTACTCATTTCGCGACAACAACAATCTTTTTGTTCGGGGGTCGCAACAGTCGCAGCAAAGCAATCGTGGTATCAACGAACACCCAAAAACAAAACTTACCCTCCGTCCGCCGTCACTCAATGCTGTCCAATATCCATCACAGGGAAGACAAGTCTTGCCTCCTCCCACAGCGAGGCCGAGGATCTCCATTCGACCCGTGCCTGCACTCATCACCCGCCGCCCGCGCTATTAGAGGTACTAAACACCGCGCGAGACGAGCAATAAGAAATATGTTCAAAAACCCAAACCCCCATGACGACGAAAACCCAAAACCATGGCATCGCTTCGGATGCGCGTGCACGCAATCATGGTCCCGTTGTACCGACTCCCGTGGAACACCTCTTGCTGCGTAAAATCGTCATAGCCATTGTTATCAGGCTCCGTTTCTTCACATGGCTGCGACTGCTGCCATATCGTCCATTCCATGTCCGTTCATTGCGAACTTGGTAAGTTCTTCGTCCGTCAACATCCCGATCCCGCTATCATCAAGATCCGCCTCTTGCGCTTGTTGCTGTTGCAGCTTGCCTTGTTGAAAGGAGAGGCTGTGCGCGTGCGAGGAGTGTTGCTGTGGCGCAAAGTGCTGTTGCTGCTGGTCAGGCATAAACATTGACTGCTGCGCGCTGTTGTCGTGTCCGTTCGCGTTGCCTTGCCCGGGTCCCATGCTGCTCATGCGACTCCCGCTGTGGCTCCGTCCAAGACCGTTATCCAGTACCGGCGATTGGTTCATGTTGTTGTTGCCATTCATGGGCGTGTGGCTTCCGTTGCTTTCAAGAAAGCCGCCCATTTCTGCGTTCCACAGCGCCATCTCGTCCACGAACATCTTCAACACCCACCAGTGGCTGTATGAAGCTCCACCGACAATGGTGATGTCGCGGATGGCTGCCGTTCCGATTGCTGATATGCAATGCAGGACCGTTCGTGCCGGCGCCTGAGGAAAGCGCGTGGGAAGTGACGACACAAAGGTCGACCAGCGGTCAAGCACGTTCTCTGCGGAGATCTGCATTGGCCCGTTGCGTGAGGTGGGACCTGTCTGGCTCTGCAGGAACTGCGCGAACCCGTTCTCACCGCCGTCGAAGCTGTAGAAGGATGCATCATCCTGGAAACCGGTAGCAGGTAGCGGCTCGAGTAAGCTGCGCATTTCCGTAGTCAAGATTTTGTACGTCTCTTCATACCCACAGTCAGGAAGCTCAGCTTCCATAACGCGCTTCACGTTGACCATAGTGCTCCATTCCTGCCACATCTGCTCCCGATTCTGGTCGATGGTCAGAAGATTTGCGGCCGCATGTGCTGACTGGTTCACCCTGATAAGGCGATATAACAGTCCAGCGAAGATGGTGGCCGGTTTAAGTTTCGCATCCAAGACATGAGCTGGCTGGTTGCCAAATGTCTTGGCGATATGAGAGTGCAGCGACGATGAGATGTTGTTCAAAATATTGATGACAACCACAGGCGCCGCCTGCAAGGTGAGTCTCGCGACGAAGCGGACCATGGTTCTGTACATGACCAGGTCGCATTGTTCTATCCAAGGCGCAAGGTTTGGGTGCGTGAACAGCTTTTGTACAGGCACAGTCAGCGTGCCGTGGAAGGAGGTGTACAATCGAAAGAACTGCTTCTCCTTGCAGAATCGTATACTGTCGATGAGGGATGTGCAGTGTGTTCGATAGAGTGCGACCAGAGCCTCTGCAGTGTCGACATCTGTTCTCGGTGGCAAGTAGGGGTGTATTGAAGGCAGGATGACGGGCTCGTTCTCCGTGAACGTCGGCATATTGCTGGGTGGAAAGCGCAGCGTATGTGTATACGAAAGAGCCGTCGCAGTGCCTGGCTCCAGCCCACGGGCTTCAGGATATAGGAAGGATTGACCTTTCGATGCCGGACCGCGAGGCGCAGCAGGTTGCGTAGCTTGAATATCGAAGTTGCCGTCCGAGGGTGGGAATGCCGCAGTGTCGGCTTGCAACCGAGGAATGTTGTTGAAGTCGATCTGTTGGGTGCTTACAGACTGCGATCGTTGACGGTTACCGGATTGCTGGATAGCGCCTTGCCATGCTGGTGGCATGTTCGCCTGCTCATCCTCGAGGGCCAGGTCGACGTAGTGGTATTTACTCTCGCCTCTAACACCCAGCCGTCTCGTCTGAATGCCGGGAAAGATGACGCGTACCAGTTTACCAAAAGATGCAGGATTGAGAGGGACAACCCGCTCGGTGCCGCAACGCGTTGCGTATTGTGAGTAGACGCGGTTTCGGGGGACAGAGGTTTTTGCTGGTTTACAGACTGTGCGGAGCCTGAAAGCTGGTTAGGGTCAAACCTTCTTCACAACAGACACGTCTACTCACCACAGCATGGCAAAAAGCTGCTTCGTCTTCTCAGCCATGGGTGTTCGCTCCTTCTGGATAACCTCGACAGCAACCTCCCGCAGCGGACGTCCTTCATTCTTCGCAAGCATTTCTCGCAATTCCTTGTCGTTCGTCGCAGTCACAGCAGAGCCCTTCCGCCTCTTGTCATCGTGCACGTCCAGCCCAGAGTTGATGGGCACCGACCCTACTCTCACATGCCCCGTGTATGACAGATCCTGGGGCAGGTATGGAGAGTCGTGTGCTCCGTAGCCCTGCGGCATGGCATATTGCACATTTTGCGCGACGTGATGGCCGAGGTGACTCTGCTGCGTATGTTGTACTGGCTCGTATTGTGCGATTTGCTGGGGCACCATGCTTGCTTGATATTGAAGCAGGGCGGCTTCGGGCCCTTGAGCCATGTACGTCGCTTTCGCATCGTGCACCGAGGGCGGATGTGAGTCGTGTCGTTGTGATGTCGCGCTCGTCGTTGAGGCCCGCGACTCGGGTCGCTGGCTATTGCGCGCCGACATTGGGCTGTGCAGTCGTATAACACTTTATGTTTACCTTATTTGTTCTGAGACCAGCCGGGAAGGATTTGTGTTATTGTTTTGCTTTGGCTGCGGGTGTGTCAGGAACGGATGGACTCAGACGGATGCGACGCCTCGATCAAGCACCTCAGACGTGTCTTGGAGGTCGTGATCGAGGGTGAGTGCATATGGGGTCTGCTATACCTGCGTGTATCCTCGACATAGATTGCGGAATGCGTGTTGGTGCAGACGATTTCAGCTGGCTGGGGATCCTCGGGCGCTCGTCGCGCAGGTCGCTGGGTGTGGAGAGGCTGCAGGCACGGGTGAAGCGAGCGGTGATGGTGAGCAGACAGTCCGGCGGGTGTGTTGGTCGGGGCGCGAGCGAGGCGCGGTGGTGGATGGGCAATATGGTCGACGGTCTAGCTCGATTGTTGATGGTAAACACGGGCGTCGTAGGTCTAAGCGACGACAGGAAGAAAGGTTTCTCCGTACGGTTTAGATCCCGCGTTTGACTTCTTGGTCTGAGACGGTGCCAAGGCCCACTCATTCACCGACTGTCATATACGTGAAAACGACCGTTTGGCGGACAGCGGGCGGGCGGCGGTGGGTGTGCTATCGATCTCGCTGTCGACGGCGCGCAGGCAATTACATCGGATCGATCTGTACGCCAGTGCTTGTCGATGCGGGCAAGAACGATCGGGAGTATTTAGCAGTGACGTGACGTGCGACACGGCGAACCCTCCAATCCTGGGCCAACTTTCCATTTGACCTCTACCACTCAACCGTCTGATTCAGAACCGTCTGCACCTTTTCCTCTTCCACAACCCGTTGGCCGCCTTCTTGCCCATTTAATTTCACCACGCAAACAATAACATCAACACCGCCGCCAAAACAACAACATCAACATGTCTTCATCCGGTTCCGTCCAGGAACGGTACGTCCAATCTGCCAGCTGCTGCGAACACGCTGCAGCCTTCCGCCCAGACCCAACAGTTGCGATTCGAGCTCCGTACCGCCAGCGTGAAAGAGTAGAGGGACGATGAGCAGTGTAGCCTTGCTGCACTCTGCTCCCATTGCTGCTGTCGAGAAGAGCTCGAGCGTAGCTATGTGGAGGGCACAGGCATAGCTATCTGTTTGCATGGCAGAACGCTGATATTGCGAACAGGGCTCAGTACCACCTGTCTCAGCTCGATAAGGAGGTATGATCAATTGCAAACATCAGGCGCTTGCGTCTTGACTGTACTGCCATACCCATGCTGACCGCGATACCAGCTCAGCAAATACCCCGCCCTCAACAACTTCGAGCAGCAGACCAGCGTCCCAAAGGTCTATGTCATCCTCGGACTTGGTGCACTCTACTTCTTCCTCGTCTTCTTTAACATTGCCGGCGAGTTCTTGGTCAACACTGCTGGTTTCGCCATTCCAGCATACTACTCTCTTCAAGCCCTCTTCACCAGCGGCAAGGCCGATGACAGCCAATGGCTTACCGTATGTTGGCACGTCAGAACATAAGGAGGAATCGAACACTGACAACTCACGCTAGTACTGGGTGGTGTACGCCTTCTTGACTGTGCTTGAGTCGGCCATCAACGCTGTCTACTGGTTCCCCTTCTACTACACCTTCAAGTTCATCCTCGTCCTCTGGATGTCCCTTCCACAGACTGGGTACGAGTGACGCTTTCCTTACCAAATTGCTTCCCTTACAGCGCTGACTTCTCCCCCCTAGTGGCGCCCAAGTCGTCTTCCGGTCGCTCCTCCAGCCACTTTTCGCCCGCTTCTTCAACGAGGACCCATCCGCCAATCTCAAGGCCAAGGTAAACGCAACCAAGGCGCAGTAGATGCCTATGAGTGACTGAAGAGCAAGGAGAGATCATCGTCTTTTCTGAAAAGCGCGAAGAGGAAGTTACGGCTGAGTAGCACGGGAAGGAATTCGGAGTGACGGTAGGCAATACTTTGCAACAGCTTAGGATAGTTGCGGGACGCTTGGATTAGTCCGATTCGAGAGAGAGGCGGAGATACTGGAGAGGAGCATGAGCATGAGCACATCGAGATGCGAATATGGATAAGCTGAATATGACATTGGCTGATAGCCTAAGCGATAGATTTGTTATGGGAGCTGGGTGGTGCAATGCTTCAACTTAAATTGTGTGCTAACGGCTTGCAAGGAGCTGACTGTGGATAGCGATCTGACTGTGATGGTGCTCAACCTGCATGGGATCGAGACAATCGCCGACAAGCCCTGCTCTCTTTGAAGAGGCCGCGCCTTTCCAGCTCGCCAGGTTGGCGACCGCCAATCATGTGGCAAATGTGCTTTTGTTGAGATCCAGCCACCATTCGAGGACAGCAGTGATGGAACTTGGACTTTTTCTACTGAACAGAATGAGGATCTCTGGCCAGAGTCCCGAACAGCGCATCGAAGCGGTAGAGCCCACCAACAGAAGACAGGCTATGATCAACGCGGACCAAGCTACACGACCAAGACTTCAAAGTCACGCTACCCGGGGGGAAGCAACAAATGGACGACTTAGAAGACGGAGCTAAGCAATCTCAAAACAGAGTGTGAAGAGCTTCGGAACAAGGTACGGAAATTTGCGAAAGCAGGTTGACCGTCTGGAATCAAGGGCAGTTAACCACCTAAGAGCTGCAATCCGTGCAGGTCGCACCGGATTCAGACGAATCGCAATTCATAAGTTGTACGATCTGCTGAGAAGCAGCGAAACGAAGCACACTTCCGATACGACAAAAAATGAGACGACAAGAGATGATGCGTAGATCCTTCCAATGTCGTCCAAAGGCTTCGATTCTAAGCCGGACCTCAAATGGATTGCGAGCGAGTACCTGGGACTGCAGTCAGCCTGGCGAGCAGGGTATGGATAACATTGCAAGGACTGTCCGAGACACGGACACATGCACCTCTTGCCGACGATTCTGAGAACTTCTTTGGAGAGGCAGAGGCTTCCCAGGTTAAGAGGTTGGTCACCGCCAAACCTGCGACACAATTATTACTATAGCTAACGTTATAGGGCTCTTTAAATCAGGGGAAGGCCTCTGCTGCTGGGTCTAGGCATTGAACACGATTATAGCGCTGAGTATCTGAGAAGCCACTTCCACTTTCCGCTGACAGCCCCAGGCGCGCTTCCAAGGATGAAGGTCCTGGACGAGTCGCTTCAACGTGTCTGCAGGCGACACAGCGACGCGTCGGCGGGTTCAAACTAAGGTGGCTATGGCTGGGGATCGGCAAGCTTCGCTTCACTGTTCACTCGACAAACAACTTTAGCTCACGAGCCCCACAGCTTCCCCTTCCGCCGGGTTCTTCTTAGCTCGACGAGAAGCTCGAAATGCATCGCACAATTCGCGCCTCTTCGTCGCCGCATCGACGAACTTACAACAACATCGCGCACCGCCGACATGGCGCCTGAACGCCCCTCGCCGTACAGGAGCCGCTACCTCCTTTACAAGAAGGGCTCGCAACAAGTGGTAAACTGGCTACATAAAACCGCCCGTGGCCTCGGCGGACACTCGAAATCACTCGACAAGTTGTGCGTCGACGATCTACCATCTCTTGCCCTGACCATCAACAACGCGAAGATCGAATTGCCGAAGAACATCGCCTCCACGTTGTCTGACGTGATCTATCTCCGACAGAAGGCTCACGAGTGGTATTCGAGTCTGGCTCGCGACGATTTCGTTGGCGGCGATGATCGTATTGGAGATTTCAACAAGAGCCACCGGTACTTCATCGAGAAACTGAAAGTAGTACGGGCGACACTCGATCCGACTGGTGCAAAGGCATCAAAGCACGACGCTTTACATCAACAGCAGCAACAGCAAGGAGCCTCAGCTCCTGACATCTCCAACATGTTTGCCAACCTAGATCTGGAAGAGCCATGTGACGGCGCACCTAACTCCGCGACTGGCTCCGCTACCAAGCCCGAGTCCTCGAACATGACTCCAGACGTCCTAGCTGGAGAACCTGGCGATGAACGACCATTCAAGATATGGTGCATGTTGCAAGATGTTCGCGATATTCGAGTCTTTGTGCGAGAATTGTGGCGCCGATATTACGAGGGAGATTTCACATTCCCTACTGCTGCTTATGTTACAGACATGGCGTTCAGGGCGGTTTCGGACATCGTCTCCGCGAACGCAGACAAAGCACTGCGCCATTACGCAGCCATCGTGGTGTTGATGGACCTTAAAATTGGTCAGAGCACGGATGGCATCGTCAGCTTTTCCAGTACAATTGATGAGGGCGCGAATGGCTTGGATGCTGCGGACCTGTACTGTGCCCCAGCCTTCTGCATCCTTCAAGAGTTTCTCATCTCTTGTCAAGTCGATCATGCAGCCGACTCTCCGCAAAGTGAGGCTCGATATTTTCGGCGACATCCTTTGGCCGTAGCATTGCGAGGTCTGCAAAGTCAGCTCAAGCTTTTGGCAGGAACCCACTACGAATCTGGCTATTTGGGACCCCTGGCTCTTGATCAGTTCACGTATAACATTCTCAGTATTTGCAAGTACGGCGTTATCCGGACTGCGACAGTTGTACAATGCCAGATGTACCTGGATGTGTACGATGCGCTCGGGCAGCAGACTACTTCTGTGACAAGCATGCTACGTCCAGTGGCAGCCTCAGTGGACAAAACATTTGACGACTATGCGCAGACACGGTCGCCGCGCTTTCAAGCATGTATCGAGAAAGACAGCAAGTACCTACGGGAATTGACCAAGATCTCGCGCGAGGACAGATTTCCAGGCGCACAACTCCGTGATGCTTGCAAGCCCAGTTCTCTTTTCGCAGTTCTTCCAGTCTTGGCGGGGACGTACCTGCATGAACTGCTCAGGCACGCAACTTCGCACTCGATCAGATGCGTAAACAGCAGCTTCGAAACTATTGGAGCCGCCTATTTGTACGCCGCCATGAAAGGCACGCCCAAGTGGGAAGCTATGGATTTACTCCTCGACCAGCATCAGAGCTACGCGCCGCAAGCATCGTCACTTTACAAACTCACCCGCAACTTCGAACAAGCTGTTGGGGCCAACAAGATGGCTTGTCGCCGTCCAGCGGGCAAAGGTTTACCCAATTCTGCCGCTGCCGCCAGAACCTTGTTGGATTTCCCCTATTTTGAACAAGCTGTCGTGCTGAACACTGAGAAGATCCAAGAGAGCGAAAAACCAGATCAGTTTCCAGGCATGCTCTACGAAGCTGTTCGTCTCCGCCGAGGAAAGAGTCTCACGTCTCGGGCAAGTAGCAAGAGCTCGGTAGATCTTCTTTCAGCTTTTGCCGAAGTCCTGATCGAAGACGAGGGAAAATTGAGGATCAATTACCTGGCCCTCTCAGCGCGCTGCCAAAGTCTGCTGAACGTCATCACGTACGGCTTCAGATCCCACCTGCAGGACTTACTTGCCAATTCGAACAGCGCAGGGCTTTCCCATCAAAATGTTGTGCACGCCATTCTACGAGAGGCGTCCGACTCCGCCAGTGCTCATTCGAGCAACGCAGCGAACAGAACGTCAACTACAATTCTCGAGGAATTGGATCTGTACTTTGAGACCTTCATCGAATTGGAGGGGAGAGTAGGGATGTCCGCTACGCCTTTTGGTAACTGCATCATGAACCAAAACAAGCCCTGCGACCGCTGGACCTGGGGAGGGGATGATCGGCCAGGGTACATCAAAGACAAGAAAATTTTCGGACCAGAGACTTTTTTGGATTGTGAAATTCGTAAGGCCGAGCAAACGGCAGAAGCCGTCTGCAGACTGGCTGTACAGCAGTGGGACTTTGAACGCTGCAAAGGGACAGAAGGTACTCTGATGGAACAGAAATTGCAAGAGATCGAAAGCTGGGGCAATTCCGAATTCTTGAAAGCTGGAATTGCTGTTAAGCTGAGGAGACTTCAATACTCGTCGAATGGGGACTATCTGGGCTTTCAGCCAGTGTTCTGCCAGGAGGCTTTCGATTTGTTGAACAAGGAAGAGTAAGAACTGGCAAGTGGCGATAAATGAAACAGAACAGACGCGGATGACTACAACCTGGTATCGGCATGTGGTTAGAAACCGACGGGATCTATTCTGGTTTTGAAGCATCTCGGTGCATGAAAGGCCGCTTCAAGGTATCGACACAGTCGGAACAAGACCTCCCAGCGCAACGGAGAGTGAGCAGACCGCTATGGAACATGCTTGTCTGCTGACCGTTCCCAGATAGCACTCAATCGTTGTGCAGTCAACGCTTATGGGAAAATAAAAAATTGCTTTTCATCATTCTATCCTGGTCCTGTCGTCGACATTATACGTCTATCGTCCAAATCATTGTCATCCCATCGTAAGTTCGCGAAAGTCGTCGTGCGGGCCATTTCCATGGCCTCCTCTCATCGTCCACATTAATTCCAGCCCTCCACCATGTTTCGTCTCTCCTCCAACATCTTTTCTACTTCGCAACACAAACCACACTCCCATCCTCCTGCTTATAACAAGTCGGCTTGTCAATACAATGCTGCTCCCCCTCCTCATCAACATAACACTGCCTCTTCTGCAACTCCTCCGCATCCCTCTTCTTCACACAAACCACACTCCCATCCTCCCTCTTCGTACAAGTCGGCTCGTTGATACAGTGCTGTTTTCCATCTTCTGTGATATAACATTGTCGTTTCGTCAAAGCAGTATCAGCATCTGAACGTTTCGCCACGCAATAAACCGTCCCATCTTCATTTTCAGTACAAGTCGGATTATCGATGCAAGTTTGTTCTCCAGCTTCGGTGATGTAGCATTGACGTTTTGTGATGATCGACGAAGTGGAGATTTCTTCTGGGGTGCGTTTGGAGACGCAGACTACTGTGCCGTCATCGCGCGTTGTGCAGGTGGGGTTGTTGATGCATTCTTGGATTCCGGCTTCGTTGATGAAGCATTGCTAGAAGGTTTGTTAGTTTGGTGAAAGCGAGCGGGTAGTGATGTTGTTGGTAGATGAACTTACTCGTTTTGTGACTACTGGTGCTGCGATAGAGAGAGCTGCAAAAGCTGCTGTGATGAAGACTGATTTCATTTTCGCGACCGAAATTTGTAATGATCTGTTGTATGGAACTTTGGTAGATTATACTGGAGAGTGTGATAGTAGAATTAGAGCAACAGTAGTAGCGCACTCAAAAGGTCTTATACGTCCTGGCGTACATGTGGCAAGTGTGCAAATCCCAGCCATCCTACCGGCTCCATCTCGTGTCTGGTCAGTAGAGGGTAACCGTTTAGCTCCAGCCTTGCATCATAGCAGTAGCATCGTAGCATTGACACGAGGCACTGTGGTAACAGTGCATCCTATTTTGTAGGATCTATGGCGCAGCAGCCAATGAAACACTTCGCAGGATGCGCTAGGTCCGAAGTTGTACAAAAGCTGTTTCTAAACTCGTCCGAGCCGACGCAAAGTAGTGCGTGGTAGCCGATCAACTACGCCTCACTCGGAACCTGCATGCGGCGAATTGCGGTGTGTTCGCTATGTTGTGCTATAGAAAGGTTGCGTTGCATCGCTTTCTCCAAAGGTAGACGATATCGGTATGCTGTGCACACTGGGCCATGCGAAGTTCGGCGAGCGCGAGACCTCAACGGCTGCGCATGCGCAGGGTTTCTGCCCGAGTCATGCTGTGTCGATCGGAGATCTTCACTGTGCTTCGCTTGGCGGTGCGGTGTAGCTATGGAGAGCATGCAAGAGAGCAGCGCTCTGGGACCACTTCCTCCGAAGCTCGTAGAAATGTGGGTGGTGCAAGGCATCTTTTCAGGTCGATGCTCCAAGATAGCGACGCCCGATTTTGCCGAATTTAGTCGGGCTGTATTCTGCGTTGCTGACATCCTCTTCGCTCTCTTCCGAGCTTCTCTTGTGCGCGAGCTGCGGCTTCACGACCACTACCAACCCGTCGCACGGGAAAGCATGCCACGCTGTCATCCGGAAACTATACTGGATGCAAAATGCTCCGACTGGCTTTCCAGGACATACGTTCCTTGACGATAGATGACTCGCCTTGGGAGTGCTGACATCAGCTGGCGGTAGTCCTGCTTGCGTTTCCATGCTCGCGCTTGCGATTGTCGCGCCGGGCTTGATCATCTGCCACATTTTGGCTGGGTCTTTCCAAATTCTCACAAAAGGGACCACGTGGACAGTGTAGCGGGATGTGGACGAACACGGGCTGGAATATAAGGCGGACTGCGCGACCTGAAGATGTTTGCTTGAATCCTGTCGTTGACCAAAGCCTGATATTTCAACGTCGCCTCGTTCCTCCAAAGCCCGAAGACTCGTAGCGCGTCGAGCTGGGCGTTGATGATGATCTGGATGGTCCTGCTGCAAAGCTGTCACTTCTGCCACCTCCACCTCCAAACCAGTTCGATGGTCCAGCCTGTGGTTGATCATATCTTGTCCTGTTGTTGCGATTAGCCCACTGGTTGGCAGCATAAGCTCCAGCGGCGCCGGCTGCTGTGCCAGACCAGAAACCCGGACGCCACGAGTTGCTCCCGGCAGATGAGTTATACGTTGATTTCGGTCTCGGTGCGCGTGGCGTATAGGGCGGAGGCGGATCGTTGTGGTCGTCGAAACCATCATAGCCACCACCGCCGCCGCCCCATCTTGGACCACGTGGTCGTCCGCCTTGGCCGTTGTTACCACCTCCAGTCCAGACGCTCCAGATGATAACGCCCAAAACGAAGAGGAAGAAGCACCAGAAGATGAAGTTCCCTAGTGTTGAGCCGCCTATTCAAGTTAGTGGGATGTCCCAATCATCAATGCTGCAGCCGCGGGTATACATACCTTCGTCGTAGCGGTCGTGCCCACCATTCCGTGAACTTCCCCACCAGCTGTCTTTCGGCAAGCCGTATTTTTCCTCGCCAGCCTTTGTGAGAACGAGTCGATACTCGACAGCACATGACCCCTTCAAAACGTAAGGATCGTCTGGTGAGTCGTAGCCTTCGCAGATGACATCTGTACCTCCCAGTTTGAATTCGATAGGGAGGTCAGCTTTGCAGGTCCATTGAATGTCTTCTCTATCGTATTCGTGTCCAGAGTTGGTGCATCGCATCCGGTCGACAGTGTAGAGCCCTTTAGCATTGCCTCCAACGCATACCAGCTGCGGCATCGCCTCGACTCGTCGATGAGTGGTCATGGCACCATCGCGAAGCGTGAGCGCTTTGACGCTCGACAGTAGAATGGCATCTTTGCTCTTGCTCCAGTTGCGAGCTAGTGCTGATGGAGCATGGAGGGAAACGAGTGCGAGAAGGAGTTTCGAGAGATGCATTGCGCTCAGAATCCAGCCGCTTGTGCAGCCTAGGGGCAACAGAGAATATGGTAGAGACCTACAGTGGAACGCAATGCAGTGGCAGCCTGCTACTGAACTTATTCACTGATGAAAGTGCAAGTTGTCATTGTTCATGGAGGCAGTGGGCTTGGGCGAGCGGGAGGCGTCCAGGCGTCGAAGCGTCTGGTCAGAATCTGAGTGGCGAGCCACATGGCCACAGCCACAGCAAGAGCGGGCAGCTGGCAGGGAAGGCGAGACCGATGCTCGGACGCGCGAGTCATGCAGTCGCGTTCCTCTTCACTTTCACTTCCTTTGCGACAACTGCCCGAACACACACAGATCTACCTCGCATACTCCAGCGTGGGCACAGCACTCGTTCGAGAGACTCAAAGACTAGCCCAGGAATTCGATCAAACTCATCCAGTGCGACAACATCACAAAACCATCAGGCAACGAAGCCGCTCACCACCACCCCTCCACCCTCTCGACCACCACAACCACAACCATGGGCCGCGCAGAACCCGGCTCAACCAAGGCAATAGCCAACAAATCCAAAATGGTAGGCCTTCAACGCCTCCGCTGGTGGTGCGAACCCTGCCAAAAACAATGCCGCGACGAAAACGGTTTCAAACAACACACCCTCTCCGAATCCCACAACCGCAACATGCAAATCGTAGGCGAAAACGCCCGAGGCTACATCAACGAAAAATCGCGCGAATTCCAACGCGACTTCATTCAATTGCTCCGCACAGGCCACGGAGAGAAGAAAATAAATTTAAATCAGTTTTATAACGAGTATATCAAGGATAAGGAACATGTGCATATGAATAGTACCAAGTGGCCGAGTTTGACGGAGTTTGCGAAACACTTGGGGAGAGAGGGGATTTGTAGGGTGGAGGAGGGGGACCGAGGGTTGGAGATTGCGTGGGTTGATGATAGTGCGGAGGCGATTAGGAGGAAAGAGGATATTAAGCGGAAAGATCGATTGGCGAAGGGGGATGAGGATATTGAGTCGAAGTTGCTGGAGCAGCAGATTAGGAGGGCGAGAGAAGAGGCTGAGAGGAATGAGGTGGAGAGGAGGAGGAAGGCTGAGGAGGAGAGAGTGGAGAGAGGTGAGCAGGATGGGGAGGAAAAAGTACTGGAGCCTGTCAAAGTGTCGTTAAGCTTGAAAGGTGCAAAAGTGCCTGAGAAAAAGAAGGAAGCCGACGAGCAACCTGTGGATGGCATACCAGTTGCCATCGAAACCTTCTCTGCAGCAGACCTCAAAACTGCGGACAACAAACCCGAATTTGAAGGTAAACCGGACAGCCAGACGAACGACGAAACAGATGCGGCCACTAAGCCCGAAGCTCCAGCCAAAGTGTCATTATCACTGGCAGCAAAGAAGAAGAATGCCAACCCGCTAGCGAAGAAGAACCCTTTCGCGAAGAAGACAGACGTCATTCGCGCAGAGCCTGAAAAGAAAATGAGCAATGCCGAACGCATCATGAAAGAAGAGCTCGAACGTAAGAGAGCTGCAGAAGAGAGAGGACATGGCGCAAAACGACAACGCTTCAACTAGATCCTCATGTGCAAGTGTCAAATTTTCTGCTGTTATTAGCGACGGCGTTGGGGGAGTTAGCATCATGTCATATGCTACGATTGATTTCTTGTCACGATCATCTGAAGAGGTCTGCGTCCATTTTGCTCATTCCAATGTCATTTTCGAAGCTCGAATTACATACTGAATGGAACGCAGGTGCTGTGCAGCCGTGCCCATATCCATTATACATTCCATCATGACTCATGCAGTGTCTCCAGTACCTGATCAACAGGTCACCTGCAGTCCCTCATGCGTGGCAAGAGGTGCGTCTCGTCCATTCCTACTCCTCCCTCCGATGTAGGCTCTTGTTGCACTGTTCTGGTTCAGACAAGCTTGTACGACGACGGAGCGGCACGGCTCGTGATGCCCGGTGACTGAGCGACGACCGTGACATTAGAACGGCGGCTGGTCGTGAACGCACTTGTGAGTGGCGAGGCATAGCTGAATGTGCTGCTCGTTGGAACAGGATTGGCGCTGGCCGAGGTAGTCACGGCAGCGGATGACCCTGATGCTGGGAAACCAGTAGAGCTTGGATTCGTGATGCGCGCAGCAGCAGTCCAGCTCTGCGCCCCACCGATGAAGGTAATGCTGGTGTAGAGACCACAGCGGCTGGTTGCACCAAACTGGACACCGTCGCAAGAGCCAGTACACAGGGCGGCGCATGCCTCGAAGTCAGAAGCTGTAACGTAGGCCGAGTGAGAGCCGTCGAAGCGCGAGTCGCAGCCGACTGCAAATGCAGCCTTGGAGTCGGCATCAATGTACACACTGTTGTCGGATGCTGGGCACGAGACCTCGGTCTGGCTTGGCAAAGCCGATGATGAGGTTGGGGCGAAGCTGACTCGCATAGAACTCATCCTAGACAGAGAAGTGGCCGTCGACGATTCTGTGGGAAAGGGAGCTGGTAGGTTGGTGATGTTGCGTACTGGCGAGGGCGGGACTGCAGTCGGCAGAGCAGTGCTCTCGCGAGTCGTATTGTCATCGTCCCCGTCTATGTCAGCTGCGAGCAGCACGTAAGGCAAAGGTCCGGCCACGCGGCTCAACTCGAATCCTCGTAGGCAGAGGTTGCACGCACGCGAACCTGGCGCCCACATAGCAGCTAGGCAAGCCACATCCTGATCGCACAACTGTAGGCACTGCTCTTGCGAAGCTTGTCCGCGCGAGTCGGTGGTGACACACATCGGTTCGCGTTCGCAGATGACTGTGTAGGAGCCGTTCAGCCTATCAGTGTTGGGAAATCCGTCACACTCGTTGCAGGTGACTGCGGACACATTGCAACGCGAGCTGACAGGCTGGATCGATACGCTCGGTTGTGGGGCGCGGGTAGTCGACACAGCTGACGAGGAGTTCCGAGCTGGGACACGAGTAGGAGCCAGCACCGTGGTGGAGGATGCCGTCGGAGTCAAGAGTGGGAGGAAAGCGGTGAAGGACTCATCGAAAACTGTGTCGGGTTCTCCTTTGGCGAGCTCGCAGCTTCGCTCGTCGAAGTAAGTAGCACCAGTGCAAAAGTCGAGCTTGTCACACTCCTCGAGACATTCGTCAGGGGACAACCATTCTTGTGGGGAGTAGCTTCCGTTGGAGTTGATGGAGGTATCGCAGAGAACCCGGTAAGCTTTGCCAGTGCTATCGACAGCAACTTGGCCAGAACACTTCGGACACATGGCCGCGTCGTCGAGATCGCATTGGCCGCTCATCCCGGGAGGAGTAGAAGAGGCAGCGGGGCTGGACTCGGTAGTGGTGATGTGGACGCGAGTAGTGCGGGTGACACCTGAGCCGGTAACCGTTGTGCTGATGCTTCCACGTGAAGAAGATGTGGTAGCAGGAGCAGGGTCGGCTAGACGCGCCAAGTTGGTGTAGCCAGAAGAGTAGGTCAGCCCATTCTGCTGTCCGGAGGCAATCGCGCAGCTGCCGTTCGGGGCGAAGGTGATACCGAAGCAGTCGTCGTTGTCGGTGCAGGCATCCAAGCAGATGGCGGTGGAGATGTCTCCGCCAACAGGCGTTTCCTTCTCTGCCTCAATGGCAAAATCGCAAGTGACTGTCCAGCGATGGCCCGCGTCGTCGGTGACATTCCTACCGTCACATCCCGGGCACAGTGTCGAGTCTATGTCGCAGCTCTGTGGCGCTGCTTGACGCGTCTTGAAAAAGTCGAAGATGGAATTGGCAGTAGCGAGCGAAGGAAGCGTGGTGGCGGCGAGGCCTGCGGCGAATGTAGCGAACGACTTCATGATTAGTAGTGTGTAGTTGAGCGAGTGGACGCCGCGAAGGCAAAACGAAGGAAACGAAGAGGAGGTTATGCGTCGACGAGCGCACTGCAACGAGCAAGAAAGAAGCAGCGATGTCTGACAGCGGAGCAGTTGTGATGTCCCCGCCGCGACTTCCGCTCCGTGTTTCGTCGCACATGCAAGGAGCAAACGACCTCACCTCGTCGCCCATTCCAACGTCAGGTTCACGCATGTGCGGCGTGCCGGCGTGATACTGAAATCTCCTCGACTCCTGTGCGACATCACATGAACGCAGTTGAGGCAGCACGACCTGGGCGACAGTCCTTCAAACTCATTGGTGCATCGCCAGAAGCAGCTTGCCGCACAATGTGTGCGTCGCGAGGCCTTGCATGGCTGATCGCAAGGCCGCATTGTGCATGGCCCAATCTTGCATAGGCTGTCCGCCCTTTGTTCGCCGTTGGTGCACAGCTCCAGCGCCGCAAGACAATGGACACTGTACTTCGTATTTGATACTTGCGCACCGAGCTGGCGGCGGGCCGGGGGTCTTGAAGGGAGTCTCGAAGGCCGCCTGCTGGGACAGGACGGGACAGCGACTTGAGCCTATCCGCACCTGATGCCTATGCCTATGACTGACCTGGAGAGTCACGCGGTGAGGATGTGAGCTACAATCCTTCATGCATAAACTACCTGGTCCAAGACGGAAGACTGGAGGACGGAGAAGTGAGGTCAAGCCGGTGCCATGGGGGCCCTGCCTGAGTCAGACGTCTTCCTCCACCTTCACGCGTTTCGCAAGAATACGAATTACGAACCACACACTCAAGCTTCTTCCTAAGCTCGCCGTAAATGTTTTGGCATGCAAACGACGATTCGCTCCCGAACTCGGGCGACCCGAGGGCAAGTTCTGATCCTGAGGCCTTCCGTCGTGGCGTAACACGCGTCCTCGTTGGTCGGTGTGCCGGGCCATCTCTGCTCACTCGGCCGAAGCTGGAAATGGCCCTATCACGACTCTCATCCTATTGCCTGGTCTCGGACCATTGCAGAAGACGGCTGCGCTGGCCGAAGATGCACCAGCAGGCCGCGAGCACTCTCGCAGTAGTCGTCCGCTTGGCTCTCTGAACACCAAGCGATCCTTGAATTCCAGAAGGACGCGAATGTGGATCTCGTATACATCGGTTTCCGGAGGCCATTCATGCTATTGGCCAGCGGGACCAAGCCTACGGCATCGACGAGACCTCCACGTCCTCGTGGCGTTTGAACCGCCCACATTGCACTTCGGATCTTGCTGTGTCCGTACATTGCATGCATTAATGCTCTCTAGTACCGTGTTAACAAAGGCGTAGCGCCTTTCGCCTGCCGGCAAGTACATCTTGATTTCTCAATTACACCCTCACTTTACATGTCGATTGTTTGAAGCGTCTACTGTTTCGAGAGATCTAGATCGCCGGCGACATCACAAGGGTTGGCTCTAGCCTCTAGGTTATCAATTCCGTCACCGATTTTACGAAGCGCGTCGCGAGACCCCCATTCGGATTCAACAGCAGAGACGATCCACCATTCACCACCACTCGGACTGATTCGACTTACAAACGACCCGGCCTGAGGGCCTGCATTATCACATCAACGCCGACCCAGCACGCAACTCGACAATGGGGGCAGAAAAGCACGACGATGATTGCTCGCTTGAGAACTCGTCCTCTCGCGTTGAGGCTCACAACAGCGATGTAGTCGACCAAGAAAAGGCGGTGGTGGAGCAAGAGAAGGCTGCGTTTGCACAGGCACCTTTTCCAACGCAAATGGCGCCGGAGCCTGCGCCGGCACTACAACGAAAGGACTCGAAAGGCTCAAAAGATTCAGCAAAAGCGGAGGACGATGAACAAAAAGACCAAGACCTGCTTGCGCATCTCCCAGAGCACGAGGCGGCGATACTGAGAAGACAACTCGAGGTGCCACCAGTGAGCGTCAAGTACACAATGCTCTATCGATATGCTACGAGAAACGATCTTATAATCATCGGGATCAGTTCGATTGCTGCAATCGCAGCAGGAGCAGCGCTGCCGTTGATGACCGTCGTCTTTGGCTCCCTGACAGGCACTTTCCAGGGCTTTTTTCAAGGCACTGTCACTGGTTCTGATTTCTCCTCGGAGATCAGTAAATTGACACTGTACTTCGTGTATCTGGGAATTGCGGAGTTCGTGGCTACATATATCGCGACAGTAGGCTTCATTTACGCGGGAGAGCACATCTCCGGCAAAGTCAGACAGCACTATCTGGCCAGCATCCTGCGACAAAACATAGGCTATTTCGATAAACTGGGAGCTGGAGAAATCACAACTCGCATTACGGCTGATACGAACCTCGTCCAGGACGGCATATCTGAGAAGGTCGGTTTAACACTGACCGCATTGGCAACATTCATCGCGGCCTACGTGATTGGATACATCAAATACTGGAAACTGACACTGATTCTCACGTCATCTGTCGTGGCCATCTTCCTTACCATGGGAGGCCTTGGTCAGTTCATTGTAAAATGGAGCAAGGCCTCGTTGGCTTCTTACGCAGAAGGTGGAACCGTGGCCGAGGAAGTGATCAGCTCTGTTCGCAACGCTATCGCGTTTGGCACACAGGATAAATTAGCAAAGGAGTATGACAAGCATTTGGCCATTGCAGAGAAGGCAGGATTCAGGACAAAAGCATTAACAGGTTCCATGATTGGCTTCCTAATGTGCTACGTCTACCTCACCTATGGCTTGGCCTTCTGGATGGGCAGTCGGTTCATTGTCAGTGGCGAAACCACTCTTCAAAGTGTCATCACCATTGTCATGTCGATCATGATCGGAGCTTTTGCACTGGGCAACGTCGCACCGAATGTCCAGGCTTTCACGACTGGAGTTGCCGCAGCCTCCAAGATCTACAGCACCATTGATCGTGTATCGCCACTCGATCCTACATCTGAGGACGGCATCAAGCTTGATCAACTGAAAGGCGTTGTTGAGCTGCGCAACGTCAAGCACATCTACCCTTCTCGACCGGAGGTCGTGGTCATGGAGGATGTCAGCCTGGTAGTCCCCGCTGGCAAGACCACAGCGCTGGTAGGAGCTTCTGGTTCCGGCAAGAGCACGATTGTAGGCCTCGTCGAACGATTCTATGACCCAGTCGGAGGGACAGTAACGCTTGATGGACATAACGTCCAGGACCTTAATCTTCGTTGGCTCCGACAGCAGATCAGTCTTGTTTCCCAAGAGCCTACACTTTTCGCCACATCCATCGCTGGCAATATTCGGCATGGACTGATTGGCACTGATGCGGAAAACCTGCCAGAAGACAAGATTCGAGAACTCATCGAGAACGCCGCGAAAATGTCCAACGCACACGACTTCATTTGCCAATTGCCTGAGGGATACGAGACCAATGTTGGCGAGCGAGGTTTCCTCCTGTCAGGAGGTCAAAAACAACGTATTGCCATTGCCAGAGCCATTGTGAGCGATCCTAAGATTCTTCTGCTCGATGAAGCCACCTCAGCGCTCGACACGAAGAGCGAAGGAGTAGTCCAGGCTGCTTTGGACAAGGCCGCACAAGGACGAACTACCATTGTGATCGCTCATCGTCTCAGCACTATCCGAGATGCCGACAATATCGTAGTGATGCAACAGGGCCGTATTGTCGAGCAAGGCACTCACGACGAGCTATTGGAAAAGAATGGCGCATATGGTAGTCTGGTAGAGGCTCAGAGAATCGCCGCAGAAAACGACCAGGGTGGCTCAGAAAGCGAGGAAGAAGAAATTTTCGACGAGAAGGATGACAAGTTGTACACATCTTCGAGCACCGATCTTGCGAAGGATCCTGACGACCTCAAACTTGCTCAAACCAGGACTCAGAATTCCGTCTCAAGCAAGGTACTCGCAAAGAAGGAAGAGCGCGCTGCACTGAAGTACTCACTGTGGACCTTGATCAAGGTGGTCGGCTCTTTCAACAAGACCGAATGGCAGTGGATGCTGTTCGGTTTGTTCTGGTCCGTCATCTGCGGCGGTGGTAATCCTGTTCAGTCCGTCTTCCTCGCGAAGTCCATTACTTCGCTGTCGCTTCCTCCCAGTCAATACGGCACGCTTCGATCAGAAGCCAACTTCTGGTCGTGGATGTACTTCATGCTGGCCATGGTTCAGCTTCTGTCTTATTTCGGGCAAGGCATTGCCTTTGCATGGTGCAGCGAAAAATTGGTCCGCAGAGCCCGCGACAAGTCTTTCCGTACCATTCTGCGACAGGACATTGCTTTCTTTGACAAAGAGGAGAACTCCGCTGGCGCGTTGACATCTTTCCTCAGTACGGAAACTACCCATCTCGCTGGTATGTCTGGTGTTACACTCGGAACGCTTCTTCTGGTCACCACTACTCTGATCGTCGGCTTTGTTATCGCATTGGCCGTCGGATGGAAGCTAGCATTGGTGTGTATCGCCACAGTACCAGTCGTGCTAGCCTGTGGCTTCTTGCGTTTCTGGATGCTCACGAGATTCCAAGCGCGTGCAAAGAAAGCCTACTCCAAGTCTGCTTCTTATGCCTGCGAAGCAACCTCGGCCATTCGCACTGTCGCTTCGTTGACTCGTGAGCACGACGTGTGGAACCATTACCATGAGCAGATCGTCGATCAAGAGAAGTCTTCACTCCAGTCGATCATCCGCTCTAGCTCACTCTACGCCGCCTCGCAGAGTTTGATGTTCTTGTGTATTGCCCTCGGCTTCTGGTATGGAGGCACCCTCATTGGCAGTGGCGAGTACAGCATGTTCCAATTCTTCTTGTGCTTCTCCGCCGTCATTTTCGGAGCACAATCTGCTGGCACCATCTTCAGTTTCGCACCCGATATGGGCAAGGCCAAGCATGCTGCACACGAGATGAAGACTTTGTTCGATCGCAAGCCAGAGATCGATACCTGGGCTACTCATGGTGATGATATCGCTGATGTGGAAGGAGACATCGAGTTTCGCGACGTGCACTTCCGCTATCCTACCCGGCCTGAGCAACCTGTACTTCGTGGTCTGAATCTATCAGTGCGACCTGGTCAATACGTGGCTCTTGTCGGTGCCTCTGGATGTGGTAAGTCCACAACCATCGCCCTGCTGGAACGATTCTACAACCCTCTCGTGGGAGGCATCTACGTCGACGGCAAAGAGATCTCCTCATTGAACGTCAACGCCTACCGAAACAAACTCGCCCTCGTGTCTCAAGAGCCTACTCTCTACCAAGGCACAATCCGCGAGAACATTCTCCTCGGAGCAGACAAAGCACCCGAAGACGTCCCCGAAGAAGCCATCGTCCAAGCCTGCAAAGATGCAAATATCTACGAATTCATCATGTCTCTCCCAGAAGGCTTCGACACGGTTGTAGGAAGCAAAGGAAGCATGCTTTCAGGTGGACAGAAACAACGTGTAGCAATCGCTCGTGCCTTATTGCGCGATCCAAGAATCCTTTTACTCGACGAGGCAACTTCCGCTCTCGACAGCGAATCCGAGAAGATCGTGCAAGCTGCACTAGACAAAGCTGCCAAAGGACGAACAACAATCGCCGTAGCTCATCGATTGTCAACGATCCAAAAGGCAGACATGATCTACGTGTTTGATCAAGGGAAAATTGTGGAAAATGGAACGCATAGCGAGTTGATCGCGAAGAAGGGAAGGTATTTTGAGCTTGTTAATTTGCAGAGTCTTGGGAAACATTAGATGGATTACACAGAACATGGTATTCGCGATGAAGGAATAAAAGGGGTGGCTTTGGTGATTTTTACATAAGCGATGGCGCTGGGAAGGCGAAAGTGATTTTCACATAGAGAGACTATTCGGCTCCTCCACTTTTATGAGATATGACGATCTGAATAGACGGCAGTTGCCAAAAGAAGGTTTTCTACTACACGCTATCGAGAAAAGGAAAATTCAATGACCTATTCTTCACTCCGATTCTAATGTCGCTATCCACGCCGCAGTCTTCTCAGCCACATGATCGCTATGCTCTGGATGTAACGAGAACGTATGCGGAATCTCTGGTCTGTTATGCAAAACTTCCATGGTCGTATGCCCCCCATGTCTCGCAGTGATCAAGTTGTCGCGACTATCATTATTGACCCAATAATCGTCTTTTCCGAATAGGAGGTACAGTTTCGTTCGCGGCGCACCTGGAGTTGTGGCGATACTAGTAGAACTTTCTCGCTCATCGTTGAAAATCTTCCCATTTGCGTTTCCATTCGACTCGTGGACCGTGCCCCAAAGATCCTGCGCATGCCATTTATCCTCTTTGATCGATGCGAGCTCGTCTCGCGCCATGTAGATGAGTTGTCGAATTCCGTGATCACTTCGAGCGAATGCTGCTGTTACGGCGCCGCCTTCGGGTCCAGGTGTCAAGTTCCTTGTAACACAATCTAGAAGCCAGAAAGCGTTAAGACAAGATGCCATTCCAGACAGGAGGTACCCCGTGCCGGGGAACGCCAGTATCGGCCATAATGATCGACCTTTATCACTTTTCGCGATATCGACGACTGTCGGAAAAAGACAAATTCCACCTTTTATCGAGTAGATGGATTGTTCGGTGGGTTGCTTTTGCCACCATGAGATTGTTTCGAGGAGCATGTATGCTCCTACGGAGTGGCCGATTAGGATCACGTCGAGGGGCTGAGAGTCGGTGGAGAGTTCTCTCGCTTTGAGTGACAGTTTGCTTCGGACGCAGTGGATTTCTTGCTGGAGAGAGAAGGGAGGTGAGCCTTGATTGATGCGGTTGGAGGGAGTGTGGAATTCAAATCCGTCGTGACTAGCGCCGTAGATGATGACTTCTTCTTTGCGGTGTTGGAGTGATTCTTGGAGTTGTGAGAGGTAGCGACGGTAGTATTCTACGAGGCCTGGGTTGCCGGGGATGAAGTAGATTAAGAGACGTTTTGAGGAGGAGCCTTGGCCTGTTCGGAACTCGATTTCGTCCGCGAGGGTTGTGTTGACTGGCATCTTGAAGGCTTGCTGAATAGCGATAATGGTCTGGAGTGATTTTCGTCTTGTCTGTCAACTTGCTGCGACGAAATGCTTCCAGAATGTGTTGTCAAGCGCCGAGTCTTCGTGAGGGGAACTGCGATTGTTACACAGAACACGTTGAGCCTGGAAAGAACGCTTGGCAAGGTAGCTACATATAGCAGGAGCTAAGAGACAGTGAGATGGCAATTACCTGAGATGTCTGCAATTCTTGATAGCACGGTATATTGAAAGCAGAAGTGGCGGTGATGTTTCTCCATTGGTTCGAGGTGAGAAATGCTGTGCTGGGTCGGCCATTTGTCGCGGGTGGTCAGAAGTCGACGGTGAGCAAGTTCTCCCTTTCGACTTCACAGCTGGCACGTCGCCTTCCTCGAACAGCAGATACAGTCAATTGATACCCGATATCAGCACAAGCTCCAAGAACAGACTTGCGAGACCAGCGACAGGATAAGTGGCCGACCGCTGCCTGACCATCTGGCCTGGAAATCATGAGCGCAACTTCAAGTGAGCTGCTAGTAGGTTCGGCTGGCACCAGCATCGTCGCAGAATGCTCGAGCAATGCAACTGGGGCCGAAGCCCAACCTCTCGATTTCAGAGCAATTATAATCATCCAGACACATCCGTCCGCGTAGGGCTCACAGAGCTGACTACGCCATCCCTCCGGCTGTTCTCCGCGATCTTCAGACTTACACAATGAGTGCAGAGTACCAGGAATCACGTGGAATGACCCACTCTTCTCAGGGTCGATTGGCATTTAAGGCTCACTCTAACGATGAGGATACGCACTCATTGAATGCTATCACCAGTCTTTCAGCTAGGCATCACGATCTCGGTCAACACGATCGCTCACATCTATGGTTCTCACCTCACACAGAACTTCCGGTCTGCGGGGCGTTATCTCACCACTTGTGATTGCACGAGCCTTTCCACCGTACTCACTTCATCTTGCAGCCTTGTGATCGCTAGCTTCTTTCACATGCGAGGCATGTGAGAACTCTTGCCGAGTGGTCAGTGCTTGATCGCGGGCATATCTTCGCGCTCTGCTTCTTTCCTTGCCACTCTCAACACAACAACATTCTGACAACCACTCACCAAGACGCTTCGATGTCTAACACAACCAATGCTCCAGACGGAGCCAGCAAGCGCGCCGTGGTATATCGAAAATATGAAAAGCATCACCTCATCATGTTGGACACCAATCCGCGACACATGGTCTATGAGGAGGGCAAGATCGCGGACAACGGCCGAGATATAGAGTGTCGCAGACTCATCAATGATGTCTTCAGGGAGTACGGCGTACACGACATCTCGTACATCTTCATCCCATTTCGTCATCGCAACAAGCAACAATACATCAATCAACAGATCAAGCTGGTGCTCGAATCAATGACGGACGAAGACCATGTCATAATCTTCTTTCAAGGAAGCGCCCACTTTGACGGAGAAATCGTAGAGATCCAAGATGATGCCGGCCCCAACGCAGATGGCATAGGAAACTTCGATGGCTGCAACTACTCGATGTGAGCAGACATTTATACTTGAAAAGACGAGTGATCGCTGAAATCCTTGAAGCATGTTTCAAAATCACAAAGAGATCAACTTCTATCAAATCTTCGAGATGATGAAGGGCAGCGATGCGAACATCAAGGCAAAACAAGCGGAGAGAGATGGCTTGCTTGCCCAGGGCCGCTCGCAACGAGACATCACTGACGATGATATCGAGGAGCTAGTACTGCAGAAACATCACGGCGTAAGTGCCATTGTCGAATGCGACATCACGCTCCTCTGGGACGCCTCCTTCCCAGATATGATCGTCAAGGAATTTCGTCGACCTCGTGGGTGCACAGACGTGATTGCACGACCAGAAGGCGCCAAAGACAGCCATGGTAGACCGTTGTCGGGCGAGGACTGGTGGACCAAGCAGCTTGCAAAATACCTTGCGCAGCTCTTGACCAACTTCGAGCAGACTTATGGTCACTACACAGCGAATTTCTCTTTCGTTGAGCTCATCAAACGCTTTGGGAAGGACAGGCACAACAGCACCCATCATTACTTCACGGATTGCGCCAAGCCGAAAGCCAAAGCCACGAAAGTCATCTCTCATCCAGAGATCTGTTTGGAAGCGCTTCGGGAGGGAAAACTCCAGCACATACGCAAAGTTCTGCAGGACGTGACTACGCATACCGAAGCAGATGAGGAAGCTGAGGAGGAGTCAGCTGCTATGCCAACGATTGCGACTGCCTCGCAGATTCCAGATCCTAGCCATGTGCCAATGGGCGCCGATGCAGCATGCCGCCAAACTCCCTCGGCCTTCAGCGACGAAGGATATGGCGGTCGCGATGAGGACAAGAGCTCATTGTTCATGCCTAAATAAGCATCGAAACTTACACGAGCTGACAACGAGCGTTGCTCAGGTCGTTTGCTTACTGGCTAAAGTACCAGCCAACGGCCTGAAATTTGCACGTCACGCATCGTGGCCATGAACTGAAGTCGGTCGACAGCGTCCACGGCTTGTGGTGTGCATGAACCGACTTTTCATGTGCTCGACGGAGCGTAAGCATTCCGCATTGATATTGGAGTGATCAAGCATTCTTCGACCGGTCCGGATTACACGATAGTATCGAGAGCTCGACACAGATGATTTGATTGAAGCAGCGTCATCAATGGGTTTCTGACTCCCGAAAGTCGCCATTGTGCAGTGAAAGGAAAGCTTCAGCATACGTGACTCTCACCGCGGAAGAAGCGCTTGATCGTAAGCAGCGTGTGCTTTCAATACATACACCTGTCGTACGATACGAAATAGAGAACAGATTCTTCGTGTCATTTTCTCCATACAAAGGCTGCCTTGGCTGCACGATTGACGACTTTCCGGGTTGGTTGTGTTGATTGGCGGACGGTGGCCTAGTCTGGCATTCCAGGTGGGTTGTAAGCGAATCAAGTTCGCTTGATTCTACGCTAGTATTGTCCCTATCTTCTCAATAGTGACAACCACAAGAGCATCGCGGCGTATTCGCTGGAGCGATGCTTCTTCCTATCGTGAATTCAGGTGAGAATAGGTTGATTTGACGACAATAGCGGCGGCTTTTATATCTTCCTACCAGCACCATTTTTTCAATCCCCATTCCATTCCATAGAAAGATTAAATTCCGCCTTCCTTGCCTTGTCCTTAACACCAGCTCGATCAACTCTCTACTCCAAACACTTCTTGATCATGCCATCATCACAAACAAGCCCCAGTACTTCACCACATCGAAGATCGCAACGGACGCGCAAACCTTCTGATGCTCAGACCACCGTCGATGAGCGACAGGGCATCTGCGCGGAGAACCCTCCGAAGTTACTGTTCTGGCACGAGATTCCATCGTGGCAGCAGGACAACGAATGCATTTTGTCTGGTTACAGGTAAGTTAGTCTCATTCTCAGCATATACTGCCTTGCTGCTTACAAGTCTCAGGCCAACGTGGGCGTCTATCTACGTGTCTTTCGCGAGCCTATCGTACTTGAACAACCAGACTGTTAATAGCTACTCGCACCTTTTTGGATGTGCGCTTTTCGCCATCCTCCCACTATATTTCAAGAAGATCTTCTTCGACCATCAGCCAAATGCCTGCTTTGCAGACCTGGTCGTAGTATCTGTTTACTGCTTCGGAGTATCGATCTGCTTTACCTTTTCAGCAATGTACGTTACATGCTGATCTAGATTGATCCAGCGGCATCTAACTGATTCTTTGTATAGCTTCCATATCTTGTGGAACCATAGTCCCAGTTGCTACCGCTTGTTCAACAAACTCGACTATTTGGGAATCCTGGTCTTAATGTGGGGGGCAGGCATCCCAACAATCTACTATGGATTCCTGTGTGATCACAAAATCCAGCTGGTTTACTGGGTCATGGTATATTCATAATCCCTGCCATGTGGATAATTTACTAACATGCTGTCAGACAACCACGACTGCACTGGGCTGCACCTATATGACACTGAGTCCTCGATTTGCATCGCCGCAATTCCGACACTGGCGGGCAGCCTTCTATGCGGGGTTTGGCCTGAGTTCCATCATCTTCGTCATTCATGGCCTTCTTTTATACGGGTGGGAGCTCCAGAGAACCCGTATGTCACTGAAATTTATGGGCTGGATGGGTGTCACCAATCTTCTAGGCGCGGCGGTCTACACCGCTAGGGTAAGTGACTCATGATGACAAGGTGCCAAAGCTGATATTGACCTGTACCCAGATTCCTGAGCGATGGGTGCGTTATAAATTCGATATGTTTGGTGCCAGCCACCAAATACTCCATGTTGCCGTAATGGTTGCTGCTTGGATACACTTTGAGGGACTTGTGGCGGCTTTTCGAGACACACATGCACTGCCTGTGGCTTGTGGCTAATCTTGCAGTCGTGAGACCTGTAGTTCCGGTATCTTGCGAAGGGCTGGCTCTTTGCATTTAAAGCAGATCTGCGCGAAATCCGTTCGACCGATTGATTGATCAGATTGTCGCGCTGGTGAGACAGATGACACGCTTTCGTCGACTTCGCATGGGCCGCTCACACCTCCAATTTTCTGGACTATCAGTGGTCCCAATGGCACATTTGGACTGTTGCACCAAGCCCCGACGACCTTCAACACTACCGAGTACACTCTGAGCAATCATCACACGACGAGGTCGAGAGGTCGATCGATCGCATATACCCCGGTAGGACGAACAGTTCCGATGGCCAAGTTGCCTGTGTGTCTCATTTTCTGCGGCCTCGATATGACCTCAGGCTACAGGATAAGCCTTGGCCGGCAGTGGCTCGAACGTGGTGGAGCCCTCGTCTTTGTACCAAGTGACTGCTCCGAGTCGATCTCGTCGATCAAAGACGCGACTTGCACCGTTACGAACCTTGTCGTAAACGGCATTACCATTCCGGTTCGCACCATAGGATTGGATGCATTCGAGCACGGCGCAGCTTTGATAGAGCAGTATCCTGTCTCTGAGGGCATCTCTGGAGGGTTCGGTTCGTACAACCTTCGCCGGAGCAGCGCGGAAGGATTCGGATCTGCTGGTCGCCACATTAAGGGTCATATAAGCACACGCAAATATGGTCTTCTCGTCGGCTGCAACAGCTTGAGCGACTCGCTTGGCATTCGCAGAGCGCGGCGTTTGGTGATCAACTGCGGAGGTTTGATTGCAGGGTCAGCGTATATGAGTCGGGGATGAATAAGGTCGGTCGCCTCGAAGTTTCGGACTATCTGCTGCCTCTTCAATTGGTATTCCTAGGCCAGGTAATTGGCTGGAACCATAAGAAGGTGCCAGCATCGTAATATGGGTTTCCGTAGACCAGTTTGTGTTTGAACTTCTCCTTCTGCAGAGCCGCAGGCGTTGCAGATAATTAATGCATTAAAGGTGTGGGCCGTGGCTCATACGATTCGTCGGCAGTTAAAGCTCTGTCTCGCTGCTTGTCCCAGACCGGGCATTGAACATACTGCGGGACTTGCCACGGTTTCGCAGTTATCATTTCCTTCCTCGTCTGCAACATGCTGTTGCACTTCGATGTTCTGGATGAATCGGCGTCGGTGTCGGACTGCTTGCTCCGAGATGCCATTCTGAGTCAGTGCAAGCAAAACTGCATCGTCTACGAATCTCGAAGCGGACAGAGTACTTCGTCATGACCAGCTTGCGAAAATAGTGCCATGATTTGCGCCAATCTTACAAGCGAGTGACCCTACTGAACACAAGCTATAGTGATTCCGACGCTTTGGGCTGGTCCATGCAATTTTGAAGACTCCGTCGTACTTTACTTTTCGAGTAGGTACTAGTATCCCTCAGAGCTCGTTGGCTGAAGTCGGATTCCGTCGAGCTCGATCACGCTAACACGAATTAGGTTAAATCAAAAGACATGGTGGCCGGCCCGGCGGTGGCTCAAAACATTACTTCACGATTTGATTCAGCGAAAGCCAACATCTCTTCCTTTCCGCGAACACCACGCGTCGTATCTCTCTGATAACGACGTAGACTTACCAAGTCAAAGATTCCGATGGCACCTAAATCCACCAAGTCTCCTCTCCACGTGAGCACTAGCTCTCGTTTGGACCTCCCAGAAATGGCAATTCTTGCCTTGCGTGCAGTCCTCCAGCCTTATCGGCCGCGGCGATTGGATACCCTGGTCGCCAACACTGCTGATAAGTGACTTACACGATTGACCAGCGCTGTGCATTGATGGAACCGCTTGCTGAGGCGGGGTAGTCATTGAAACAGACCTTTGGTGCGACAAAGTCTTGGTAAGTATATCAGTTGCGGTCCATAGCTGTCTACTTCCCTTCTTTTCTTCCTCTTATCTCTCTGAACAATTTCCCGGGCAAACTCGCAACACAGGCGAAAATACAAAATGGTGCTGGAACGACTACAACAGATGGCGGCTCACGTCACAGGCCAGAAGACGCAAACGCACCCATTCGATCCCTTGTCTACAGAAGAAATCGCAGCAGCTGTCGCGATTGTACGCCGAGAGCATCCGGATGTTCATTTCAATGCTGTCACTCTCTGGGAACCGCGCAAGGCGGAAATGATGAAGTGGTTGGCATCGCCAGAGACAGTCCCTAGGCCAGCGCGCGTAGCAGATGTCGTGGCTATTGGCAGAGGCAGCAAGGTTTACGATGGTCTCGTCAATCTCACAGAAGCTCGACTAGTGAGCTGGCAGCTTACTGAAGGTGTGCAGCCACTGATCACGATGGAGGACTTACAGATTGTTGAGACCGTCGTACGCAAGGATCCGAAGGTCATCGAGCAGTGCGGCATTCTTGGAATTCCACCAGAAGATATGCACAAGGTGTACTGCGATCCTTGGACCATTGGCTACGACGAGAGATTCGGATCTGGAATTCGATTGCAGCAGGCATTGATGTACTATCGGCCGCACGTGGACGACAGCCAGTATACTTATCCTCTTGACTTCTGCCCGATCTACAATGCCGATACCCAGGAGATCATGCACATTGACGTTCCTAAGGTCCGAAGACCATTGAATACTGCTCCTCCGATCAACTATCACTCAGATGCGATCAAGAAGGAGAGTGGCTTCAGAACAGATTTGAAGCCAATCCACATCTCCCAACCAGAAGGCGTATCTTTCACAGTAGATGGACGCACATTGAAGTGGCAGAATTGGTCCGTTCATGTCGGCTTCAACTACAAAGAAGGAATTGTGTTGTCCAACATCACATTCAACGATAAAGGTAACGTCCGCCCGGTATTCTGGCGTATGTCTCTGGCGGAGATGGTCGTACCCTACGGCAACCCAGAACATCCTCACCAGCGCAAACACGCTTTTGATCTTGGCGAGTATGGCGGAGGATACATGACCAATTCTCTTGCTCTCGGATGCGACTGCAAAGGTGCGATTCATTACATGGATGCTGATTTCGTCAATCGTGCTGGTGAGCCACAGACGATCAAGAACGCAATCTGTATCCACGAAGAAGATGCCGGCATTTTATTCAAGCACACCGACTTCCGAGATGATTCGTGCACAGTAACCCGCGCTCGCAAAGTTATCATCAGTCACGTCTTTACCGCCGCCAACTACGAATACTGCGTGTACTGGATCTTCCACCAAGACGGAACGATCCAACTCGAAATCAAGCTCACCGGAATCCTAAACACCTACGCCCTCGCACCAGGCGAAGACGCAGCTCCTTGGGGCACAGAAGTCTATCCCGGCGTCAACGCTCACAACCACCAACATCTCTTCTGCTTACGTCTCGACCCGAACATCGATGGGCCAAACAATACCGTCTTCCAGGTCGATGCCACGCGCGGCGAAGCTCCCGTAGGCTCGAGCGAGAATCCCTACGGAAACGCTTTCTACGCGAAGAAGACCAAACTCGCAACACCGAATACTGCGAAGAGCGACTACGACGGCAACACCAGCCGAACATGGGATATGGCCAACACGAACAAGATCAATGCCTACAGCAAGAAGCCGGTATCATACAAACTCGTCAGCCGAGAAGTTCCCCCTCTCCTTCCCAAGGAAGGCAGTCTCGTCTGGAAGCGCGCTGGCTTCGCTCGTCATGCTGTCCACGTTACGAAATGTAATTTATCTCGACCCGCTTAACCACATCGACTCTTGATAGACTGACTAATATGCCTCACAGACGACGACTCTCAAATCCACCCCGCAGGCCGTCACGTCCCTCAAACCTCCGGCGAACCCTCCCAAGGTCTTCCAGCGTGGATCGCAGCGGATCCAGACGCAAATCTCGATAACGAAGATGTCGTGCTTTGGCATACTTTCGGTCTGACACACTTCCCGGCGCCAGAAGATTATCCTGTCATGCCTGCGGAGCCAATGACGGTTCTGCTGAGGTGAGCCCTACAAGTTCCTGATGTCCTCTATTTGGAGAGAGCGAGTTTAGATGAGTGTGCTGATGATTGTTGTTGTAGGCCACGAAACTTTTTCACGCAGAACCCTTGCATGGATGTGCCGCCTTCATATTCGAGCACGCCGAGTCAGGTTGCGGCGGGCAAGACGGGAATCAAGGGTATGGTGGATGGGATCAGTAGGTTAGCATTCGGTGGATCAGAGCAGAAGAAGCCTAGCAATGAATGCGGAGGGTGCAAGTAGAGGGTTGGCAAAAGTCTGCTTAGACCAGCTTTGGAAATTTCATGCAATGCCTTTTTTGGTATCACATTCTATGCATAAGCTACAGTGCCATCCTCTCTGATCCTCGCTTGCACATTGAGTTGCGCTCGTCCACCAACGACGGCGGGTCCGATGACTGCGAGCTGGCCCTTCGGTTCTGATCCGCCGACGCGTGAATCGTCTTCGGGACTCAGAAGCTTCACTTCTACGGAACTGAGTGGCACGCCAAAGTGGCCGTGAGCGGCGCCGTCCACCCGTCTATAGTCGAAGACGTTCGTCTGTGACACTGCACCTGCTACTTGAGGAGCAGTGAGGGCATAGATGATGCGGCTTCGTGTGAAGATTCTCAGGTCGCTGAGCATCGTGGAAGTAAGTGGCGGCGAACCCGCACCAAGGCGATCGGAGGTGAGGATGAGGCGAAGCTTGCCGGGCTCAGTGCTTCCTGACTTCGGTGCGAGAAGCTTGAAGAGTAATCCATCTGTCGGTAAGCGACCTGCCGCTATCGTCTGATCCTGGCTGTATTTGCCAAACTTTTGTAGGCCAGAGCTGAGAGCGCCAGTCTCTTGTTGATGCAGCTTGGCTAATGTTTCTGCGCTTGCGATTATGACAGTTGGTGCAACACCTCTTCTCGCGAGAGCAAGATCGACACCAGGAACAGCCACGCTATTGATGGCAAGACTGGTGTGCATGAAGAGTGCAGCAAAGGTCTGGCACAGCACGTAGCTGTGAGTGAAGGTATCGGCGGGAAGGACCAGATCAGCTGAGCTTAGGCGTTGGCGAAGTGGAATTGCTGTGATCAGAGATGCCGTACCGGCAACAATGTTGTCTTGTGTCAAGGCCACGATTTCTGGCTTGATAGCAGGATCCGAATGCTGCCACACAAAGATGACGTCTCCTGGTTTGTCTCCGCTCTCATTCGAAGGTAGCTGAGCACCGGCTGAAGATTTGTTCTCGTCCACAAGGTCATGCCAGACGCTGACCTGCAGACGACCTTGAGCGTGATCAGGTACGCCGTTCCAATCCATGTGTTTGCTAGTCCTCTCCACGACCCAAGTCACTAGGCGAAGCTGTTGGCATGATTTTGTCAAATCGTCGAGTGGAATAGTTCCGGCATTTGCGACAAGAGCATCAGCTCCAGTGGCATTGAGAAGCTCGTAGACCTTAGGGTGAGGCACGTTGTACGGTAACAGCACGGGGCTCAGACCGTGGAAGGCACATGCTATAAGGACATCAGTTATCACGACCTCCGAGTTTGAAACTCTCGTACCCACCAAAGATGGTCGAGAGATATTCGACGCTGTTGGGCAGATAGATGGCAACCTTCTTGACACCGGCGTCCTTAAAGTGCTTTCCAATGATGGCAATCTCTTTGCTCAGCTCATCAACGTCGTGCTCAATAATTTCTTGCTTGCCCAGCACAGTCATGATCAGACCGCGAGGAATCTCCTTGCCATCCGGGCCTTGACTTCCACCTTTTTGCACCTCCCGCCATATGTCTCGAATATCTCCGTCCTTTCCGGACGCCCACCGGGGAGCGGAGGCATCCTTGACGTTCAATCCAGACTTGAGAGCATAGCCATGCGGAACTTCTGGTGATCGATATACAGCTGATTCGCCTTTTTGTCTGACAGCACTTGGGGTAGCTTGTCGAGCTAGGAGCAGAGGATGTGTATCGGGCTCATTGGGGTAGATGACGGGATAGATGAAGAAGGCGGCGAGGGCGAGGGCCAAGAGACTGGTGACAATGTTCCAATCGGCGAGGAGACTGGCGACGGTAGCATCCAACGACTCCAATGCGTTGGGCATGTTGGCGTGTAGCTGCAAGAAGTCAGTCCATGCGTGAGAGTTGGCTGCGTGAGCGTGAGACGATAGCTTTATCCGAATCAGCCCCACCAACACGTCAAATGTGGCTGCGTGTGGCGGTGCAAGACGCGGCGCGATGCTTTCCTAGCCTCGTAGCAACCAAATCCCGCCAAATCTACCGCTTTGTTGATGACTTCGCGAATACCGACCATTCTGTACAATGGACTGAGCGACATCCGACGACGACGCGCATACTAACCCACAGGTACTAACAGACAGCAGCCATGTCGTCGACGGCATTGGCAACCACTTCACAGTCCGTGTCGCAGACCTCGACCGGGAGACCCTCTGCAATCGCCAAAGCACTGCCCATCCTCAATACTCCCAAGAAGGATATCACCCAGCAGCCTTCGACTCCCGCACGACAGAATGGACAGTGGACACACCCCAGAATGGACGAGGTCATCCGGAGGCGAAATGCGACCAACTTCGACAGCAGCAATGTCACCAGCATCCTGATCAGCTCCGTGCTGATCATTCTGTCGCTCTACACGCCCAACGTCCTCTTCCTCATGTCAGTCGCACGTCAGTTGGCTCGGTCGATCCTCTCTGACACTCTAGTAGATTCCCCACAAGCTGGCTCGCAGCAGCATACCCATATCCTCGATACGCGGTCTGGACCTTTCAGGCACTCATGACCCTGAACATCGCAATAGCAACCCTTCCTCTCTGGCGGAAACCCGACGCCTGCGAAGACATTCCTCTCACACCTCAGCAGCGCAAGCTTCTCGGCCTTCCGCCCATGACACGCCCCGCGACACCGCAAGAGAAGGAACAATACGTCACACCACCGCGATTCTCGCGTTCTAATACGCCTACGAGCAGGAGCAGCAGCTTGAACGCGACTCGAGGTAACTCGCCACTTTCAGGACGAGGCACGCCCATCGACGCAAATGGCAGCTTCCGAATGAGCGGATCGGGATCAAATTCACTGTGGGGTTCTCCTGCTCAAGGAAACCAATTACGAAGGACAGAGAGTGGGAAATCGTTGCTTGGAGAAAGCTTCAGCGAAAGTGGTGGTGAGAGGAGGCGACTGAGTTACACTGCTCTCAGCAATAGCTCGCCACTTGACATCAGCGGATTTGAATCCATTGGGAGAATTGAGACACCAACAAAAGAGAAGCGTGCGAGCGTGGGATTGAACAACAAGTGGCTGTACGAACGAGGTCGAGGCAGCCCAGGCAACGGGCGCTTGAAGTCGAGTTTACCCGCAGGGAGCATGTGGTAGGCAAGAATAACAGGCCTTCGTCTTCCGGCCTTATTATCCAGGCAGGGACCAAGAGCATCAACAACCGACGAGGCACGTTCTCGTAGAAAGAATCTATAGATTCGCTGATGCACTGCGGGCTGTACAGTAACGAAAGATGAGCTCCCACGAGTGGCTCGATGATATGGCTCGATTCTGATGTGCTACCTTTCCGTTTTGTGCCTTACGAACTCGCTGGCATGACAAACTACAACCGCCCTTCATCGACCGCTAAGCATATAAGTAAATCATCCCCAAACCCTCCCCGCCATCCCACTCACCAATCCAGATATATTTCTCCCCCAAGTCGTCCTCACCTGTCCCGTAGCAGTAACAACAACCCCTTTCCCTCGAAACTCCTCCCTCCTTTGCGCAATTTCACAATACGCCACTCCCAAATCCGCATACGAAACCTCATGCCTCACGTCAGCTTCCCCTTTCTGCACCGGCGGTTCCACATCAAGTCTATAACCCGTTGCTCCTCCCAATCCCTCTTCATCATGGATAGCTGGCGGATCAACATACACAATCTGAAGCAGCCCTGGATTCTCCTTCGCTGCAGTTTCGTACAATTGATTCGACTCCATCATAGCATCGTAGAGATATCTCAATGCGAAGAATAGAATGGCGGGTTTGTCAAGACTGGGGTTAAAGATTTTGTTCAGAGTGATAGCTCGAAGGATTAGGATCGTAGGTGTTTTGTATTCTTTTCCTTGTTCGGTTTGGATTTCGTGGAGAGCGCTTATTACGGCTTGTGTGGTATCGCTAAATAGCGTCATGCCTTTTGTGCTGTCGTTTGTGGCGATGCACATGAGGATGACATCTGTGCTGGAGAGGGCTTGTTTCCAGAGGATTGTGTCTTTGTTACTGCCGGCGAAAATCTGTATTGGGAAAGGAGGAGAGGTTTCGAGGGTGGGAAATTGGGTTAGGAGTTTTTCTTTGTTGCGGAGGAAGATTTTGAGGGTGAAGGGTTCTTGATTTGATTCTGGTTGTGGTGGATTGGAGATGAGGTGGTGGAGGATGGCACGACCTGTTGCGCCTGTTGCGCCGCAGAGGGTGTATTTGACCATGTTGGCTGGCTTGTTGTGCTGTGATGAGACGTGTGTGTTGCAGATGGTTGTCTGTAGAAGAGATCAAAGTGCAGTTGTGTTGCTACTTCGGAAAAGTAATATCTTTGCTAGAGACGAAGAACAGGGATCACCTACTGACTTGCACTCTTCTTATCCTACAGCCATCTCTGCGTTACACGTTGTGGTAAAACCGCAGAAGCATGCTGCTTCGGTCTTTTAGAAAAGACCGTCTGCCCTTTGTAAGGTCCGGACCTTCATGTCGTGTCGATCACCAATGCCAAGTGACGTCAGGATATGTGATATGCAGTATGCCGCCAGCAAGAAGCCTCATTGTGCCTCTTAGCAGCAGGAACGCGGCAAATGGAGTTCTGGCCTTCGGTAAAACATATGCTCCGGATGTACTCTCAGACTCTAGGCTGGCTCTCTGAATGTGATCCCAGCCCGCTTATAGTAAGTGCGTTGAAGGACCTACCAAGGCTGCAAGAGCAACTGGGCCTCAATCACTCAAGAGAGGTGAGTTGCGACTGCTCATGAAGTTGAATAGTCTGGCCTATGTCCGTGGCCATTGTATGTTCACCCGAGTGCTAGAGGTCAGAGCAAGGCATCCTGAAGATTCCACAACCGGTCTGAAATTCACTCTGAACAGCCGTCTGCTGTCAAGTACTTGTGCACATGGTCGGCAATCTTGATCTTGAAATGAGGCCAGCGAACGCTGCGATCTCTCGCTACCGCATGGCCATCAGGCATCAATAGAGAAACTTCTGTATCGCTATCAGTGCTCTCTGGTAATTGCTTGGTCCATCTCTTCACACTCTGTTCTATCGATCCGCATTCTGTTCCCGTCATCTGTTCAATCGTGTCGCCGGCGACCATTTCTGTTGTCTGTACTCCTATACAATGCTCGCTAAATAGTCCTTGCTCTAGATGCTGTCGATATCCTTTAATGCTTTCTCTCATGTTGCAGCGTCATATGGTTTCTGGCCATACACAATGTACCTGCGAACGTTAGCCGAGCAGAGAGACCTGAAAGGGGGAGAAACTAACAGAGGGCAGTAACTGTGAATTGCCTTCTTCTTCCACTCCCTTCGCACTTCCATCAGTAATACCTCCATCTGCTCCACGCTCCACCCCAAACCGAGCGTAAATGTCCTTACACTCAGCCCGCTCAAGCCTTCTAATAGACCAACAAGAAACAACAAACCAGCTTGCCGTAGCCTCTTATCCTTTGGCCACGGCCCAACAGGGATCTTAAAAGCCTTCACAGTACAGTTAATAAACCCCGCGGCCTCCATCTTCTGTTTAATCACATCAGGATAACAACGGCCGGTCAAACCAAAATTCGAGATACCCTCCTGCCACAAATCGATCCAGCGCTGCACCGCTCCATCTGCCGGCATAGTCCCATCATCCGAAGCGAATTGGAGATCAAATTCTTGGTTCTCGACCCACCCGCCAGGCTCGAGAGTCTTCCACGCTTGCTCAAAAAAGAAGTCCCACGATTTGAGGGAGAAACCGTTCATGAGACGTGTATGAATGAAATCGAACCTTTGGCTGAATGTCCATGTTTCGTCAGCATCCATGACTTGGAATTCGAGATTGGGCGGAACGGCGGTGGGTTGGATGGGAGAAAGATCGATCCCGATGACTTGGGCGCTTGGATGGTCGTCTGCGACATCGATGGCCCAAATTCCTGGGAGAGGTTAGTGGGAGGGAAATTCATGTCTCAGGCAAGGAAATGAAATCGGCTTCTTTCTACATCGAACTGGTTGCGATGTTGCATCTCCAGATTCTAGACGAAGTGGTGTTTCGCCCCAGCAACGGCTTGACGTACCTGTCCCTGTCCCCACGTCGAGGATCATACCAGGACGCTCAATCGGGCAATGCCAATGCTTTTCTTCGAGGGTGAGGCGGATGCTATGGTACGTGATGTCCATTCGCTCCTGTTCTGACTCATCGTTGGGCAACGCATATTTTTTATCGCGTTGAAAAGCATGATATGTTCGGCCGTTTTCTTCTTCATAGTCAAATATGCTCGACGCCACAGAGGCTGTCGAGAGGGTTCCTTCTTCGTAGCCAGAGTCGTCGGAAAAGGAATCGGCGTCCCGCGCCTATCAAGATGTCAGTCGACCGGACGCTGGACCGAGAGGAACACACGAGTATACCTCGACGTTAACATCGTTCAGTTCCGCTTCCGCTCCGCCATGGTGATCCATTTGTCGCAAGCAGCGTCTTCTCTCTTTCGACAGAATATGTGCACATGTGTGAGAGCGAGCGCAGCAGAGTTCTTACAGGCCGTTATGAGATTCGGATATCGGCAAGTAGAGAAGCGCTGTGCATGAGACCGAGCCGGAAGGCAATACAGAGAAAGATGTGCAAGAATATACGCCGTGGACCATGGTCCAGAGCGGGTCTTCTCACTTGCACAACCGCAAGCACTAGCGATCTGTGCGACGCGAACCACGTGGAGTCGAGAAGAGGTTCGTGCGCGTTGGCGGCGGCGTCGACGGGATGGACCCCCGATGTGTGGCTAGCTCCACGCCTACCGAGATGGCGTGCGCTTCCTGGTCCTCCCCGCGGAAAAAGGGCAGACCTTGTTGGCCAGCTGCCGAGGGCCAACCTTTCGTCCTGCAGTAGTCGATGATGCGGGCATCAAGATGCGTAGACACGCAACCTTCGTCTCTGGCAGCATCATCACCATCCACCAGACCGAGTGCGAAGACCGTCGAATGTGTCTTCAAAGACGATCTGCCTCACGGTCCACCAATTATAGTGTCTCAGATGCAATGGGGATGTCGTTTTCCGCTGATTATTACTCTGCAGGTAAATCCTCGCTTACCTGGAATTCGTCGATTTACGAAGACTGCTCTCGCTAGACCTTCTAGGGCGATATCCGACTCTGGAAGAAGCAGCCTGTCCGATTCATCCAGGTCAAGACCGACAGAAGGAGTGGCATTGAGCAGGCTCTGCAACGCTGCTCGATGCCTCGTACTGCTGTGCATCTTAGCTCACCGTCAACATGCGTGAACATGCAGAGAGCATCTGCTAGCTTTGCATTGCACAGGTGATAACAGACGCTAATCGCGATCCCCACTTCTGACAGATCCTACAGAGTCTGCGGCCGTTGCATCGGCACAGTCAATAACGTCCTTCCCCGTTCGGTATCTGCAGGAGATCGGGCGAAACCCTCCAAATCAGATTGCGATTAGCACGCAAGCACGGCCATGTGGTCTCGCTTGTCTCCCATCCAGCAAGCAAGCCCGTGGTTTCGCGTATATCTGTCATTCGGGAGCCAAGTGATTTTCTTTTCGTTCTCGACTGCTTGACTTGCTTTCGCCATGGCCGCTTTGCAGAGCTGATAAGATCCTGCCGGCCCGCATAGCTGCACAACGAGAGCTGGCTCGGGGCTTCGCGTGCTCTGTAGTACCAGGGTCGTCGCTTTCTTTTAAGCTCGATTGGCCGGGTTTCGTTTGGGACTGATCACACATACCGACAGTATGGCTCTGCTATCCAGAATCGCAGTTGCAGCTGTCACGCTGCTGGCGGTGTACTACATAGTGGGATCAATCTTGAGCTACCGCCGACTGCGCCAGTTCAAAGGACCACCGCTCGCCAGCTTTTCACGATTCTGGCTCTTCTGGAAAGAATGTAGAGGCACTCTTCCTCATGCCCAAGTTGCAGCCCTGGAGAAATATGGTATACGAGTTCACGTCTCAAACAGAGTGACAGGTAATGAGCTGACGTGATTTGAAAGGATCCCCGGCGCGTATAGGCCATGACTTGCTCGTTACCGACGATGCGGAACTGATTCGTCATATCAATGCGCCCGGCTCAAGGTGGACGAGATCAGGATGGTACGATGCTATGCGGATGGACCCGAGGCAAGACAACGTTTTCTCGACGCGCAATGAAGAGGCGCATGTGGACTTGAAGGCAAAGGAAGCTGGCGGAGTGCGTCGTCGGAGTTGCTCGGTGATGGCGAGGACGGTGTGACTGACCAGCTTGCAGTATAACGGCCGCGACATCAACACGATTGAGCCTGATATCGACTCCCGAATTGGCGAATTCATTGGGCTCATCCGGAAACATGAAGGCAAAGTCGTCGACTTGGCGCCCAAGGTCCGGTATTTTGTCCTGGATGTTCTGAGCACAGTGGCCTTTGGACGCCCGTTTGGATTCATGGCTGCTGATGAGGACAAATGGGATTACTGCCAAACCTCGGATGATTTTACTCTGATCCTAGGCCTTACCGCTAACCACAGCTCGGTGAGATGGCTGCTCGGCCAAGATTGGGTCCAGACTCTCGCTGCACCGAAGACCACGGATAAAAATGGAATTGGTCCTGCGCTTGCCTTTGCCCACAAGGCTGTGTCGGAGAGGTACGGACCCGATGCAAAATCCAGAAAGGATATGCTTGGCCACTTTGTGAACAAGGGACTTTCCCAAGTGCAGTGCGAATGTGAAGCTTTTCTCCAGATCATGGCCGGAACTGATTCTTCCGCAACGATTTTGCGATGTGCCATTTTCACCCTCGCTGGTAATCCCCGCGTGTATGCGAAGCTGCGCGCAGAGATCGATGGCGTGCTGGGGCAGAACACGTCTCTCAGATACCCGGATGTGCTAAAGCTGGAATATCTCAAGGCCGTCATTTGGGAGACGATCAGGTTATTCCCTCCCTTGTTTGGCCTGAAGGAGAAGTGTGCGCCGGTCGGTGGCGACGAGTTCAACGGCGTTTTCTATCCAGAGGGATCCAGTGTAGCCGGGTGCGATGCCGCCATAATGAGGAGAAAGGACGTGTTTGGAGATGATGCCTCATTCTTCCGGCCCGAGCGATTACTGGAAGGTGACGATGCGCTTCGGCGAAAGCGAATGCAAACTGTGGAAGTCGCGTTTGGTTCGGGTAGATTCCTCTGCCTTGGTAAGAACATTGCCATGATAGAGTTGCACAAGACCATTGTTGCGGTGAGTTGCCTGACCTTCGTGACTGCACCGAAACTTGGCTGACATTATCAGATAATGAGGAATTTCGATTTCGCGATGGCGGATCCCATGCGAGCTGTCGATGATGTTTTGCATAACGTGCACCAGCAAAAGAACATGAACTTGGTGTTCACCGCACGGGAGTAATGACTTATGAATGATTTACAGCTACAGTTACAAGATACCACAATGTATGAGAGATGATGCATATTGGCAACACAAACTGCCTTACAACGATGACTTCACTCTCTGGGAGCTCACTTGCGCCAAATACCAACAAAACTTCTGCGCGGTAACGTGAGAATCATTGCCAAATAGCTAGCTGGTGCGCACATGTTCCATCTTTTGCCAAACATCTGTTGGTGAATGTGTGTTGTAGTTAAGTAGTGAAGCAAATCTGCCAAGACTTTTGGCACCCGCCGCGGCAGTCACGTCGCCCAAAGCTTCAACTGAGGTTGGACGTGAAGCACTGCGATAACATCAACCTTTCACGACCTGCCGACTTGTCCTCGATCTTTGCGCGCCCGCAGAAACATCCATTGGGTAACATTGCCGAGCGCAACACCTACTGGCCGCGAAGTCACGACACCAAGCGCGCAAGGCGCAACAGCAGATGGGAAGATGGCATCTGTCTGGAACCCAGAAAATGTCACCGACGTGGCCGAGTCGGTGGGCATTGCGTCGCTGCATCGCGATGTCGCAGAACACTTAGCGCGAGATGTGGAATATCGCATGAGCCAGGTGTTGGAAGAGGCGTTGAAGTTCATGCGACATGCGAAACGGACCACCCTCACCACTCAGGACATCTCACATGCGCTACGAGTGCTCGACGTCGAGCCGCTATACGGATACGAATCCACGCGACCGCTGCGTTTCGGTGAGGCCTCGATAGGACCTGGCCAGCCACTCTTCTACGTGGAAGATGAGGAAGTCGATTTCGAAAAGCTGATCAATGCTCCACTGCCAAAAGTGCCGCGCGAGATCAGCTTTACAGGCCACTGGTTAGCTGTGGAAGGCGTGCAGCCTAGTATACCGCAGAACCCGACACAAGCAGATCAGCGAGGGCAAGAGTTGGCAGGAAAAGGGCAGAACGCCAACACATTGGCTGCGCTCAGCGGCAATGACAACGTTGCGGTCAAGCCACTCGTCAAGCATGTGCTGTCGAAGGAGCTCCAATTGTACTTCGAGCGCATATGTGCCGCCATTCTGGACGAGGAGAATGTTGAATATCAAGCAGCAGCTCTCGCTTCACTCAGATCCGATCCCGGCCTGCATCAGCTGGTGCCATACTTCATACAATTTGTGGCGGACAAGGTCACGCACAATATGAAGTCGCTATTCATCCTCCTGCAGAGCATGCGGCTGGTGGAGTCGCTTCTCTCGAATCCGAGCCTTTATATCGCGCCATATGTGTCTTCACTGATACCGTCGATCCTGACGTGCGTTCTCGGCAAGCACTTGGGCGCCGCATCAAAAGACCAAAGCGATGCACATTTTGTGTTGCGATCGTTCTCTAGCAGTCTGCTTTCGAAAATCGCGAAGGACTTTGGCGATAGCTCCTCCACACTCAAGCCGCGGATAGCACGATCCTGCATGAAACACTTCCTTGACTCTCACAAGCCTTTTGGCACACACTACGGCGCCATCAATGCCTTGAGAGACATAGCCGGGCCAGCGGGCGTGAGACAGCTGATCTTGCCTCACCTGAAGGCATACGACGTACACTTACAGGAAGGACTCAAAGACGATGCAAAGCGACCGCACGCGGAGAAGGTCGTGGAAGCCATTGTCGGAGCACTCGAGACTCTAGAGCAGGATGCTGTTGGGCATGGTAATCAGACCAATGGGCATCCTGAGGGCGCTGCGCTAAAGGAGCGACTGAATGAGCTCCTCGGCGAGGCTGTCGCGCAGGCAGTGTTGGCTAAGGAGCGGCCATCACTGATTAATGCTGTGCTCGAGAAGGAAGTTGAACTCTGAAGCATTTCGAATACTACATTGTGATGAGAAGATGCTCTTGTATATGGGTCATGACAATTAGCGCGGCGTTGGGGCACGGTACGCAGCTGTAGCAGTTCGCATGCGCATGCAGAGAGTGTGCTGCAAAGATGCAGAGGAAATGATATTCTTCACAGACACACACCATCAATCCGATTTTCCACGGAGATCTTGCCACAAGCTTCCCGACCATTCGCGCAACTTTCATCGTGCGGAGGAGATTGACTCAAAAATGCTTGTCTTCTCCAAGTCTCGTCTCAGATGATGCCAGCCTTCCTCATAAACCAGCTGCCGCCTCCAAGTAGTGCAGTACAACCAGAAAAGATAATGATTGTGCCATACTCGCTGCTATAAGCAGATGCTGCATTGTCGTTCCAGCTGCGGCCATCTTTCAGTAGCGACCCAGAAAGGGGCCCGGAAATAATGGATCCTACACCTCGACCAGCAGCCAAGAGACCGAATATGAGGTTTGCATCTGTGCCCTCGTGCTTCTTCTGCACTTCTCGGATCAGTCCACCCCAGTGCGAGGAATACGCTGATGCAGTCAATCCGTACACGACGGAGAAGATGAAGAGCGGAGGCACTGCAACGGTGAAGCCCAGGATTATCAGTACTGACACACCAGCGACAGCGCTCACAGCGAGCATGACTGTCATTGTGTTGAACCTGTCGACGAGTGCGCCGACGGCAACGCAGCCGATCACTGCTCCGACGTTGATCAGGACGACGGTCAAGGACCCCAGCGTGCGGCCTATGCCGAATTCTTCGGCAATTGTAGGAAGATAGTTCATTGGCAAGAAATATCCTAGTGCTTGGATGCCATTGAAAAGTTGCAAGACCCAGAAGAGGCGGTGTCGCAGGAATGATGTCTGCACAGGAGGTGCCACATGGGTCGCAGAAATTGGAAGACGGGGCTTCAGAATGACAATGAGCGGCGCGGACAATATGCATATGATGGCCGCAACGATGCGTAGTGTCTAGACACGACAGATCAGCACCTATCGTCCTCAATTGGCATCGGACAGACTCACCCATCGAAAGCCGACTGCAGAAAGCATAGCCTGTAACAGCAACGGCATCACCACACCGCCTACGCCGTCTCCAGCAATAGAAATGCCCAGCGCAAGACCTTTCTTCCGCACGAACCACTCGTTGACGTAGTTCAGTGTTGGCATGACCAGCGCATTTCCAGCAAAAGCATATATTATACCTTGGCATACAATAAGCTGCGGAACAGTGTTCGAAAAGGAAGCTCCAATTAAAGCAACTGCTACGAGTGGGAGGCTCGCCCAGAGTGAATACTGCCGCGCCCGTGGCCATTTCTGGAAGGCACCCAAGAATACCGGCATCGTCAGATACATAATTCCCGTGGATGTTGTTCCAATAGCAGCGATACCTCCTGGTTTCGATGCGAATGGCTCGTTGGTAGTGTAGTATTCTTGCAAGACACCATAGGACAAAGCAAAGCCCCAGATCGTCGCGTTGCTCAAAAAGGAACCGAATAGTGCCATCCACGCGTTTCGACCTTCGTCTGTGGGTGGCAGAGCATCTTGGACTTGACTGGGTGAGAGTGCAATGTCAATCGAGTCGCCAGAGGATGTGCCAGGTCGGCTTTCGAGTTCGATGGAGTTCCCGCTGCTCACAGGTTGCTGACATTGTGCTACCTCCATAGTTGTGGGAGATTGCTTGGAAAGAAAACAGACACCAGGAACAAGTATCTGTAAGCCGAGCGACGACAACGCTTTCAAGCTATCTGCGGGACACTTCACGACATGTACGCCCTTTGGTCAGCATGCAAACGGTGACTGGATTGAGCTGTTCTAGGAGAGGAAAGAGATCCCGGCAGAAAAATCTTGGCAGTTTTTCTTAGCAGTTGGGGTTCTTGCTTCACCTCCACGCTCAACTTCATCAACTGCCTCCTGAATATCAGGTCATCGGAACAAGATGCATCTCTGTCGCAGAATGACGACTCTGATGCGGCTATGCCATCTGCTACATGTAGCATTACACGCCCGTCAAAAGTGATGTCATGAGCCTCTTTGCTCTAGCTGCACCCGCAGCTCATGAATAAGCCGGCCATGGAGGCCGATACTCCATGGTCATCTACATCGAGCACCATCTACTCGCTGGTGGCATTGTAGCCAATCGAGGCGACACTCGCTCCCGCCTCGACGGCAGGATCGATCAGCACCGTCAAGACTCTTCCGTTGACAGTCGACGTCAGCTCCTGCAGCTCGTCTCCCCAGCTGTTGTACACACGTCCTATGGTCTGGCCTTCCACAACATCATCTAGGACAGCAATATCCATATCGATCCAGCCGCTAAAGTTGGTTCGTGGATTGGTGAAGTTGGTGGCAATGAAGGTCTGAGACAGATCGGGCTGAGGAACCTCGCCACTGGTCATTTGGAGATCATCCATCAAGCGGAAGGCGAAGTCAACAGTGCGCTGAATCAAAGTGCGGTTCCAGTTGTTGGCTGGTCCGGTCTCGACCGTGATGGCTGGTACCCCGGCCTGGACCCATGTCGTTTCTATCGAGCCAGGCTCTCCAGGATCGATCTTGATCATGTCTGGCTGCAGAAGCTCCGCAATGCGCTGCACTCCTTCGAAGCCGTAGTCGGCATAACACCATAGCGGGCCGAGTGAGCCGGTGCTCAATGTGTCTGGGTTCCTGTGTCAGTCTTGCTGCGTCTGGAACATGTTGCCACGATACTCACGAAAGTCCACGGCGATGTCGACATTTCAGGTGTTCCCCCAGATGTTATTCCAAATTGCCGAAGTGTACGACTGGATCAAACTCCCACCCTCCTCGATACTTCGTCCTGGAAAGTTGCGGTTGAGGTCGACAAAGAATCCATTTGATGAACTCGTGAAGAAATTCCTTTGGTTCATGAAGTTGCCTTGCGGATTCTGTGTCGGCAGTCCGATAACTGTGCCATTGAATTCGCCTGCAGCAACGGTCTCATTGAGCCTTCTGAATATATTTTGAACTATCGCCACCGGGTTGAGCTCGTCGCCATGAATCGATGCAGAGAATGACAGTTTTCGGCCGGTCTCGAGCGATTCGTTGGTCCCTCGTGCAACAAAGATTGGCAAGAAATATGTCAAGCCACCTTGGCCAGCCCCGGGAGATAACCAGAAACGGGATACTTGATTGCTTGGGACATCATTCACATCCAAAGATGAGATGATTGGATAGCCTTGGAACGAATCCCCGGTGTATTCAGTTCTGGCCCATACCGTAGGTGCGATAGCGGCCAGCCATGCTATGGACGTCGAGCTGAGCCTCATTGTCGGCGAGACTTGTGATTGCAAAAATAGATGATGTTGTCACAGTCTGGTCGGTATATTCGGCCGACGTGACCTATGGCACATATTTATCATGCATTGTCGCGTGGCAGGCTAGGAATGCCAAGCTGATAAATCGCCCAGGCGATACCTCTCTAGGAAGTCGGCAAGAAAAAGCCAAGATCTACAATCAGACGCGCAGTTCGTAAGTGGCGCTCGTGTTACTACATCAACGGTCTACAGCATTACATAGTAGGAATCACTCAACAGCAAGTACACGAAGATCACTATGGCGGAGGATTCTGCTTCCTGGAGTCGCGCGTGTGGAATATCGCCGAAAGCCCCCAGCAGGGATATTTAGGTGGACGAATCTTGCCAAGAATAGCGTCGGCCAAATCGTTCGGAGTATACCAATTCACTAAGTACGCCGGCTATCGGCCGTACCCACTCTACGTGAACAAATACCGAGTTGGAGCAATGGAGGTGTGCTTCTTGCAGCAAGCAATCAGGCGAAGCGGGACTTTGCCTTTCACTTCTGCTGCACAAAAGCAGCAGCCGGGCCACATCCACTTTCGTCCCTGGTTGGACTCTTCATGAGAGACGGTTGAAGATGTATACGTCGATTTCATTATCTCTGGTACTTGGACTGGCCTCTGCCACTCAATATGGAAACAACTGGGTACCTGTCAAATACGATCCACCGCAGGTCGAGAAGAATTTCCAGGATCCTGGGATCAAATTGATCTCGCCAGCGTTTATTAAGAACGATACAATTCCACCGGGGTTCTCGAATGGAACAGCCGGGCCTACAAGCCAGGTGATCTTGGATGTCTATATCCAAGCGCTTGCGGATCGAAACCCCTGGATCAAGTATTCGCCGGCCGAATATGAGAGCGAGGAAGGTCGTGACTTTCCATATATCCTCCTTACGAATGGGCAACAGCCCAATTTTACCTACAGTCCATCAGGTGGAAATGTCTCGAATCCTCTCTGGGGTGGGAACATCACGACAGATCAATCGCAAAGTAGTGGAGCGAGCGACAAGCTCAGGATATGGATTCAGGGCGGAGTGCACGGTAATGAACCAGGTGAGTGGCTAGTGGAGCATCGTAAGCCCGGTGCACGAATACACCCACAGCTTGCACGAACTTGTCTTGAAGTGGATCGAATAAGAAACTAATGAATGCTCAGGTGGCGATCAAGCGGTAATGGCTTTACTCGGCAAGATGAACGCGAACCAGACTTGGACAAACCAGATCTTGCAAAATGCAGACATCATGGTTCTGCCTCGATACAATCCAGATGGCGTGGCGTACTTCCAACGAACTTTCGCCAGCAATTTCGATCCCAACCGCGACCACACAAAGCTCGCAAGACAGCAATCACGAGACATCAAGCGCACCTTCTCGGACTTTGCTCCTCATATCGCTGTCGACCTGCATGAGTACGGCGCAGGCACACTCTACAGTGGAAGCTACGTACCTGGAGCCGATGCTATGTTCAGCGCAGCCAAGAATCTGAACATCCATGCCAGCATTCGCAACATTTCCGAAGAAGTCTTCGCTCCAGCCATCGCAGCTCACCTTGAGAAACAAGGCTTCCGATGGGAGCCCTATGCAACTGGAGCATCCGATGGCGACACCCGCAACTCTACCATCATGCTCAAAGAAGCCGATAGCGACGCCAAAATCGGCAGAAACTCCATGGGTCTCTCCCAAGCAATCGTCTTCCTCTTCGAAACACGAGGAATCGGCATCGCCGATCAAGAATTCGCCCGACGAACCGCAACCGGTCTCGCCTTGCTCGAAGCAACCATCAACACCGCAATCGCCAACGCAGCCGAAATCCGGCAAGTCGTGGAAGACAGCATCGAAGATTTCGTACAAAGCCAAGATAAAATTGTCATCGCCGACCACCCACAAAACGCCACAGTGAGAAACTGGACTCTCATCGACTACCAAACCGGCGAATTACAACAAGTCCCCGTAGCATTCTTCGCCACAACACCCACAATCGCGAACCTCACCCGTGCGAGACCAGAAGCCTACCTCATTCCCAAAGGCTGGAAAGATCTCATTCCGAGACTCGAAGCTTCTGGTCTGGAAGTCGAGACGCTCGATCAAGCTTTCCGCGGCTCAGTCGAAGCTCTCACGATCGAGACAGCAGGTTTCACGGAAGCAGCATATTTCGAAGGCGCAGTTCTCGCTTCTGTTACCACAAAGGCAACGACGAAGAATGTTGACCTTCCGGCTGGGAGTTTCTTGGTTAGCACGAGGCAGAAAAATGCTGGGTTGGCGTTTGCGGCTCTCGAGCCGGAGAATATCGACTCGTATGTTAGCTTCGGAGTCGTGCCGATGGCGGCGGGGGATGAGTATCCAATCTACAGGGTTATGGCATGAGCGATTAGAGGCGGCGAGGAGACGACGTGCATGATTTGTACGATGACAGTATTGGCGAAGTAGCCGTGACACGATATGACCATGACTTGGGTCACGAGGCAGGAGTTTTGCATTCTCGGCGTTTTCAGTATTTAGCGCCTCTCTTGACTTCATTCCGTTTCATACCACTAGGCTTAGCAGACCAAAAAACAATTGAAAGTTCCGGAGAATGCTCAGCAGCAATGTGCACACAGTCAAATGATCGATTCTTTTCGCTTCCTACATTGAAAGCCAGACACCAAGGAAATTATAAAGAGGAACTAAAAACTAAGCAAGCTAAGCGGCCGTGCATCATCAGAGAGTCGTGAGAATTCTTGTGGTTTCCAATCCTCCCCAAGATACCGCTCCTCCGCGTAGTCATAATGCAGTTCGTGCGATCGTAGCCCAAGCCAACGCAAAACGCAAAACGCTCATGCCATGCCATGCCACGCGCAAGTCCGAATAACAAACAATGCAACAAAAACTCAACAACAACAGCCAAAGGGTATACGCATATTCAACGTAGCAGAATTATGTTCATCCTTCCTTCCTGCCTCCTTCTGGGTCAATACTGGCCTCCTTCTTCTCTTGGTCATTCCTCACGCAGTCGGTTTCGGCTTGGGTGAGAATGGTCTGGAAATGTTAGAATACTATGCTGCGGCGCTCACGGGTGGCTGAGCAGCTTCGTCCACGCCGTTGGTCTTGGGCGCCTCTTCTTCCTTCTTCTCGGTTGTGGTGTTCTTCACTTCGGCGGCGGCTTGGACCTTGGCTTCGAGCTCCGCGAGCTTCTTGTCTGTCTCAGCCTTGGACTTCTCAGCTTCCTCGAGCTTCTTCTCTGCTGCTGATAGTTGCTCGGCTTTCTTCTCAGCCTCAGCTTTGGCCTTCTCTGAGTCTGCGAGCTTCTTCTCGGCTGCAGCAAGTTGTTCGGACTTCTTCTCAGCCTCCGCGAGCTTCTTTTCAGTCTCTGCGAGTTGTGCAGCCTTCTTCTCAGCTTCAGCCTTGGCTGACTCTGCATCTGCGAGCTTCTTCTCGGTCGCTGCGAGCTGCTCCGCCTTCTTCTCCGCCTCTCCCTTGGCCTTCTCTGCGTCTGCCAGCTTCTTCTCAGTCTCTGCGAGCTGTGCAGCCTTCTTCTCGGCTTCAGCCCTGGCTGATTCTGCATCTGCCAGTTTCTTCTCAGTCTCAACGAGTTGAGCGGCCTTCTTCTCAGCCTCTGCCTTAGCACTTTCCGCGGCAGCCAGCTTCTTCTCCGTTTCAGCCAACTGCGCAGCCTTCTTCTCGGCCTCAGCTTTGGCGCTTTCTGCGTCCGCGAGCTTCTTCTCGATCTCGGCAAGCTGAGCGGCCTTCTTCTCTGCATCAGCCTTTCCTGCTTCAGCTGTCTGCAGTTTCTTCTCAATCTCGGCCAGTTGCTCGGCTTTCTTGGACGCGGCTGCAGCGTCGGCTTTGGCGGTCTCAAGTTCCTTCTCGGTTGCTGAGAGCTTAGTCTGTAAATCAGTAGCAGCGGCGGCAGAACCCTTTTCGAGGTCAGCGACTTTGGCAGTGAGCGTGGACTTCTCCTGTGCAACGTTAGTAAACCACTACCATCACGACAACATTGGATAGAACTCACTTCTTGCGCAGCCTTCAGCTCTTCCGCGGCCTTGCTGGCTTTGCTTGTGCTCTCCTCGGCCTGCTTCTTGAGATCTTCGACCTTGCTTTCTGCCTCCTGCTGGCTCTTTTTGAGGTCTGCGCTCTCCTTCTCGATAGCCTTGACCTTCTCCAGAGCATCGTCAGCCTGCTTCTTCACCTTCTCCAGCTCAGCTTGGTGCTCGGTTTGCAGCTTCTTGCTCTGCTCTTCAGAGCCTGTGCTCTTCTGCTTCAGCTCCGCGATTTCACTCTTCAGCTTCTCAACCTCTTGCGAGCCCTTCGACTCCAAGCTCTTGATCTTCTCTTCATCGGCCTTGTAAGACGCCTTCAGAGCAGAGTTCTCCTCAAATAGCCTGTTATGCGAAATTTGCAAGCTGTTCTTCTCTGTACGGGCAGCTTCGAAGTCCTTCTTCGCAGCCTGGATCTCTGCCTTTGAAGTATTCTTGAGCTCTTCGTGTTCCTTCTGCAGTGCGGCGAGCTTGTTCTGGTAATCACTGAGCTCTTGGGCAGCGGCTGCGCCTTCCTCGGAGGTCTTCTTGAGGTTGGTGTTGGACTGCTCGAGTTGAGAGACCTTATCTTGTGATGCGGCGAGTTGCTTCTGGACTGTGGCGAGGCGATCTTCGGCAGCCTTGTTAGCAGCGTCGGCGTTCTTCTGAACTTCGGCGAGCTTCGCCTGTGCATCCTCGAGCTGCTTCTGAGCGGCTGCGAGCTTGGCCTCTGAATCTTTGACCGAAGTCTCGCTGGATGATTGCAGAGAGGCGATCTTCTCCTGGCTTTCTGCAAGGTCCTTCTTCGCAGCTGCAAGCGATGAATCAGCTTCCTGCTTGACGTTGCTGAGCTCAGTCTCCAAGCTGGTCTTTTCCGTTTGGAGAGCACTGTGCTTCTCGGTGGTCTCGCTCAGCTGGGCCTGGAATGAGGCGAGCTCGGCCTTGAGGCTGGTCTCCAACTGCTCCCGCGAGGCCTTGGCTTCTTCCAACTCCTTCTTGGCAGCAGCGGCTTCCTGCTCGAGCTGCTTGTTGCTCGTCTCCAATGTGGTCAGCTTCTCTTGCACCGCCCTCAGCTCATTGCGTGCGTGGTCTCGCTCTTGTGTGACAGACTGAGACACGCGCTCGAGCGCCTGTCGCTGGGCATCGGTACCCTTGGTGCTGTTCTCCAAGTCTTGTTGCAATTTCTGGATCGCCGCCTGCTTCTCGGCTTCGAAATTGGCCAACTGACTTTCAAACTCTTGCACCTTCTTCTTTAGTTCAGCAACCTCTTTGCTTGCATTGTCCGACTTGGACCGGGACTCGCTGAGTTCCTTTTCCTTGGCGGCAAGTTCCTTCTTCTTGCTTTCAATGTCGGCGTTGCTGGCCTTGAGCTTCTCTTCGACCTCGTGGAGCTTCTCCTTAGGAACGCCCGGTGTCGAAATTAAATTGCCCATGCTTGGTAGGTGTGTGTGTATGCAGGATCGACGGGATGGGATTCACACAGGGAGGGAATAGGATATGCCGGTGAGGATGGGTGAGGAAGATGCTCGAGGCGAGGTCGTTGCGGTGAAGTGATGTGGCGGTATCTCAGGAAGTAGCGCGTGGGCAAACACTGCGCGTGTTGCTGTTTGCTGGTGGGACTTCGGCGGCAGATTTTGGAAAGGCCCCCTGGTCGCTTAGCTGCACGATGGTGCTCGTGCTCGTCCTCTCGGCGTCTGTGCTTGACGAAGGAAGATTTGATATCGACGACAACAACCAAGGACTTCACCTACCGTCGTGACCGGGGCGTGTGAGGGGATACATCCTTCCTCTGCCCCTTCAACCTACCATCGTCGCCGCCGCCCAGCCGTGCTCCTCACCTCCGCCCTCACGCGTCTGCAGCCGGAGCGCGGCAGAGCTGTTCGCGCCCAAAGCTTGAGGCGGGCGGCCGGGTGTGTCGGTCATGCAGGGGTCGTCACCGCTGCGACCAGCAGTCGACACGACTCGCTGCCTGCTGGCGAGAGACGTCATCAGCAGCATGTATCGCAGTGCAGGCGTGCTAGCATGACTTGATGAGAGACATGTGAGGTTGGGAGAAAGCCCCGCGAACGATCCTGAACCACTCTTCGGCATGCAACGCTGACGCAGGGCGGCTTGGCCAGCATGTGCCACAGCTTTCATCCAACGCCCAGCGCCTATCCAGGCTTAGTCTGGGATGCTAGGTGAAGCAAGCCAGTGCACTCTGATCGACGCAACGGAGGACGTCTACATACATCATAGTGCACAGTCATCAATAATCAAATTTGACCTGCGGCTGCAAGTCGAATTTCGGTTGGAAATGTATGCATCGAATGCGGTATCATAGAGCCACTCGGGCTGTAATCGTGCTGTACAGTTCATCGAGATCTATCGTGGCGCGCACGAAGTCCCTTTCTCATTCCATGTCCAACTTTCGCTGAAATGCAATCCTCTTCGTATCGTGATCATCAGTCCTCCATGTGCAACGTGAGATTTCACATCCGTCGGCCTCTGTTTTCCTGAAAGGTAGACCGTCTCTCGTTTCCAAGCCGTAGCACAAATTCCTGGAACGTGGTATTCCTACGGTCCCTGGCTGCGTGTAGACTGCGTCGCTCAGTATCTGCCGGCCTCTGTTCACGCTATGAACCCGAAACTCGGCTACTGCTTGCACCATCCAGCTCCATGCTGTCTTCGGGCTGCCGTATGACCCTCCGTCTTCTTGAGCCCGCACTTCGCCCAGCTCGCAGTTGGTGAACTTTGGTCGCAATGCCTTGATCCCACATCTCTTCGTCCGCTCCGCCCAACACTCCTTGGTTTTCCATTTGTCGGAGCGCCCTGTTAAGGAGATCCGTAGCAATAGGGTCTTGCGGTGAGATGGCGAGAGCTTCGTGCAGTGATACTGTGGCCTGAAATGCATCCTCCAATTCGAGGAGAACTAATCCTTTGCTGGAAAACACGGCCGCATCTCGTAGACCTAGACGGATCACTTCTTCAAATTGCTCAAGAGCTTCGTGGAATCGTTCAGCCTTTCGTAATGCGTGTGCCAGGTTAAGGCGCGTACTCGTGTACTGATTTTGTGGTGCTTCATTGTCGATCGAGATCTGCAGGGCGAGGTTGAAATGGTCAATGGCGCTATCGAATTCGCCCTCCATGTAGCAGCAAACACCAATTTCGTTGATGAGAAGAGGATCCCTTTGGCATAATCCGAACGCTGCCGTTAAGTATTCCCGCGCTATCGCCAGATTTCCAAGAGCTATTTCCTGCATTCCAAGGTATAGCTGAGGAAGATGTGTGCCTTGGAACAACCGCGCAGCAGTACTGTACGCGGCAATCGCTTGGTCACTCTCTCCCTCCGCAGCGAATGTATGCGCGAAGCCGATCCAAGCAGCTCCAAAGTGCGGATCCATAAGACTGGCCTTGGAGAAATATGATCGTGCTTCGGGTATTCGATTCGTATTCAAGTAGTAGGTACCCACAGCGAGCCATGTGCAAGGCTCATTGGGATGCGTGTCTGCAAGTTCATGCGAAATGGCAAAGAGCGCATTCGTATGATTGAGTTGGGCGAGAAGCGACAGGTGGAGGGGTATGCAAGCGAAGTTGTATGGATCCGTTTCCAGTATTTGGTTCGTAAGGTCGACAGCAGCTTGGAATCGCGATGCGGTGAAGAGCTTTTCGGCCTTCGCCAGCAGAATATCAGGATTCTGAGACAGCTTGTAGTGCGTTGATAAAGTCTCGATCGCCGCATCGAATTCGTCCGGCCGAGCATACTTGGACAAGCGCGTTGAGTACAGATTCCTCGTGAAGTCTGCTGCTTCTGCTGCGGCACCGTCTCCAGGCTCGGCATGTATACTGTCGAAATTCAGGCTGTCGAGGAAATCCCATTCCTCTCCGGGGCTCATGAGCGAATTCTTTACCAGCTGGTCGAAGGCCTCAAAGCATTGCACGTCTATCCGTACAGCGTCCTTGTAGCATTCCTTTGCGCGATCGAATGCATTCTGCTTCGCATAGCATAACCCTCGTAGATAGCACATGCCAGCCTCATACCGCAGCGAGTTTGCATCTTCCAGATCCCGTTCTGCGCTGCGGTCGACTCGATCCGTTCGACTCGGCAGCTTGGACTTGGAATGTTGTTTCGAAGCTAGACCATTGCCGACATGCTGCAGCTTTCTGCGCTGGGCATCTGCGGTTGTCGCCAAGTGTGCCGGATTCTTCTCCCCTAGCAGTGACAAGGCCTCGTCATGTCTCCCTTGGTGGATGTAGCAGTGTGCTGCGAGGTATCGTGAGGCAGGTAGTCGTTGCAGCAGCTCGGATCGCGACAGAAAGGCGAGAGCGCGTGTGTAGTTTCCGGCGGAGAAGTGTATTTGGGCCAGAGCGTAGGCGTCTTCGTCCGAGTCTATCACGGCGCATCAGTTGTGTCTTCGATCGCTATGGGCGCACAAAGAGAAGCATGCCCGTCAGTGCCAGCAATTTGTCGCCAGCGAAGATTGCCGTATCGAATTGGTGTCGATGCAGAGCATCTTCTCGCCAGCTGCGCAGATACGCTTCCATGCTGCGTGTTGCTTGTCGTTTGCTGCGCTTCGCTAGTTAGCTGCTATACTGAGATGCATTGGTATCGCTACTGCGTGCTGTGAATGTAGGCATACGGCAGGTGCGCGACGGCGATTGCGACTTACCTAGCGAAAAGAAAGTCGAGCGACTCGCGACTGCTGCTTTGTTGACGCGACCGGCACCTGCACTTTAGCTCGCGTCAGAGTGGGGCTGCCGACCGGACTCAGCACCGACCCCTGTCAACTCTTTCGTCTTGGCTCTGCCTGTCCTTCCTGCCTACATCCTGTCCTCCGACTTCACCACAAACCTCCACTCCAAACAGGCGACGAAGCCGCACACGACACCACTGGACTTCACTGATTATCGTCGCTCACCATGTCTGAACGAAAGGTGCTCACCAAATACTACCCACCCGACTTCGACCCCTCCAAGCTCGAACGAAAGCGAGGGCCGAAGCAGACTGGTCCAAAAGTACAGACAGTGCGCTTGATGGCTCCGTTCAGCATGAAATGTACCTCATGTGGCGAATTCATCTACAAGGGTCGAAAGTTCAACGCTCGGAAAGAGACGACCGAAGAGAAATACTATGCGATCACCATCTTTCGATTCTATATCCGATGTACGCGATGCTCTGCCGAGATCACATTCAAGACCGACCCCAAAAATATGGACTATACGTGTGAGAGGGGCGCGAAGCGGAATTTTGAGCCTTGGCGAGAGGCGAAGCTGGCAGAGGAGACGGAGGAGGAGAGGTTGGATCGCATTGCAGAAGAGGAAGAGAATCGCGACGCCATGAAGGAGCTGGAGAAGAAGACGTTAGATGCGAAGACAGAAATGGCCATCGCAGATGCGCTGGACGATGTCAGGCACCGAAATGCGGCGCGAGAAAGGGTGGGCAAGGATGGCATCAGCACAGTCGCTGCGCCAAAGGTTGACGAGGAAGCTGAGAGGATAGAAAGGGAGCTGGAAGAACAAGCCAGGATGGCTTTCCAAAGCAGCACGGGCGAGAGGGTGAGGAGATTGGGAGAGGATGATTTAGACGGAGAGGCATCCTCAGCTGCCAGTGGAAGTGTTGACGCTGATCGCGCAGCAATGCCACCCCCTGCTCTACCCACATTTCAGCGGACCGCAAAGCCAAAGAAGGATCTTGGAAGTGCCCTCGGAATCAAGAAGGGCATATTGAAGAAGCCAGCTGCGCCCACGCCCGCTCCTGAGCCAGTATCGAAGCCAGTGGCCCCGCAACCGGACCCGCTGATGGACCGACCGGTAACTGCGAACGATCTGCCCGGGAAGCATGTCGAGCTGGGCGTGGGACTGTCGCTCGTCGACTATGGCTCTGACTCCGATTCCGACTGATGAAAAGCTTTCGTGCATGCCTCAGCAAAGACTGCAACCGCAGCATTAGATTCTTTCTTATCCAAAGTCATCAACTTTCCACGTTGACATTATGAGACCATGGACGTACGAAATGATGACAAACCCTCACAGCCTCTTCGCACTTGTCGCAGACCCACGATGGACCCTACATCTACGCTCTTCCGCAAAGCTTCACTGTACAGGGGAGCAGAAATGCCAGTAGTACGCTTCGTGCGCAGGCTTCGTATCGGGGAAGAAAAATCGGATCTACGATATCCAAATATTGGTCACAGGGAATTGGCCGTCCATTACGGGAAGGGTTGGACATTATCTGACAACGCCGGGATTGCCGTCACGGAGCACAGGATTGGAACCTTAGGAACTCTAGCAGCGTTCAATTTTGTGGTCAGTTCCCGGATCCAAATCTGCTCCGCTTCGTGAAATGAATTCGATACTTGAGGCATTGGACATCAGCCCACCAGGCCGCAAAGGCTGTGGACAGCACCAGACAGACGACCGCCCACTTTGCGACGATCGTGGAGAATCGTGTCCTGTGTGGTGGTGACGAGCTTGATCGGGGCACATTTGCTGGATGCAAATAGGGAGATGGAGACCAGAGTGATGTGAGTCTCGAGTAGTGATAGTCAATAGATGAAAGCCACTATTGTTACATATGCTTTGCAATGAGACTTGCAACCTGGTCGAGCACTTGTTTGCGTTCCTTTGCACAAATCGCACAGTTTCTCTCAAGTAGTCTACAGGGCTAGCTCTTGGTCATCGAAGCAATCGCCTTACACCATATTTGTTCCATGATCTCCACCAGGAACGAGCATGGGACATTTCTCGCCTTCTGTGTTCCTTGAGAACATGATAGACTGGGAAGAATCATTACCTTGCTCGCAATCACATGCGTGTCGTCCATCGACAGTTCCGATCTCACCCGATATTCTGCTCAACTTCGACGCCTGTGATTTATGGCGTGATAACGCCCTTTCCTCCCACTGAGCATTCCATTCGCTATCGGACACCGAGTGGAAAAGCTTCTTTACGCCATGGGTCTTCGTAGATTCTGTTGAGAAACGCAACTTCATGTGCATTTCACCTTTCTGGCAATACCATCTCATCCCACCCCACCAGAAGAACGAACTTCACAGCAGTTCAACTCTAGCACAACAGCACAGTAGACAGCGGCAGGTCCTGATAAGCTTCATACTCCTTCATCAATTCAGCCTCATTCCATTCTCGTTCGGGTTCAGATCCAGCATAATTCCCGTCTTTATCGCGTCGAAAGTGGCGTTTATATTCACCGCGGGGCATCTTGACGGCTTTGTAGCGTTCTTCTTTTTGCGCGCTGTGGTCGAGACCGGAGCCCATTCGTGTTGAGAGGCGGCGAAGGAAAGAGCGGCGTTGAGGACTGGTATCAAAGTCAATGACTGTAGAAACTGGAGTGTAATGGTATTGTAGCGAGAAAGGTACGTGACTACTCACCGGCTGGGTAATTCGTCACCTCCATCGACCGAAAGTTTTCGAAATTGATTGCTTAGTCGGACTGTGACGATAATGACATCGTCGTCGGAAGGTTCTTGATAGTCGCGTTCGTAGACTACGCCTGCTCCGAAGCCGAGGGATCGTGTTCGAACTGTCGCAGAGCCGAATGTTCTTGGTACGCGGTGAGTGGCGAGAGAACTGTTTCTCCTCGCAGGAGATTCCATGCCTGTATTTGTAGGTGAAGGCGAGCCACTACTGGAATCGCGATGAAAGTCCAATCCTTCTAGATCGGCGTGATTCTTCGGTGGCGCTGGGAGGGGAACGCTTTGCCGACGAGCAGGTTGTTCCACAACGCGATATGTAGGCGCGAAGATGGGCGCGACGAGGAAAGGATAAGCCATCCTTGCAGCAGCGACGATCCTAGATTCGATTATATCTTCTTTCTCGCGGAATGCTCAGGTGATGTGATGTTTGTCTTTCTCAACAACGGCGGCAACGCCGAGAACCGTAACCCCGCCGACGAGGAAAGAGTCGTTTGCGTAATAGTCTTGCTTAAGTCTCTAGCGGGATGATGTGCACGTATCAATGGCTCCACGGCTGTGTCAAATCGGAGCGTCACGGTCTGTAGAAAGAGTAATCAAAGGATAGAAGCACAATGCAAGACAAGAGAGTAGAGGTAAAGAAACCAGGTTCATGCGGCTCACAACGCGATGCTCGCGTGCTCTCACCAAGACGGCAGGATCAGAAAATAAGAGTTCTCGAAGCTCTTCGCTGATCGCTAGGGATCTGCATTGTCCGGCCACACAGCATGTGTGTGGCATGGCCAGGACAGCCGCGGGACTTTTTGACAGATTTCCGCTGCCCAAAGAGCGTTTATGGTGGCTGACGGGAGGCTTGCAGTGGCATGGCTGATTTGTTGGATGGCAGAGCGGAAAGTGTTCTGGCCGGGCGGCGCTGGTATGGAATGTCACGAGATGTGTCGTTGCGGCGGGCGAGGTGTGTTTCGGTTCATGCCGGATGTGCCCCGCTTGTTGGGTGCTGACTGTGCTGATGAGAAATTCTGAGACGATCACAGATGGAAGAGGAGAGGAGGTCGTGGGGAAGGAGGGTGGTGTTTGTCGGCAGCGCCCAAAATGGAAGCTGCCGCCGGCGTTGCTTGCTTGGTCTATTCCGACACTTCAGTATTAATGAAGCGACAAGGAGATGATCATGTGAAATGATACTACGAGAAGGGGGAGGCAAGTCAAAGGTTAGGTAGAATGTCTTCTCATAATCGATCAATCTTGTCGCTAATCGCGAAAGTGTCTAAAAGATATTACTACTTCCAACAGGAGTGGTGCAACACTTGCATGACCTTCAACTCCTTCCCTCTCTTCCTCTTGTAAAACCCAAAGTATTCCCAACTCCTTCTCAAGAAATGCTATTTACTCAATTTGCGAACGCTATCACTCAAAAACATGCATCAACCTTTCTTCGTCACATTGTCATCAACATCATCATCTTGGCAAAAGCAGCCAGCCGACCACTGTCTACCAAGCCAACTGCTCCTGCTTCTCCGGCGAACAAGCCAACCCAGAACAAAAATCAATATCCTCCTGCGAAATGACCGAATTCGTCGTATTCGGCAACTGATGTCTCGCAGGCCAAATCTCCTCTCGTTGCTGCTGTTCCCTCGCATGGTGCGCCACAACAGTCTCACGAATAGAAGATTGGAAATAGAGAGGTCCCTTCTCCATTTTTGGGTGCATTTCACCGTTGATGAAAACTCCAGCATTCAGGTTCTTTTGCGCTTGGTCGCAGAGATACTTGTCTTCGGACATAATGCGTTTGTAGATCCCGCTGACGAGGTCGAAGTCTTCGTCGGATGAGTTCTTGTTGCGGAAGACTTGGTATTGCATGGAAGAGCGGCTGGAGCTGCTGGGGACGAAGCGTTGGATCATGAAGAAGTGGGGGCTGGGAGAGATGTTAGTGGCTGTGGGATCATTGATGCGATGGCGCGGGACTTACGAGATGTTTGTGGAAACGTTGGGGAAATAGTAGCTGGCTGCGACAACGAGACCGGCCTTTCGCTGCTCGTCAGTCGTGGCAGCATCGTGGAGAATTTGTCCTTTTGTTGTGTTGACGGCGTAAGAGTCCAAGTTTGCGAGCGCACCGATGTCAGGATGCGTTGTTGGGCAGTGGTAGCATTCATTGTAATTATCGGCCAAGATCTTCCAGTTGTAGTCACCCTCCATCTCCCAGAAGTGGTCGAAAACATAGTCTTCAAAGTTGAATTGTTCGTATCGCTTTTGCTCATCGACGCCTCCAAAGTCATCTTCCCACGCGATCTCTGGCTCCTCCTTTGCGTCCAAGTTGATCCACACGAAACCAGTCTTGTCAATCTTGACGTGGATAGGAAGCAGACCGTTGTTCTCCTTCTTGAAGCCATCGAGGTCTTGATAGCCAGGTGCTTTGGCCAACTTGCCGTTCAGACCGTATGACCAGCCGTGGTATTTGCAGGAAAAGATTCTTGCGGTGCCCGAGTCTTTTGTCACGACAGGGAAGGCGCGATGTCTGCAAACGTTGTGGAAGCCGTTAATGTTGCCCTGGCGGTCCTTGACGAGGACAATGTTGAAGCCCGCGATGGGAAAGCGGAGAAAGTCGCCGGCTTCGACGAAACGGTTCTTGTGTGTAAGGAGTTGCCACTTGCGAGAGAAAATTGCTCGTCGCTCGAGCTCATACATCTCTTTTGATTGATACCAGCTGGCGGGAAGTGCACGTGTGGCATTCTTGACTTCAGGTTCTGTTGGTTTGGCACCGAAGCCGAAATAGCCCAAGAAGCCAGAGGCTACTGAGTCTGTCCTTGGCATGGTGAAGGATGTATCAATGGTATGGAAGCGGGAAAGGGAGATGTTTGGTGATGAGATGGAATGGATTGTGGTGTGATATGAAGAGGCCGCCACAATACTCACACACTTACGCTGGCATATATGGTGATTCTGTATGCTGGACAGCATGGTCTCACGAAGAGATGCCAAACCCCATGGGGTGAGCCTGTCCTTTGGCATAGGATCAAGGCATCCATTTTGAGTTAGGCAATGCTGAGACCAGCAGGCGAACCTAGCTACCCGATATGGCTGCCCTCCCATTCGATTTCCGGGCCAATTACATCAGGGCTGGTATCTCGACACGCACGACACGCCTGCTTGTTGGATCTCTCGTGGCTTTATCGCTGCTGCCGATAGCAGTCGCCAGAAATCGCACTTGATCGCGGGACGGACACGACGTTGGTGTTTTCTTGCTGCTGCTATCTCTCAACGCCCGTGCTATCTTTTCCCTCGTCGCATGCAATCAGAAGCGCTGCCCAACACGAGGCGTCTGGATTGCGCTGCCGCCGTGACGGCAAATTGGCGCGGTCTACGGGACTTGTTGCAGCTATTGTTGCACCGAGCCCACCATCTCGAGCGCGCCTACGCGACATCGTGATCACCCAGGCGGGGCAGCAACACGACGACAATGTTGCTCAGCACGACGAGTGCAGGTGGCATTCGCTGGCGGCGGTTGGTTACTCGCACTCGGTCGGGTCAAGAGGCGCTGACAGCGGCAGGCGCGTGGTCATGCTGACTTCATGAGCCGTGCAATTTCGGCGCGACACGTGGGATGCGAGGAAGATGGCAGCAGGCTTGGGCGGGTCGAGAACGCGTATGGGTGTCGCTGATGGCGGATCGTGGCATCCTGTTTGGGAGTCAACATCCAGCGCGCCGCCGTGAAGGTAGACGAACATCAGCCTGGGGGAGGGGCCCAGGAGGGCCGTGCCGCCGCCGATCATCGCGCGCGGCAGGTTCGTTCGTGGGTGGGATAGCAACACCACATCTGGAAGGAGGACCACCCGAAACACCTGCACCACTGACCAGCGATTGCGCATTCATCATGATGAGTCTGGACCCCGTTGTGATGCCCAGTCCATCGTTACGCCGTCTGCCAACATACGCGGTACGACATCGGTTCTCCTTCGCGACAGGCCTGACACTTGTTCCAATGGGAATCCCGTCGATGATCTGGGTTGGAGACGGTAATGGTCGGGCCCGAGTCACCAAGCGCCTATGAAGCATCGTGTGATCCGTTCGTGAAGAATGATCACCAAGGCACCATCTCGATGCTTAGGCAATCTGTGACCAACGCCAGCGTCCATCTTTACACCGCATTGACTTCACCGTCTGTATGATATGGTGGCTGAAAGGCGTAACAATGTCACTCTTGACACGTCGAAATGAGATGCATCGTGTAGGAAAAGAAATGAAACACAACTCCGATTAAATCGAACAAAGTCATTACGCTCTGTACCCAACCTCAAACCAAGTCAAACAACGCCACCAATGCCTCATAATCATCAAGCCATGCCTATACATACCGCCCAAACCTCATATCTCATCATCCTTCATCACAACTTCGCCCTCGCAGAAATTTGTTGTCCTCCCCAAACATCTTGCCTTCCACTACCCGTACTCGTCCTCCTCGCCTTATTCGCCAACTTCAGCAAAGGATCAGCCGTAACAGTAGCTTGAATCCTCTTGCTGAAATATTCAATTTCAACAACATCACCCTCGCTCACCGTGCTCGGCAGCCAAGCGTACGCAATAGGCTTGCCAATACTGTAGCCAAATGCTGCGCTGCTGATATAACCCTTTGCTTGTCCTCCGATGAAGACGGGCTCTTTGCCCAAGACAACAGATTTCCCGTCGTTGATCACGAGGGAGCGGAGTCTTCGCGAGGGTCTTGACTTTTGCTGTAGTGCAGCATGACCAACGTAGCCAGTTTTCCTGATGTTGATTGTAGCAGCCAGACCAGCCTCGTAAGGGTCGTGCTCTGTAGTCATATCTGAGCCCCAGTCGCGGTATCCAACTTCCATGCGTAGAGCATTGAGCGCAATGCGGCCTGCAGCGACGACTCCGTGCGGTTGTCCAGCTTTGTACAGAGTGTCCCACAGTCGCTGACCATTCTCTGCACTCGTAACAAGCTCCCAGCCCAGCTCTCCGACGTGAGTCAGACGAATGGCGCGGACAGGAATGCCGTTGATGTGCACTTTCCTCACTTGGTGGTATTTGAACCCACTTTCGCTGAAATCGTCCTTGCTCACAGTAGTGATCAAATCGCGAGCGCGTGGGCCCCAGAGACCGATGCAACATGTTCCACCCGTCACATCGCGAACTTGAACCCATCTGCTGAGGTTGGGGGAAAGCTCGCTCTGCTTTCGTGCCTCACGGCTCAAGTAGTCAAAATGTGTGTGGCTCGTCACACCGACTTGGAAGAGATTCTCCTCGAGACGAGATGCGATAATATCGCTTCGAATTGTGCCTTGATCGTCCAGCAACATCGCATATGTGACCGAGCCTGGCGGCTTGGACATATCGCCTGTGCTGAGTCGTTGAAGCAACTCGACAGCTCCTGGTCCAGATACTTCGAGACGATGCAGAGGTGTCATATCGAACATGGCGACAGCAGTTCTTGTCTTCCACGCCTCTGCAGCTGCGATGGGCGAGTAATGCTTGTTTGACCAGGCATCACGATCGACTGGCCGCCATTCTGACGGCAACTGGTCTACGAGCGCTGCATTGGCTTCATACCAATGCGGTCTCTCCCAGCCTCTCTGCTCCAAAAAGTATGCCCCAAGCTCTTTCTGCCGCTGGAAGAATGGTGTGACTCGCAAGTTTCGCGGCGATTCCTTGGGGTCGAAGGGATGAATGATATCGTAGACCTCGACGAAGTTCTGCGAGGAGGTTTCAAGCACGTAATCGGGTGCCGTTTGAACATCTTCGAAACGGGAAATCTCGCATTCTGCCATGTCGATTTCGGATTTCCCGGTGGTCAGTGTTTGTGCAAGAGCGCGAGCCACACCGGCGGAATGTGTAACCCAGACTGCCTCTGCTACCCAGAAGCCGTCCAACGTGGGATGTTGGCCAAAAATTGGACCTCCATCAGGTGTGAATGAGAAGATTCCGTTGAAGCCATCCGCGATTTGTCCTTCTCGCATCGCTGGCAGCAGTTCTTGCGATTCTTTCCAAGCTGGTGCAAAGTCTTCTGGTGTGAATTGGAGACGAGATGGCATGTTCTTCTCATCGACTTGCTTGGGTGTCACGCCCAGGGATGCTGCCACCACTGGCATGGGCTTGTGCCCGTAGTAGCCGATACCGTATTGATCACCATGCTCACGGTAGTAGAGATCGTGGTCTTGATGACGAAGAATTGGAAGTGTCGCCCAGTTAGGTGGGTTATTACGCTTCTTCAGCGAAGGCAGCGGTGTTGTCTTGGCATATTGGTGTGCGAGTGGCAGCAACGGAACTGGAAGTCCGACCATGGCACCGATTTCCACTCCCCAGAACCCTGCGCAGGAGACGATGATATCGGCAGGAACAGTTCCATTCGTGGTTTGTACGCCTGTGACACGGTTGTTCTTGCGCTCGATACCTGTCACTGGAGTAAGTTCGAGGTATCGGACTCCTGCTGCCCGTGTGCGTTCTATCAAGAGTTGCACGGCTCGTGCTGCCAGAGCGAGGCCATCGCTGGGAATGTACAAGCCGCCGAGGACCTTCCCTTTATCCAGCAGTGGGTATCTTTCGAGACACTCCTCAGGGCCAATGAGACGTGCTTCAATTCCCCAAGACGCAGCAAGCCCATGCTTACGCTTGAGCTCCTCCATCCGCTCCGGAATCGTTGCCACTTCTAACCCGCCAACCGGGTTGAAGCAACTTTGCCCATCCTTCTCAATGGACGACAGTTTATCTCTGGTATACTTCGCAAGTTTCGTCATAGTTTTTGAAGAGTTCGTCTGGAAGACAAGTCCAGGAGCATGTGATGTAGATCCGCCAGGCATGCCCAGAGGCCCTTGTTCCACTACTGTGATGTTCTTCCATCCTGCTGAGACCAGCTCATCTGCTACATTGGCACCAACTATCCCCGCACCGATGATCACGACTCGTTGTTCTGTCTTTGATGGCATCTTCTTCGCATTACCTCCTGTTGCAGAGATGTCTGCCAGTGCCCGTAAGGGATAATCGTAGAGTGGTCCGAACATCTGATCGTCTTCCACAGAGAAATAATAAAAAGAACCTCAGCAGAAAACAGATGCTAAGAAGATACTTGGAGTGTTCCGTCCAGAGGAAAGTTAGCAATTATACCAATCTCAAAAAGTCCGGACTCAACACGCGACAAATGGCTGAATAAAGACAGCAGCAACGTATCCCACTCACGCTTTGCCATTTCAATGGGAACATACCTACCATAGTCAAGGGACGCGTGAGCGCGTATCGCGTAGTGTTTCTAGCGGGGTCATGCCACCCGCCTGCACGCAAAGGGTCAGCATACTCCGGCTTTTGCTGTGCGGTGGGAGGGTTGAAGGGCAAGCTATGGATAGCTTTGCCCAAATCGGGTTTCTTGATCCCTTTCATCTTTCATGGAGGCACGATACGACATGGAGGTGCCCATGTTTGGTAGCGATGCGGTTGATAAGGATGCGGTCATGCTGCGTTGTTTGTGATACGAGGTTTGTGGGGAGGAGTGCATTGGTCGAGATGTTGTGCAGGAAGACGGGAGATGTTGAGTGGCGGTCGCGAGGCAGGTGCTTCGCGCCTCAGGCAAGAACTTGACTTGACTTGACATGGAAAGCGCCAGGCTCTCACAACCTTCTAGTAATCACCACTTCACATGATGGAGAACTTTGGCCTAACCTTTAGAGAACTGCTGTCGAACGTTCGCTTATACATATAATCTAATCATTCTACAATTTTGACTGCTTGGCCACTTGGCGATCCAACTGGAGGATATCCCTCTTCTCCATACCGTAAGCCTTGCACATCTCCGCCGCCTTCTTCTTCTGCCACTCAATCTTCTCAAGGCATGCCTTACCCCTCTTGTTCTCGTTTCTGCCCATTTGCAGCATGTGCACCTCATCTGGACCATCGACGATTCTCATTGTTCGACCTGAAGCATACATGTTTGCGAGAGGAGTTTCTTGGGAAACACCAGCACCTCCATAGGCTTGAATAGCGTCATCGATGATCTCGAGGAGGATTCTTGGAACGAGGATCTTTGCCTCGGCGATCTCCTTGAGGGCAAATTTGGCATCCTTGCTGTCAATCTTGATGGCAGCCTCACAGACCAGAAGCCTAGCGGAGTCGATCTTCACGCGAGCATCGGCGACACGCGAGAGCATGACACCGTGCTCTGCAAGTTGCTTGCCGAATGGTGTCTTGCGAGGGTCGTTCATGCGGGCGATCATGTACTCCAGAGCCTTCTCGGCAGCACCGATGCTTCGCATAGCGTGGTGGATACGGCCTGGACCAAGACGTCCTTGAATGACCTCGAAACCGCGGCCAGGACCCAGCACCATGTTCTCGGCTGGCACTCGCACGTTTTCAAAGGAGATGTGGCCGTGTCCGTGTGGTGCGTCATCGTAGCCAAAGACACCCAGCATGCGGTGGATGGTGATGCCGGGGGTATCGAATGGCACGATGATGACGGACTGCTGCTTGTACGGGCTTGGGTTGTTTGGATCTGACTTGCCCATGACAATGAAGACCTCGCATCGCTTGTCACCGGCTCCGGACGACCACCACTTCTGGCCATTGAGCACATACTCGTTGCCCTCCTTTCGCATGTTGAGCTCAATGTTCGTAGCGTCGGACGAAGCAACATCTGGCTCAGTCATCAAGAAACCGCTGCGAATCTTGCCGTCGAGCAATGGCTTGAGCCATCGGTCCTTCTGCGCCTGTGTGCCGTACTTGGCGAACACTTCCATGTTGCCAGTGTCTGGAGCAGAGCAGTTGCATGCCTCAGAGGCAGTGGCACTCCTGCCCAAGTATTCTGCCATGAGGCCATATTCCAAGTTGCTGAAGCCAGCTCCCTCTTTAAAGTGGTTCTTGGGCAAGAACATGTTCCACAATCCCAACGACTTTGCTCGCTTCTTCAAGTCCTCGATCACCTGTGGATGCGAGCTGAATCGTTCTTGCACGCCTTGGCCGACCTGCTGTGCGTATACGGTGTCTGCGGGGATACATTCTTCTTCGACGAACTTCTCGACCTAGTGAGAGTGTTAGCATGCCTTTGACTCGCCACCGTGGAAGTGCTGTATGGCCATACCAAGTCCAATGTCTTCTTGGCCCGCTCTGACACGAATGGACGTGCCATGAATGGGATTCTGTCGCTTGCGCGGCTGCCGCCACCGCCGCCAGCGACGAGCAGCTCCTCGCTGGCCTCAATCTTGTATGGGACCGACATGGTGAATGTAGTCTATGATTCCTAGATGCGAAGGAGATGGAGCTCCAGATGAGGAATGCTGGAGAGGATCAGGCTGTAAATAGGTGAGATCCGAGATGCTCTGATGAAGGAGGAAAACGAAAGAATCAGCGACGATCTGAGAGGTCCCTTACACTCTTTCAATGCTAATGCGAGGATGCTCTGCGCCTAGGCTGGCTCAGAGCGCAGTGGTTAAGTTGACCGAGGTCACTAAACAGCCCGCGTTGGCCGAGGGCGAGCCGGGAATTCTGTGGGGAGCGCTTTCTGATTCGTCGAACAGGCGAAGATGAAGGATAACTCTCACGATACAACTCTTTGGGCTGCGCTATCCTTAATTCATCTCTACGATACGCGCTTTTGCCGTGTGCACAGAGCTTCTAGCTTACATATTGCATCCGACGGAAATCACGTCCCACGTGTCGCAGAGCGTGGCTCTCTGCCGTTTGCCATGGCTGTCCTTCCTCGTCAAACCCAACGACACACTTGGCCGCAACCGCGATGCAAGATGATACGACGCGCTGGGGCACATGCTGATGGCAGGATCGCTGTGCTTCGAAAGTTGATATGCCGCGTGGTGCGGAAAACTCGCGGGCGACGTGTCACCGGCAAATCTTGGTGAACTGATTGAACACGCGACTTATCAGCCCACTATCAATTTTCACATCCCAAGCTGCAGCAAAATGCAAACAAAGGCTTGCGCTCCTTGCTCTGCTCACCGGATTCCACCTGTACATGAAGGCTCTTCCGGAGCTCACGTGAACTCTTTGCCCGGAAAAGCCCAAGATACACTGCCAGCTTCAGCTGTGCCTCGACTAATCGTATATCACTAATTCCATATCACTAACAAAACAGGCCCGCAGGACTCGAGTCGGAAACCACGGTCGCGGCCTTCAGGGTATCATAGGACTGTTCATGGCTATCTGGCCGTATCGACCACGCTGTGCGCTCGAAGGAACAATGAATCAGAACCAGAATTGCTCAGCGAGTATTAAACGTCCGTTATTCGTTGGCTCATAATGCATCAGCTATCGCTATTACTACGATCCACTTCCGATACAAGCACTGTGGCCTCGAGCCTGCCGTGGCTAATGCCCCTCAACCGCCCGACGCAACACCAAGAACGACTTCCCTCAAAAACTGCCTGCTTCTACAAAGCGAAAGCTGCGACAAGAGCGGCGGCACCAGCTCCGAAGAACGACACAGCCTCAGCTGGGAGAGCGGCGGCGCCAGTCGCGACTGCAACACCGGTGGTGAAAGTGCTCGTTTGACCGTTCGCACCAGTGCCAACAGACGTGGCGAATGAAGTCGAGACGCCTGTTGGGGCAGCTCCAGGGGTCTGGTTACCACCTGTGATTGTTCCGAAGACTGGAAGCACTGTGGTTCGGGTGCACTGGGGCTCGTTGACATCTGGGTTGTCGTCGTTGTCGCCGTCTGGTCCGTCGGGGTCATTTAAATCGTCACAATCTACAGTCTGCACCACGGTGGTGCTACCAGTTGCGGTGACCCTTGGAGCAGCGGCAGTAGGTCCAGCAGTTGGGTTTGGGCTTGTGTTGTTGGCTCCAGGAACTTGCAGGCCGCAAATACGCGCCCACTCAGCGACGTCTGTGAAGATGGTCAGTACTCGGCTTCGATTGCGCTCCTCCCCGGATCACGGCCTCATCACGGCCTCAAGACATACCATTATCGACCACAGTCTGGTTCCTGTTGTTGTTGTTATTATTGTTGTTTCCTTGGCCTTGCCCGTCATCACCATCGGGATCATTGACATCATCGCCATCTGGACCATCAGGTGTATCAGGGTTGTTGTTGTCGTCCAGATCCAGGTAGTAATTCGGGAAACGTGCCACGCACTCGACGCAAGAAGCGAGAGCCTGTGCGGCGTTCTGGTCCTGGCACACGCAGTCTCGGTACTGCTGGTTGGCTGGAATTCCTGGTTGGAGATTGTTGTTGTTGTCATCGTCATCAAATTGCTGGTCGCATCGCTGCTCGATTGTTAGCAAGCCTCAACAACCTGGAGATGGGTCACACGAACGTTCTCAGTGTCCACTACTGGCTGACAGGTGGACCGGCACTCCTGTGGAATATCATTCTGGTCCAGGTCCTGCCCTTTGACAGCACAGATGGCCGCAGCCAACAAGGCGAAGGTCCAGTTTGTGTTGCGCATATTGGAATATCCACGTCGGATGGCGATGAGATGCTTTGCTGGAAAAGATAATCTTGATGCAGCCGGGCTCTGACAACTTGTAGAGGGAGCTTGGATGAGCACGGCGCGGATGTTATATACACCGCGCGACTTTCCGGAAGTCCCAGAATACGGCTTCTCAAACTACGCTACGCATTTCCTGTTCATCCGCAAGGTCTGAGCTGTACGCGGCCATGGCGGCTGGCAGGATACACAAGCCTGCTCAGCCATCATGACAAGAGAGCCACGACCTACTACCTGGTCAATGCTGGTCTCAAGCATAGGCGCAGAGAAGCGGGCATGTTTGGCGGGCAGAGCTGACAGTGTCCGCAAAGAATCGGCGTGATCAGCAAATGAGGTGACGAGTGCCTATGCACTATGTTTCATTGTGAACTGGCATTCATAAGGCATCCACAGACGTTGCTTCCTCATTCGAAAACACCGAACAAACCCCCGGACATGTCCACTGAAAAGTTCTGCGCCCAGCCCTTGGCATCGACTGCAAAGCCACATATTACTACTCCACCGCTCCACCCAGCATCACCGAGCCTCAGCGGAAGATCCGGATGATCTCCCCAGGAATTCCCAATGGGCTCTCGTCGCACGCATGGCCGCTTGCTACCCATGCAGGACGCATGTATTTGTTGGTCAGGCCACGAAGAGAAGGCGCGGCATTCTGTCAGTTCAGCCAGAAACCATGGAAAACCTGGTTTGCAACACGATGTCACGTCTTGACAGCTCTCCGCAGTAAGCGTACGTCACTCAAGTAAGCATACGCCGCCGAGCAAGCCCCAAGCAGACTCAATGCAGACTCTGGAGAAGCTGCGGGGAGAATCGCCTTGGCTGGCACCACAATCTCCATTGTGTGGGAGTAATGCCACTACTGCACAAACAGCTCATGGGTGTATATTTCTCGAAGCACACTAATCGCCATTGAACGTCTCCACTCGATGCGCTATGCTCAACGAGGTACTTATTTGTGGCTCGCCGACCAAGTGAAAAAGATCTTAAGCTGGTGCCTGGAGAGTTTGAGTGAGACACACGAAGATTCATTGTTCCGACAGTTGGCGACGGCTACTCTTGTTATGGAGATACTATGGTAGGCTTACGTCCGCAGCTCCACCACCGAAACCGGCAACTCCATCAAAGTCGACAAACCACTCGCCATGATTATCCAGACCTCACTTCCTATCAACTCCCGAAAATTCCCCAGCAACACTGCTTCACAGCAAGGCAGCCATAGCCACCGCAAGTCCAGCCACACTACCGAACACTGGGAGCGAGAGTCCTGTTGCGGAGTTGCAGTGTCCATCATCATCGTCGTCGTCGTCGCACTCTTCTAGTGCGCGTTAGTTTCACATCTGTGCGAAACCGGCATTTACGACTTACTGTTGTTGTTGTTACTGTTGCCGCTGCTGCCGCCCGAACTGCCACCTGAGCTGCCGCCACCACTGCCACTAGCTTGGAAATTGCCGCCTGGACCGTGCCCTTGGGGCTCTGCCTCTGCGGCGCGAGCGACGACTTCGTTGGCCTCCGCGTTCATCTGAGCGCCTTGTGCAATGCTGAGCGCGGCAGCGACGGCGAGGAGAACCGAATTGAACTTCATTGTGAGTTTTGATGTAAAGACTGTCTGAGTGGCGTTGAACGAATGTGTACTGGATGTGAACTGAGCTGGAGTGTATTCTGTGACTTGAGGCACGTTCTCCGTGTCTATATAGCCACTGACAGAGATTGCACAGCTCCAAGGCAGACGGTTATCGGCACTCTCTTCATCTTCTTCGCATTTGTCGAAACAACTCTATACCCTGGCAACCTGAGTTTAATAGGAGCCTTTAGTGCTGGAAGCACGATTGACCAACGTGAACTTGCGATCACGAGGCATTTGGGTTGGCAGCTGACACTGACACAATCTTGGAATGCAGCAGACCAATACTCAAACATTCGAGTACTCGGGAGAGGGAGACTCTTCGGTCTTTCACAGAGTTAAGGTGCAAACTGCAATAAGATTACCGAAGTTGTCCACAACTATCGTCGAAACCAAGACAAGCAACAACTTAGCGACTGGACCGATCTCGCAAGACCCTTCATACAATCGTAATTCATTAGAAAGCCATCATCAATTCCCTCAAAACACCACAAACAGGGTCTAGCATGGTTCCAAAACCAGGACCCTCAGATTTTCGTCACGCCTCATGTGTCAACCAAAACCTTCTGCTCCAACCACCACCGCGAACATCTCATCTCATCCAAATTTGTTCTCTTCTGCGACAAGCAAGCGAGTCGATCAATCGCACTTTTGTTCACAGCAAAGCAACCATAACAATAGCGAGTGTAAAAGCACCACCAATCACAGGATAAGTGTTTCGTCCTCCTCCATCATCGCCATCGACATGTGACAGACGTGTCAGATGTGACTGATGTGACCGATGCGACAGATGTGGCAGGCGCGACAGACGCGACAGACGCGACAGGCGCGACAGACAAGACAGACGCGACAGAAAGGACAGACGCGACAGCCAAGTCAGGCAGGTCAGACGCGACAGACGCGACAGACACTACAGACGAGGAGGCTGGACGTCGTTCCAATTGTTGTTATTGTTGTTGTCTTGTGGCCGTCCGTCTTCGTCGTATCTGTTATTGTGGTTGTTTTCGCGGTCGCCGTAGTTGTCTGGGCCATCTTCATCAGGGCGATCACCATCGGGGCCGTCGCCGTCTTCATCTGGGCGGTCGTCCTTCTCCCTCTCGTCGCGGTCATCACCATCTGGTCCGTCGTCTTTTTCTCGTTCGTCTCGGTCATCACCATCCGGACCATCGTCGCCATATCTGTCTTTACCTTTGTCCTTGCCTTTGCCTTTTCCGCCATCCGGACCATCATGCGGACCGTCGTCTGGCCCATCATCCGCATCTCGTACTTTCAGCTTCATGCGATGGTCGTCCCACTTGTGGAACTTGTCCTTCACATCATGGTACTCGTCTTTGAACTTTCGCTCGACGTCACGCCAATCATCTGTCGCCATATCAGTGCAGGCCAGATACTAAAAGCCATAAGACTTACCGCCATCGCGGTCACGAGCAGCAATGTTGTTTGGAAGAGCTTGTACCAAGCCCCCAACGATGGTGATCAAGGCGAGTACAGAGTGTGCCTTCATTTGAACAACGTTTGAAGTTGCAGATGTAACGAGTTGACGATTGTGGTATCTTGTTGAATTTGTTGTGTTGTTTCTGAATTGTGAGATGTCCACTTTGAAGACTCTACCTCAAGCATTATATACATGCCTCTTGCCTTATCACTGCCAGTTTAGTGATTCTATACGATCGTACAGCGTTGTCTTCCTGAGCCACAAACGTCCTACGCGTCTGCAATCCAGGCAGTATCACCTGTTCTCGCCAATTGCCAAGTCGTCTTGTCAGGCTCATTGCTTGTAGACCTGTAGTAAAGATGCCAGCAAGGTGCGAGGACACTTCGATCTCGTAGCGTTGGCATTTCCGTCCAGGAATACATGAGTGAGGAGAATGTCTGCTTAGCCCGTCAACGTCTGTTCACAGCCACTGGCCAGCAGATGTACCAAGGCTGAACATGACGAAGCCTAGGCTTTGATGTTTCATGCTCGAGAGCAGCTGGATGCTTATGGTAGAGCTGGAGTATGGCTGATACTTGCATCGTGTTTCAAAATATGCATGTCAGCATGAAGATGTGGAGTAGTCGAATGCCAAGATGTTTGATGCCTCTGAGCCACAGCTGAGGTTGTAAGGCGTGTGCGTACACCGTGCACGTGCGACTTCTGCTTTCTGTAACTTACGTACAGAGAGCCAGCCAGCCATCCTTGTCCGAGCTCCCACGACACCTGTCGGCAGCGAGCAGATCGGGATCTCGGCACCAATTGAGCGATCCGACCGATTGATATTTGCAAAATATTTGCCGGAAACTGATAGTAAGAGGCCGATCGATGCCTTCGTTGGCAGATTGTAAAGTTGTCGCTGTGCTAGTGAAGTAAGCCGCTCACCAGGTCTCGAGAATCGCTCAGAGCCCAGGCCCAAAAGCTATGCCCAAAGCCAAGCCACACCAAGACCAGCGCTAAAGTCGCAAGCCTGCTGTTCACAAGTGACGATAGAGCTTGTCGGGTCTCAAGAAAGTCGAGGTCCTTGCAGAGCTGAGTCCATGACACTGCGGTCTCGGCCACTACGTACGCCTTACTTGGCACTAAACCTGCTCCGGGCACGAAGTCTTGCCCCGAAGAAGTACAGGGCGAAGACACCAGCAATACACCCAGCAGTGAGACCGCCGAGGAGACTTGTACCCGGCCCGATGTTCAAATTGAGGTACATTGGGCGCGAAAATAGCACTGCTGCGAACGCAAGCGTCGATCGAGCAAAGTCGTTACCGGCGAAGAGCGATGCTGCGTATTGCGGGTAGACCCTGTTATGAGATTAGTAAATAGGAATATCGATGTTCGCGAAGAGGGACTTACAGAGGAAGGTATACGAAAATGCATTGCATGATCACAAAGATACCCATTGTGAAAATCATGATACCAATCACACTGACAATCCAGTGTATATCTGGATCGGAGGTCCAACCAAAGATGAAGAGCCCGATGGGACACAAGAACGAAGCGAACAGAGCTGGGATCAAACGTCGTTCAGGCGCACCCAAGCCGAATTTGCGAATCTCCGGCTCCAATATGTAGTAAAGGTACGCGTAGAATGCTGCAATGGCCAGTATGAAGCCGACGGTGATGGAGAGGAATGTCAATCCAAGCTCGCCGAGATTGAAGCCGTACATCGCAATGTATACCAGAGGAAACGCCTCAAAGAAGGAATAATAGATGCCATAGCACAACGCCACGTAGACTGCCGTGAAAGCGATTGCAGGATCCATGACCATAAGTTGTAGTGGCCTGACCAGAGCTTCGAAAGCGATATCCCTTGGTTTCGAGTTTGCTTGATCGATTTCAGACTGAGCTTTCAATCTTGAATCTCCTGTGAGTTTTCTCAACCTCTGTGCTCGCCGCAGCAAGAGATTGGCAGTAGATGTTTCGGGCAGGAAGAAGAGCATGCCAATAAATACAGGCCCGCTGAGCCAAAGCATCTCCCAAAGAGACCATCGCCAGTCCTCAGCTGCTACTGAGAATCCTGAGATGAGTGGTCCCAGCGCTGGGCCGCAAGCGGCAGCAAATGCCCAAATGCAAAGCACATAAGGCAGCTTGATCAGACTGTACATATCCTGCAGACTCGCCCCACCAGTGGCAAGGCAGGGGGATCCAAAGAAGCCTTGCAGGAAACGAAGCACGAGAAGTCCGGCAAAGTTTTGCACAAGAGCTGCAGGCACGCACAGAATGACAAAGATTGCCATTGTGATCATGTATGGTGGATTTCTGCCAATGCTCGGTATTTCGCTCAAGGGAGAGAAGAGTAATGGCCCGATGCCGTAAGCTAGCGTGTACAGCGCAAGAGTCAAGCTGGCGGCTGTTGGCCCAACGTGAAACTCTTCCATGATGCCTTCGGTTGAGGAGGTGATGATCGAAGATCCCATGTATACAGCCATGGTGTAAATGTATATCATAGATGAAGCGACGAGCTTCCTGCCACTTGACCAGTTCTGGGGGTTCTCTGGATCCCCTTCAGTGTACCAGTCTACCAGGATATCTCCGTTGCTTGTTCGCTGTGGCAGTATCGCGCGACTGGGCTCTTTCGCGATGGTGGATGCAGTGAAGGCAGCTTCGAGTTCTGCTTGTGTACGGATCTGCTGCAGGGTGGCGCGCGTGCCAACTCGCTCCATATGACTCTTTGTCGTTTCCAGCTTCTCCAAGTCCTCGGTAGTCAAGGCATGCTCGAGATCTGATCGAGCTGTCGGCATAGATTGCAGAGTCGGACGATCAATGCCCGAAATCCTGGGGGATTCATCTTGGGCGCCTTCCTCTATGGGTTCCAGGTCTTTCTTCTCGATGTCCGTTGCGTCGATGGCGCGATCTGGATCCGCCGATTGACTGTTCCAGGTGCGCGAAACAGACTCAGGATGAGACTTCTCTGCAAGGTCGTCTCGGCCGGTATAGCTTGCTGGGCAACGGAAGCCGGGCTTCTCCTCGGGATACTGCAATACTCGATTGTGGGTGAGCCAGCGCACCAACTGGCCAATGGGCGCATCTCGAATCAAGTCCATTCCGGCAACGTCACTCTCGATCTGCTGAGTCCAGGGCGGAACTTGTAGGCGATTCTGACTTCTGGCCTGTTTGCAGTGATCATCGAACGCGATGAGAGTAGGCGCGAGCAGTATTTCAATGGTGCTACCGACGGAGCCTATAGGATACAGCCGGACATTACCTGTATGCTTGTCTAAGCTTCGCACCAGACAGAGCTTGGGCTTCGGTTGCCGCACATTATCAGGCGAAAAGGCGCCATCTTCGAATTGAGAAGGGACTGCTTTCCGGTCTCACCAATCATGCCCATGCAGAAGCAGGGTCTGCGGGAGGTGACTGCTCTCCAAACGTACTTTGTCAGCATGATGCGTTCGACAATCAAGTCATTCAGATTGCTGTCTCCAGCATAGACCTCAGCTCCAGCGAAGCTAGAATCCTGAAAATTGATGACACGGAGAGGCGTAGAGACATCATGACAAACCATCGCTTTGCGAACGTAGTCTATCGGCCACAGTTCTGCTCCGTGTCAAGATACTCTGCTCGGTATATGCCGCTGGGTTTGTGCGATTGCTAATGCGTGGCGAAGAATCCTGGCTTGTGGCTGCAGGATGAGATGGTTTGTCAGCTAGCTTGACTTGCTGACTATGCAGCCGGACCAATATGCAGCTCACACCATCGCACGAGTCTCTCCGCCATATCAATCCAGAACTTCTGCTCTATCAGCAAGTGGGGTTGTCGCGGATAAACAACGAACTCAAAGGGCAGACCATAATGGCTCAGAGCCCTGCGCATGCCCACTCCTTGCTCGATCGGGCAACGCTCGTCTTTTTCACTCTGCATAATGAGCATTGGAGGGAGAATCATGGCCTTTTCTGTTTTGGATCTTCGCATTGCTTCGCCCATTTCCCAGATAGCACTGGCTTGTCGGTTCCGCGTATCACTTTTCGACAGCGTCCATGGCGATCCAGCAATATCTAATTCCGTCTCAATCGATGCACCGAGATCAGAAGTCAGAGACATAGTGTCTGCGTCTGTAATGCCATTCAGTGGAACAGCTGCGCGAAACTTCCAAGGGAACAATGATCCGTTTCGGGTGGCACAGAGGTTCGTGAGAAACCCGCCTTGTGAAATGCCGCCTACCAGCAGGCGGTCCTGGTCGGCGTACTTGAGGTTGATAGCATGATTCGTAATTGTTACGACATCCTCCCAATCGTATCGTCCTACACCTTTCAGGCTGTAAGAGGCGAACTTCTCCCCCTTCCCAGTACTTCCTCGATAGTTCGTGAGCAGGACCGAATAGCCATGGTGCAATAAGAAAGGCGTCCAGTAGAACAAGTACGTGTCGAACTCGTTGGAGTTGCGCATCGCTGGACCTCCATGAATCAAGATCACGGTACGCTGAGGAGCTGCTGGTAAGCTCCGGCTTGGTGTCAAGAAGACGCCATCCAGATCAACCTCCTTGTCCAACGATGAGCATGAAAATGGGTTGTAGGAGCCGAAACTGCGGTCTCTGAACGATCTTCCGTGATTTGACAAGCATATCATCTCACTGTTTGCTGACGAAGTCGAGTATACTTCGTTAGGTGTATTGACGTCCGAAGTAGCGATGGCGAGAATCAGCTCCTCGCCATCATCTCTGAAGCCGGCATCAAAAGCCTTGATACACTTCGCTTGGCTGTGCAAGACCCGGCCTGGCAGCATAACGAGTACATCGTGCAAGCCTCGTTCTGCGTGTCCAATTAGGGCGCCGCCGGCGCTGGCAACCTGCTTTGCATCGTCCTCGATACCGAAAGCGACTCTTGAAAGTTCTGCGCCTGCTCGCGCTGGAAAAGAATATACCGCGGTTCCGCCGCAGGTCTTGTCAAGAGGAACGCCGCCGATGAAGTACAACTTGTCGTCCGAGCCCCAAATGACCTTCAATACAGCTGTTGGCAGATCAAGGATAGACTGAGTTCAGTCAGTATATTTAGAGCAAACCCAACGGCAATCTTGAAAGGGATCGTATCGAACAACGCGAACATGCCCTTAAAGGAGATTATGGGGCCTACCTCAGCGGACCAACAATCGTCTGACCACAGCTTGATTAGGCTTACTTGCGAGCCTGTCAGGAAAGGTTCCTCGATATGCGATGTTCTCGTGTGCACGACGGCCAGCGAGAGACTGTCGTGGCCCCAGCTGAGTGCGGTTACATGATCGTTGAACTTGTGCCCGTGTGCATCTTCACCAGCGTGGCGAAAAGTCTCCTTGGTCTCGATATTCACCACGTTCAGGTGTGCATTGGCCCACTCTTGTCCCCAAACCTGCCAGTCTTCGCCGCTTTCCTTGCGAGCTTTGTGCTCTGAGGTTTCAGCATCGGCACAGAGATACGCAATGCTTTTGCCATCTGGTGAGAATTCAAAGGCGGCGATCTGCCGTTCGTTGTGCACGTCCGTAATGGCGTAAGGCTCACCATAAGGAACACCATCCCGCAGATTCCAGAGGTAGATGGCCCATTGCTCGCCAGCTTTTGCTCTGTCAGATACAAAGGCGATGCTATGGCTTTCGGGATGCCAGCGAGGAAGGTGGTCGTTGAATTCGCCAGAGGCGATTTGCCGAGAGGAGTCCGCTATACCCGCGTCCGCAAGCCAGAGCGTCGACACTACATGCTTTCCTTTCTTGTGTCCATTTTGAAGAGTAGTGCTGTAGAGGACTTGTCTAGCGTTCGGAGAGACCTGTAGGACTGATGGCACCTGAAGACTGCACAGATCCTCAATCAGCTTCCGCGACTCTGGCTGAGATGTTTCGGACATTGTGGAACAAGCACTGCAACCGATTACTGGCCAGCTAGAATTGCAAAAGTCATCCAGACCATGTGAAGAAAATCTCAAGTCGGGATTTCATAGCTCAAGATCTCTAGGCCCCAGCAATACGCGATTAGGAAGGTGGCACTGGTTCGGGTCGCGCGGAAGGCATCGCATTGTGAGTGGCAGAGTCGTGTCGGAGATTCAGGCGGCAATCGAAGATAGTCAGGAAACATAATGTCGTCGATACGCGCTGCTCAGTCGCGTTCGTGGGTCGCGAACGCGTTGTACGTGATGTGTCCGTGAAGAGATGAACAGACATGAACGTGAACGCGAGGTGCGAGGTGGAGCTCGCGCTCGGCAGTTCCGACAACTTCACCCGTTCCGGCAGCACAACTTCCCATCCAACACTCCACTTCGCCATCAATCCGGCATGATTTGTGCACTTCACCATCTCCTTCCGACTGCTTGTGACTCATTTCAAGTCGCTATTGTTCTCTCTGCTGAGATGGGTCAACACAAGGGACGCTGGCCCAAATACCCAACCATTTCACATTGATTCGCCCACGGCCCCAGCAACCACTTTAGTCTCTGCCAGGAGCGCTGACATAGAGTTTCACGAGGACGCGTCAAGTGCTGTGAACTCGCGTCAACCAGATACTTGACGTGCTCTGGAGGAAGTTGCCCCACCAACGGTGAAGTGAGAGCGCCGATTGTTTTCGATGTGAGATGTGAAGCGGAAGGTAAGGAGCTGGTCGGTAGGCATTGAATCCACGAATCAACAGACAATCCTGGAGACTCTGGAGTAGGCTCCTGGTCTGTCACAGCGGCGGCGTTGTCCCTCGTGAGGAACTGTTCTTTGCCCGTTCGTCTTCAGATCTGTTTTGGCTGCAAAGCCGCAAACGCACGTGCATTTAGGAACGAGTGCGCACAACGTTTCACAAGACTTCACTTGCTCACTTGGTGATAAGCCACGCTCGCTTATCTGACTTGAAAGTCTTTCTCGTCGGCTCTCCTCTCTGGCCTCAATACCACAACTTGACACAGCACACAGCCAAACCGCCTCCTCACCGGACAGACATTGCATTTGCCAACCACCATGGGCAAGTCCACAGTCAATTGGGACAGTCAGGAGACCTGGCAGCGAGTCGTCGCCGCTATCATTGCCACTGGTGTCAAGGTTTGTTGCGACCAAGTCCTGCTTGATTATACGCTCGGCCCACTGACTACACAACAGATTGACTACAAGCAAGTCGCACTCCACTTTGGAACAACTTACGGTACTCCAGCCCCATCTGTACCAATGGCTATTTACTAAGGCTTTTTCCAGATACCATCGAGAACCGCTTCCGCAAGATCAAGAAGGAAGCCGCAGTCCTCAAGGCAGAAGTTGAGAGTGGTGAGCGAGGCGAGATAACACCTGCCCGCAAGTCCGCTGCTAGCAGCCCCAAGAAGACTCCACGCAACACTCCGAGAAAGGATGCTCTTTCTAGTAAGTTGTCTATGCTCTCCACCTTGACCCCAACCTACGCTAATATTACGTGTTCTACAGATGTCACCAACGGACGTATCGCTAAGACACCCACTCCGTCGGGCCGTAAGAATGGCATCAAACTGGAGGCAATCGAGGCAAGCTTCACCGACGCTCCGAGTGATTTCGATGACGGCCTGGGCGGTTTCGGCCACCTCGTAGGCAACTTCGACGAGGATATCAACAGTGACTACTTGACTTAGTCGTCTGAAACGCTACCACACGGAATGAGACATGGGCAGGGTTGAGAATCCTCGACGACGAGAATGGCGAAAACGACTTGAGGTAGCACGTTAGGCACGCTACCATGATTGTACGCGATTGGCATAAGATAGTGAAACGAAGCAGGTCAAGAAGGACCTCGTTGGACGTGGAAGCACCCATTGGCATTGTCCCTAGTTGTCTGTGAACCTCCGTGCTCCAAGCCTAAACTTCCAGCTTTACACAAGATGCAGTATGTTTGGTCGAGCAACCTCAAGTTGAGCTTCCTGCGTTGTGACCTTTAGTGATACGCCGCTGCTGCCTGTGAGCCGTTGTAACTCAGGCAACAGAGACTTTGTCCTATCCAACTGATCCCCTTTCGTGATCCCTGCTGGTATGCCTGCACGCGCATATACTTCACATGGTTCGCGAATTGCAATCGCGTCGCGCGTCAAAGGACGTGAAGATACGTGAAGCCAGATGAATGGGTTTCGGCGATCTAATGTGCCAGTGCCGCAACAGACAATCTAGTGCTGTGTTGTATTTCGAGTACCTTGCGCAGCTTGTCGAATGTCTTCACATGTGAAGCCGTTTTGGATCTACGGAGCGGCAGCGACGCATTAGCATCAGCTGCATTAGTCCCCTCACTTTCACGTGTGTTTTCCAGGCGACCTTCTTCGAACTTGCTCTTCCACTCACTGCTCAACTTGCAACTTTCACAACCTCGACCACAACATCACAACCCCCAACAAAGAGCTTAGTATGTCTGCCTCTTGCTTCACAACCGATCCACGCCCTTGCTCCACCACAATACTGACTCTTCATTGCAGGCGCTCTTCGAGGACGACGACTCAATGGCGCCCAAGTGGACTCCCGAGCGGGACCAACACCTCTTGCTACTGATCATCGGGAGCATCAAGATCAACTTTCAGGAAGTTGCCGACAACTGGACTGCCACTTTCCGTACTTTCTGACAAAGATCATGTTGGCAAAACCCACTGACCGCTGCGTAGCGAATGAGTCCTTTCACCCAACCAAGAAGGCTATCGAAGAGCATGTGGCCAAGCTGAAGCGCGACATGAAGATGCCTACTGTCAGTACCGGTACCGGCAGCGCCTTCTCAACTCCAAAGTCCGCCGTCAAGCGCACCCCAGCTAGCAAGCGTGTCTCTGCTATCAAGATGTCTGCCAGCGGAAAGAAGCGCAACTTCACTTCGATGTCCGATGAGGACGGGGACGATGATGAGGGACTCAACATGAGCACCCCTTTGCCCAAGCGCCAGATGACCAGCCGCCGCTCGAAGTCAGTCACTGGCAAGTACGCCGATCCGGGCAGTTCTGAGGACGAGGACGAGGACGTTGCAACGAAGGAGGAAGAGTCCGACGATGGCCTCGAAGCCGCCTTCGCTTCGGTCAAGGCTGCTACGACCGGTGCTTCTCCCGGAGGACTCAACGGCTCTGGTAATCACGAACCAAAGTCTCGCAATGACAGTGTCGTCGCCGCGCGTCGCAGCCCTTCGAAGAGCAAGCGTGTGTCTCTCGATGAGCAGTCGGACGTGAGCGAGTTTGATCCTTTGGCTTGAGTGCTCTCTTTTGTGCACTGAGAGGTTCACTTGCTCAATTGTACTGTGAGCCACTCCACGACCTAGAAGTGCAGCCAGGGCTCTTGCAATTGCTTTGGTGGAATCTCTGGAAAGGAACATTGCGAGCATGTTGGCTAGCTTTGGGGAAAGCTCGACCCTTAGAGGAAAGGCCAGCCAACACCAGAAGAAACTGTACAATAAAAGTAACGAGAAGATTGGGAACGTGCGCTTCACATTCGGAAGCTATTCACCAATGCCCAATCGTCACCTAAGCAGTCTTTGTTCTCCAGTATCGTCTTTCTATTGGCTCCGTGAAATGCAACCTTGATCGCGGTCTTCGCAAGTCGTTGTACAGCAATGCTAGGTATCACGGCTTCCGTAACCACATTCAGCATGCCCTCACTGTTCCCTTTCAGCACTCCACCAGGCCGCAGAGCAATAACCTCAAAGCACTTATATTTCTGCCCAGCATTATGCTTCGCATTCACACTAGCATCCTGTCCATCACCCACATTAACTCCCTTCTCTTCTGCCCTCCCAGCAATATCAAACAAAGCCTTCTCCGCAGCTCCTTTAATCTTCCGACTTTCACCATACATCCACAACCTCTTAAACTGATCCTGCTCCGCTCCCCACCCAGAAATGAACACAAACCGAAACGGAAACCTCTTATCCCCCACCGCAGGCTGTTTCTCCGGATATCCCACATACGGCTCCATGGTATACGCAACCCCATTGCTAAAAGCTTCCGCCGCAGCCGCAGGAAAATTCACGCCGACTTTCCGCGCTTCATCGATATTCTTGAATGCGGAGACGGGTCCTCCTAAGCTCCAAATACATGCTTCTACGCCTTCGTCTCTGAATCGCTGGAGGAGGGCGTCGGGGTAGGCTTCGAAGTCTTCGTGGAGGATTTGGGTGACTTTCTTGCTGGAGCTGAACTTTGGGTCTGGATGCGGGCGGCGGGTGAGGAGGTAGACGTGGTTGATGTAGTTGTGTGCTATTAGTTGGGAGAGGATTTCGCTGCCGATGAAGCCTGTTGCGCCTGTGAGGATGACTTTCATGCTGAGTTCCTCAGGCGGATGGTTGGAGAAATGGTATTATCTGAGGTCAACGGCTTATGACATGGATATGTACGTCAACGTGGGCTGACGACGACTGGATATGCATCATTCTCGTGCAGAGTTGACCTCTTCTGGGAGCTTGCAGAGCGTTACAACATGCCCATTCAGACTCCCTTATGTCTTGAGGACATCAGCAGATGAGAGTACGCTGGTTGCGGTGTTACAGTCCATGTTTCTCTTCATTGACTTGCAACGGCCTTTGAAGGAAAGCGCACCAGCGCGCCGGCGGCTCCGGAAAAGCCGGCCGAAGCGCGTCTTTCCTTCAACTGCCGCGCGCTTCATCCTCTGATATTGCGGCTTTCTCTGACCATTGTTCGAGCAAGACAACGACAGTTTGCTGCATGCTCTGTGCCAGCGCTCAAAGAAGAACGTAGAGCTTTGAAGCCACGTCTCGAGACCATCTCGGCGACCAAGCAACCTCACGCGAAGATCGCAACGCGGCGGCAAAGAAATCACCAGGTTGACACTACTCCAACCATGGCAACAGACTCGCCCGCTGAGGCCCCCATTGGGGGTCAATGGCGCTCGCCATAGTAGTGTTGCCCCTCGATCGCGCAGCGGTCGCTCTTGGCTGGAAAGTAGCAGCAATACGGCCTCATTGATACCTCCTAAAACAGGAAGTCATCAGCAACAATCGCAAGGACTGACCAAGCTAGACCAGATATGGTGCTTCAGCTGGCAGATGTCGGTAACCTTTTGGCTCACATATGCACGCTGATCCAGCTCAGAAAACGCAAAGCCAAGGTCTTGCAGATCACGAATAACCGAACAAGAGCCTTGTTAGCAGTTACAACGGTACATACACAATCCTTTGCAGTTTGCACACATGTCGAAAGAAGCAATCGACTCGCTTTCGCGAAAGTTTGTCCGGCTTATGGTCGCTAGCTCGTGGCCGCCCCTTCTGGCTGCATTGCGACACGATCCGGAGCTACTCTTTACGCGAGGTACGCCTTGGACGGTATATGTTGGAAAGACGCACACAGCATGCTGAGCAGGGCTAGCTGCTACGCCCACACGCAGGATCATGGCGTCACTATGAAGGATCTTCTGACAGATGGGGCAAATGCACAAGAGCGGCATGGAACGCGAGGTCTCTTCTGCTGTGCTACTTCGTTCGTGGCTGCCCGAGCACAGCAGGGCAAGCGATACGATAACTTGGCATACACCAAGCCATTGTGGCCGATAATCCGCCTCTTGCCCAGCGATCGTGCAGCCAGAGGTATCCTCAGCTCGTTTACTGGCTGCATAGGATCTCGCACTATCTCCTAGTGGCGCAGGCTGTCCATCTTGCTGCGGCAAGACAACTTCCAAATACTTGACATCTGATCATCATCATACACTGCCAAGAGGGATAAGACTGACTCTGCCAGACCGTGTACGCTCGCATCAATCTCAAGGAGGAGCTCTAGGAGTTACCTCCGACATTTAAGAAGCTCCAAACCGACCTGTCGGTACTAGCAAAGCAACCAGACTCGGCAGATATCAGTCCGCTAATGGTAGCTCAGCTTCCCAGCTTCCATAGTTTTCCTCCAAGTTAGGGCTTTCAGAACAGGAAAAGTCCGCCTTAAACAAGCTCGAATGGCCAGATGATCGCGCACGCTTCGAACCCTATCGGAGCATAACCCATTCGTGGACTAGCAGCTGCGGCTGCCGAATGTCTTAGGCATGCCGAGGTGATCACCATCTGGACGAACTACTCCTCGAAACTTTCCGAATGGAAAGTTTGACGCTGTCTCTTTCAAAGTTTAACAAAAACGCCCCAATCTGAATAAGCATGTGATGCCACATTGCCCGCGTGAGTTTCATGTGGACGCCATCAATGTCTTGAGAGACTGTAGTGGAACTAGTTTCAAAGACTATGTTGACTTCGAAGGTGACAAATGTCTGTCGTGTACGCTGTTGCTGTGCATATGTAATGTCCAGCCGCATAGACTCTGCGTCAGTAGAAGAATAATCTAACGGCCGCCGTACCGCAGTGTACATTCACAAGACAACGTATCAATGGCTACGAAAGAAGCTCGAAACTCACTCTGTAGTCCGTTCATCGTCGAAGTTCTATTGGCAATGTACGGCGTTCGAGCAACGCAGCTCCAGGAATGCTTCGCCAGCTTTCGAAACACGTACAAGTGAGCAATTCCTGAAACCAACGGAATGGCCAAGCATCTCCTCGCAGCGTTAAAATGCACTATGGGTGAAAGCTGCAATGTTCCAGGAGCTCGCAGAGAATGTAGGCAGAGAGTACATGTAAGTCGTGGAGGAAAGAGTGACGCTGCCAAGCCACGACTTCCCAGTTCGTCGTCGGCTGCCCATCGCAACCGCCGTCCACTTCACCAATACTCAGCTATACAGCTTTCCGCCCGCGCGACAACAACACTTGCGGTCTCGCGCTCTGCCGAAAAGAAACTTCCACCATGAGCACCGCGGAGCGCAGCAAGCGCCACAAACAGCGCAAAGTCCTGCTGATGGGCAGGTCCGGCGCTGGCAAGTCCTCCATGCGCTCCATCATCTTCCAGAATTACGTTGCAAAGGACGTCAGGAGGCTCGGAGCGACAGTAGATGTGGAACACAGCAACATCAAATTCATGGGAAACCTCATGTTGAACCTTTGGGATTGTGGCGGGTGAGCAAATTCGCCCGGAACCTTCGCGGGCTATGGTAGGTGAACTGACACTTGCGCTGATAGTCAAGACTCCTTTGTCGAATCCTACTTGACAAATCAACGATCACATGTCTTCACATCGGTTGCTGTACTGATCTTCGTCTTCGATATCGCATCGAGGGAAGCAGCTCCGGATATGCTCAGTTTCGCCAACACGATCCGTGCCTTGCAGGAGTTTAGTCCGAACAGCAAGATCTTTGTCCTCGTGCACAAGATGGATTTGATTCCTTCGGACCAAAAAGCGGCCCTGTATGCCCAAAAAGTGAAAGACATCCGCGCCACATGCGAGGACGAAGGCTTCACCGGCAAGCAAGTCGACATTTGCCAAAGCTCCATATGGGACCAAAGTCTTTATCGGGCATGGACACAGGTCATCTACTTCCTAGTGCCAAATGCAACTGTCATCGAGGGGATGCTAGAGAAGCTCGCGGAGCTCCTGGACGCGCGGGAAATGATCCTCTACGAGCGCACCACATGTCTAGTGGTGACGCACATCACTCGCGGTAGCGAGGCAAATAACCCCTACACGGACCGCTTCGAGCGGATCAGCAGCATCTTGAAAACGCACAAACATTCCATGTCCAAGCATACGGGAATGATGCCTTCCGAAGTGTCGTTTGCGGAGATGCAAATCAAAACCGGTGCATTCATGTTCTTCATCACGCGCCTGACGGAGAACACGAACTTGGCGGTGGTCATGCCAAGTGACGAAGCATCCTACAATGCTGCCAGAGTCAATGTCCAGCTCGCGAGGCGAGAATTCGCATATCTCGATATTGTGGAGAAGAAGGGTAAACAAGATCATCTGAACAATCCTGCTTATCGCGAGATGGCATCGCATCGAGATGACGAGCGTGGTAGCGAGGACTCGGAACCCTTGCAGAATCGCTTCCATGATGAAAGGTGAGGCGGCGACGACAGGGCCTGTTCGGCCTGGTGATGATGATGACGGGAAGGAACGTTGTGACAGCATCTCGATACCGGCCCATTGTCCGCAAAACCGGAGGTTCATCCGAAGAGTCGACCGGAGCACTCGCGTGGGCTCCGTCGAGGCATCTAACGCACCACGCCGCCGCAACACTACCAGTCCACTACGCGCCTGCAGTCATTCTCTGTGCCGCAGGACCCAGAATGTGATCGCACGATTACGACGTGTTGTCTGTTCCTGAACCAAAAGGTCTCGAACAAGACTGGACCATCTTGGCAGAAGACTTCGACCAGCTGCAAGTCCGGCCCTCATAGCGTCAAGCGGCCAGAGATCTCGCGCGTTTCGGCATCTCGCTAGCGACAGATGCTGGACGGATCTCCTTCTGCCGGGTTCTTGCATACAACACAATGTCTCGGCTTAAAAGCACGGCACCGTGGATTTCCCACCAGCGTGCATGCATGCGCGCGACCTAGGTGCAGAGTGGAGCGGGCGTGGGGTGGAGTTTCTGAATCTTGAGTGTCGGATATCGACGCGCCTAGGGAGCGTGACTCGGATTGCTAGGGAGCGTGACGATACACAACATAACGCGACAATTCAAATAATTCCCCGGACAAGCGAGGCGAGCTTGCGAGCGAAGTAAGTACTCGGAGCTGCGAGCCTG